TATTATTCGTAATTCGTATAAATTAACATTTAACGGTATAGTTAGGGACCATACACAAACTACGTACAGGAAGGATTTTTTGGGAACGTAATTTATGGATAGTCCCTTTAAGTATCATCTTCCTTCGTGTAGCTTGATGCTTGTGCTGTGCTAAACCACCCCCTAAAATGTGCGAATCAGAATCTTGTAACATTTTGGTTACAGACTTCCATAGACCGTTCGAAAACAAGCCGTAAACTAAAAACACTTCGTGGCATTTCCTCGCGGAAATAGTTCCGTCGGCTGTGGTATATATCGAGAATACATAGTCTATATACGGCTTGTTTCTGAACGGTGTACAGGAGTCTGTAATCAAATTGTGACACGCACCTGATTGCAACAATTTTGGAGGGTGGTTAAGTACTATACAATGTACGACGAGAGCATCCTATTTACAGAGCAGACAATTCTTATTTCTTGAATTTATTGTCGATTTTGTTTGCCATACCGCTGGCAAAGTTTTGCCAGCTGTCTAGCAGCAACGCAGCTGAAGTACGCGTGAGGTGGCCCATGCAGCACGCAGCTGGAATGAAAATCGTCAAAAATTCGTATGTTAAATTCTTTTGTATAAGCTCAAAAAATACAAAATAACGCATACCATTAGGCAAAACAACTGATTTTTCGTTTTTATTTTCGGGTTATTTACTGTGAACCTTTGCTGTCAATTTACCTGTCTATGGAAGACTCTTTCGAGGTTTTTTACAGGCGGCTATGCTAAGCACGTACGCTCTCAGTGCCAAACCTTGATCTAACGAAACCAGAAAATCAGCTATACTGCCTAATAGTATGCAATATTTTATATTTTTTAAGCTCACACAAAAAATTTAGCACCGAAAATAACAAAGTTACGAATTTTTGAAGATTTTCATTCCAGCAGCGTGCTACTGGAATGAGAATGTGCTCATTCTAGCACCTATTTCCTCCTAGAAATTAGCCCATTGGGTGTGTGTGGATTGAACCAAAATTGAAAAATTTGATATTTTGGAAAAACCCGATAACAACCGCACGGTAACTGATGCAACAGCAAACAGGTTACGGTTTAATGCAGTTTCTGACGGCTGGTTGTTTCCATCGGACTTGCAAGGTAACTTCAACTCTTGCGTCTCGATCAGTTATTGTTTAAAAAAAACCAACCTCAATAATTTAGGAGAACAAGCTTCTTTCTCTGACAACTTTTATCACTGTCAAGAAATTTCATTAAGTGTGGAAACAAGCTTATGAAACACGCTTATGAAACATTATAAGTTCACTTTGAGTAAAGGCGCTCGACACGCACTGCAAAAGTGTTCTGTAACTTACAGAGCGTTTTTGTTTAGCTTGTGTTTTGTGACTGCGCGCTAAAGTATGGATGTTTTGTATCTTAAAGGAACCCACTGGGTTCCTTTAACTTACAGAACACTTTAAACGTCGAATCTGGTGGCTGGTTTCTATAAACCAGAATCGCACTTTAACTTACAGAGCACTCTATCGTGTGTTTCGAGTGCTCCTAGTAAGTGATAAGAATGCAACATCGATTTTGTACGTTTTACGTCATAGCTGCCGCCTTAGGTTTCTCTGGTGCTCCAGAACCGGCAATCAGAATTCTCCCTTGACCGGTTTCAATTTAAATGGCAAATTCTAAATTAAAAATTTGCTGAATTTCTGATCCTGTATCTGTGTGCGTGTATATAAGACTTTTGCGTTACATGTAATTGCTTATATCCTTACAAAGTCTATGTTAGGGAGATCCAGTAAAATTGAGTGAGTCGATAGCACTCGAAGCTAGCGATCAAGTCGATAGAGTCTGGAACACAACCAGCGGTCAGTGGCTTACTTTAGTAACTAAACCAACAACTTTGGATGGTTGCACAGTTACACTGCCAGCAATGCTAAACTATCCTTTTATAAGGTATTAACCGTTCAAAAACAAGCCGTATATACTTAGTCTTTGTATGTATTACGTATACAGTATCTTTATGTATGCATAACTCACTGCACTCTGCAAGGTTTTGCCCTTCGGAAAATACTAAACCACTCCCCTAAAATGGGCGAATCAAAGGCGTGTAACATTTTGGTTACAAATCTCCATAGACAAACCAAAAACAAGCCGTTAACACTATTCCTATGCGAAGACTGGTCTTCCTCTTTTCATCGTGTTAAGTCTGCATCTGTGTGCAGCCGACCGGAATAGTGTACAAAGACTAGAAGTAGTCTTTGTAAATAAATTGTAATTATTCTAGTTTAACGGACTGCCAACTGGTGTCAGTCCGCTCCGGAAATTCTTCTTGGTTATTGGATGACTGGATGTCATTTTTTAAGCCGTCGCAGTTATACGAACAACATGGAAAAAACCAGTAGTAAGCTAAACCTTCTGTCCGGCATAAGCAAACAATCTGTTGTAGCCCATCTACATCAAATCAAAGCCGTGTGCGAAGCAGTTATCAGCATAGTAGCCGGTTTTGAAAAATTCTTGGTTGATACGCTACCAAAAATCTAAGAACGGTGTAGCTAAGACGATTTGCTGCGAATCGGGCGACATTCTATATACTGAAGTATGGTCCAGTTGTTGTCATAAATATGCTATCAAAAATCGGAGTGTATAAATAATGACAATGAGCAACTAGCTTGCCCAGAATGCGATATAAACCATCGCGACAGTCAGAAACGATGCTTGTATATTGTTTATTGTACAGGCTGGCAGGTTAAGGTAACCCATTAAAAGCTAGGGTCGTAAAGACTCGTAATCTAGCATGGGAATTTGAGCCTGACTATAGAATTAAAAAAAAAACAAGGCGAAATTTAAAAAAAAATAATCGAGGAGGAGCATTAGCATTTAGCAAGCAATGGTGACATGCTTCAGGGTATTATGAAAAATAACGTGGGAACAGCTGCTCAAAATGCCGTTTCCGTTTTCGGCTGGCTTATGATGTTGTTGATGTTCAGCCTCTCAGCCAGTGTGGATTTACCCGTTCTTGTCGATGCTTGTGCGGTGCGATTATTTTATAACGTACGGTTTTTATTTCGCAGTACGTTACTCATTTTCAGCTGCTACCGGAACAAATAAGCGACAGCACATCATATCGCTATATTATAATTGTGCGCACTCTCTCGATCTCTCTCTGGAAGTAATTAATTTACTACCCGTAGAGACCTTCAAGTCCTTCAAATTTTAAAGTATTCTGTAAAGAGCAAGTTGAGCTGAACATGCTGTACCAAAAAACCGGAAGAAAATCGGTTCTGTGGCCAAATAACTGCAGCCTGGCCACTTGAAGGTATGTCGCCCATTGACTTGAAAGTCTCTTGAAGGTCTTGGCCACCTGAAGGTCTCTACGAGTACTTAGGAAGTACTGTCATTGCAAAAGGAAGCTTCACTGCTTCAGGTTAGCATGCAGGTAAGGAAAAGCGTAATTAGGGCCTTATGCACAATTAAAGTATTAGGCGCAGTCCGCAGATTACTTAATCTATAATTAAGAATAAAAAAATCAAGGGAACCCTAGAGTAACCTTTCAACCCCCATAAACAGTGAATAAATGATTCATATTTATGCCCGCACATGAAAACACATGTTAGGTCATCCGTAGGTCACAATACCCCTTAAATCAACACATTTTTGCGGAGAAAAATAAATTTTATAACGGTCCATCTTTTGTCGAATTCAGGCATAAACTGTACGGGAATAAATTAGGTTCTGCTCGTGCAAAATCTTGTACTTTGCATCTGTGATCTGCATGTCTATAGCTAACTCTTGCACAAAAAAGTTTTAGGTCTACGAAGTCACCGGGGATTAGTAACAGCAAAGCGACTTAATTGCAGCAATCCAAAATTAACTGTAAGGATTCAATCTATATTAGCGGAAACTATGTAACCACCTTTTGCCTGAATGGCTCAACAATACAGTAAGATTTTGTTAATTAGTCTAATACACACTGCGTGGCCCAATCTCACGATTATATAGCGGCATATTCCGGAAAAAACAGGCGTTAATATAAATAATTTAGGAGTATCGTATAAACTAATGAAACATCAATAGGAGTAGTAAGTGCTATGGAGTTGGAAAGGAAATGTCGAGTTAGTCTGTCGAGCAGTCTACAAGTTTGTACGGGAGATATGGGTGCGATAGCTTACTCGCCACGCATCGTTACTCGACCAGAACACAACACACTTCACACACCGCTGTTGAACCCGAACCGCAACTTGCCGGGGCATTCCGCATTCTACGCCCGCCAAGAATTTTCTTTTGTTTACACACGGCTTTCGAAGACCAAAAACAGAAACTACAGTTTCATACATGTTACGACGGATATGCGTCGCATACCGTATTACGGTAACCGGTTACGGTTACGGTTCGCTGAACCTGCCGCAAAACATTAGGCCTGTATTATCCTGGATAAGTGTACTTATTAAAAGTATACGTATTTAATAATTAACCACATGGAATACAGGTTTTGAACATAAAATTTTCGCACACAGTAACTCTACCAATCCGTACTGATTTTATATATTGATATTCCTTCTGTGCTAACGGGAATAACGTAAACCATAAAATTTTCGTTTCTCTGACAACGTTTCACTTGCGAACTCTTATTCTGCACACTCAAAATTTTTTGCTGCATTTTTTTAGCCATAGTAGAAACGAATTAAATAAACCTGAAAGTTTTGATAAACACAAAACCCGCAGGGGTTGCCCATGCGTCGCACAGTGCGTCTCCTCCACTGTGACGTCATCGTAGTCGATTACAAACCTTTTAGTTTAGTAATACGTATTATGATACCACTAATATCAGCAGCATATACACTAATTAATTGATACATGACCTTTTTAATATTAAGAAAAAAAATTAGGCGCCATTGCTTTTCGTAAAGTAAAAAGTTAATCGGTGTAATGAGTATAATAGCAGTCGCACCGCTCCGTAATAATACAATAATATAATTCGACAAATTAAATTAATACAGACCGAGTCTGGCCGTTTCTGCCGACTTACCTGGTTGTAGCGCACTAAAATAGTGGCAGGACATCTTTGGTAATATAAATAGAACCCCCGATATCAATTCGTTCACAACAAAGTTTATTTTTACGTCGCAAAATCAGTATTCCATTGTTCATCCAGAATCAGAGATAGGGTGATGGTAGGCCCATGTGGTTCAGTTCTCCCGCGGGCGCAGCCGATGTGCAACTACGATATGCATCCCTACAGGGCGGCAATTGCTTAAACTTGGAAGGGGTGTACCCGCATGACATAGCGGAGCAGTGTCTTCGCAGAGGGCGTCCTTCCAATGTTACTTCCAGTGTTTGAGGTTTCGAAATGGCCGGTCTGACGCAAGGGTGGATAAAGAATAACGCTCTCATGGGAAAGGTATGTGAGAATTTAACCCGGCACTCTGAATAGTGAATACCACTTGAGAGTTTTCGCTGTATGTCCAGTTCAACAGGAACTTGTGGATGGTGGGGTCAACTGGGAGGTATCGGTTTCGGTCCTAGCTGGGTGCTGCAGCTAGTAATGCGACTATCATGATTTGCATATTCCGCTCCTTCGATCGCTCTACGGGCGCAATTAAATTCATATCAGACTTGCGGATTCGGAAGAACCGGTTGCAACAGATAACTTTTACGATGGTCACGGCTTTTGGACTGTAACGCAAGCATCAGATGCTGTAGTACATTTAAAAATCACACGCTGTATCGATCCCGATATCGGAAATCAGTGAATGATCTAAAATAAAATCTTTTTTGGAAAGCCCTGAACGGATTTTGCTGTAGCGGTAGATATTAACCGTTTATAAGACTAAAAATAAAACCAGACAGGGAACTAACGGCGCCTTATGTTTGGTAGGAGACAGGCTTCAGCCATGCTCCATCCATACTTCACCTCTATACATCCTATTTGCATAACGAATTGCATGATTTCAACTGACTTGCAAAATACAGGTCGCACCGGTTCGGTGGTGCACCGTCCAGACTGTGTGGTCTGAGTCTGAATAATAAATGGGTGTTATTTCATTCATGTGCTAACATTGTTAGCACATTCATGTGCTAACATTTCTGCGTCTGCATTGAAATTTTAAGAGATGTTTTCAGTCGTCCATGACAATGCACCCCCTTGTTTTACATGGAGAAATTGACGCAGTCATTATTGTTTACCCTACGGGCCAGACCCTTGTAGCAGTTGCTGATGCTGCAGCTCTTAATTAAGTGATGGTCACTTGAACTTGAATGCAGACAAATACTTCGCCAATTTCTTGTGCTTCGGTTGAATTTTAACTTGAATATAAATTTGGCTTTTGACTTGGAAGCATTTTAATCACTCGAAGAAAAAAAGCCAACGAATTGATTAATGAGATCGAGTCAACATAATAATGTAATAAGAAACAAGCGATTATCGCAACAAGCCGCATTCAGCACACTTTCATTTACAAACATAGTCAGATGTTGCACACCTACTGAGTAGTGAGTACTCGTGAAACTGACCGGTAATAGTACGAATATACAAGGAAATTTACGCTCCTTCAGTCACGTAGCGGCCTCGCGGAGTAATTAACAGCCAAAACAGTGCTATGCAAACAGAGCAAACAATCACCTAATCGCCATTCACAATCACCTATTTCTCATATTCGCCATCCCAGGTTTTGAATTTTACAACCGGTTAAAACCTTGCTGCCTATAGGCTTGAAAATTATTCTTTCGCTGTTAAACATTGGGTCAATTAGGGTGGGTTAACATGCTCTTCAGAATTCGAACATGGCAAAGTGCAATAAATTCTTCACGCAGATTGGGTAATTGCTTTTTCTTCCTTTCACAATTTTTTTAACATCTCAAGATTTCTGTAATTGTTCATTTTTGTGCTTTAAAAACCAAACTGTTGACATAAAGCAGAGATATAAAACGGGCGGCCTTACAAACTTCATGGCTATAATAAGATTAAGAGCTGATTATCGTAATTATTACAACTTTCATGCAGTTGCTCCACTTGCTGCTCCGCGGGCTTCGCCCGCGCCGCAGCTCGGCGTCGCCTGCGGCTCCGCCTTCGGAGGCTATTCGGTTAATTATAGTTTGAAAATTTGCGACCGGCTAATCAGTATATATGGTTTTCCTATGTTGCATCCCCTCCCGCATCCCGAATCATTCCTGCTTTTGGTCAGATCCGGCTCATTCACGAACTCGGAATTACGTCTGAGTATAACATGGACCGTCCAGCTGCCATCTACATATGGCTCCGGTCAGCTACAGTGCATCCGGTTGGCATTGTATTGTATATCCGGGTCTATTGTTTACTCGGATATTTGCATTGTTTTCCGAAAACCGGGAATAATTCCCTTTCCGGTTGTCGGATCTTGCCCATCTTCGAACTCCCCTCATCACTGTAATAAGAAAAACTCCCCCTCATCACTGTTATAAGAAAACCTCCCCCTCATCACTGTAATAAAAAAGCTTCCTGCCAAATTTCAGGAAGATCGGACAATCCGCTCGTCTTTAATCGTGAGGACATACACATACACACACATATACACACACACACCAACAAGCCCGATTTTGTCCAGCTGTAGTATACAGGTCGGCCACGCCAAGTTGTCACCAAAAGTTTGTTTATTTATTAGAAATGTTCGAATGACTATAGAATTTTTGTTTAGCTTTATCATGATCATAATTTCTCTCCCGCATCATTTGAGCCCAAGATTGCCAACAAGTAAGCGTTTCTCGACAAGTTACACCAGAAAACTCAAACGCCACCTGCTTTGCAATACGCCCCGACCCGTCTACCATGGTCGCCTTCCGTTCGCCCTAAATTCGTTAAAAATTCGGGGTCATCCCTTAGTGCATCGGTGACAACTCAGGATTGTTTGACATCCAGTACCTTTTCGGAAGGTACATCACCTGGTTCTTTTCGAACCCCTGGGAGGTCAGCACTGCGACTTGAAAATTAGCACTGTCAAAATGGAGGACGACGCTCTTCTAGCGATCCCCACACGAACGTGGAATGTCTTTTCTAATCATCTTTAATACAAAATAATTAAGGAAATATATCGCATTAGTTTAAGCTATGGTATGGACCAGGGACACGCGACTCATTTCGTCCCAGCGGATTCCCATTGCGCGCATCATATTTTTTTTCGATCGCTTTGTCGAACCTTTCGCCGACTCGCCGGTGATTCACAGTAAATCAGGAATTTGATGGATATACCTGTTTACTGCAGAATCGCTTAGAATAATCCCCTCCGCATATTTTCTGACGATCATTCGAACACCTGAAGATTCCCGTTATTTAAGAAAAAATTTTCGCCGATGGTACCGTATAGCATTACGAAAGCCTGAGAAGTTTCAAAAAAAATCTTTTATAAATGAATTAGGGGTTTCATTGCGTTGGCTTTCTCCTCCAACGCTTTATTAATCTATTCTTAGCATACGAAATCTATTTTCAAGTGTGGAAAATGTTTTCAAGATTTTCTGCTACGATAAGTATACTGACCAGAATGACACCACTACAGATCTCACTTCGGACCTTGTTTCTGACATCAGCTTTCAAAGCTAACGGTCAGATACTGATTTCAGTAAACGCAGAATTTAATTCTGTACTAGAAACAAACAATTAAACTGGAGTAGGCAAACTTTATCCAATTTTTAAAAACGATTTTATGTTTTGGTGACAACTTGGTGTGGCCGACCTGTAGAAAGCCTCGCTACGCTCGGCAATTATACCACAGTAGTGTCATAATATACTGTTAAACCTGACAGGCTGCAGCAAAAAATGCCGGTGTAGATTTTTTATGTACTAGCTCAGACACTAGCTTTGCAGAGATAAGATTGAACTGGATGAGCTCTGAAAAAGATTGGGCAGAAATCTGTTTTCGAAAACCCTGCTTGCGGATTTCAATTGAATTGCTCGTGCGGACTCTCGGTTATTCCCTGCACTGGCAAAACATGGCTGACACAATATTGCAGCTTCCTATAGTAAAAAACTAGAAATAACCTCTCTACCAGATATATTAACGTGAGCTACGTTATATAAATGTTGGCGGCAGGCGACTCTTCCAGTGAGCAGAGGCGGTATTGGTATAGAAGAAGACTCGGGCGGAAGAATATGCGCTTTCAGCTTTCTTGGATTCGATTCACTCCGTATCCGACTTAGTACCATTATTGCTCCCTGACCACCCAACTGTTAATATCTTGGCCGTTTCTGAGTTACGGAAAACTAACGCACGTCTGGCAGAACTCCCGGAGCTTAATGTCAGAAAGGCACAACGAACATGGGACCTTCCACTGTGTAACGCATCACTATCCACACTAGATTGTGTTCGCAAGCACAAAAAGGCTTACGATATACGGTACGATATACGATAGGCTCTTCTACGTCATCACGGCGTACCCTTACCGGACCGTTTGACGGTAGGATCGACGGTAGAAGGCCGAGATATCGTAATGCCTACGGTTGGCGTCTGCGATATAGGAACCACCCTCAGTGGCAGTGGCATGAAGCACAATGTTTGCAGCTGCCAAATCATGAAACTTTAAAATTGTTCTGGCAATTTTACTTGTACTTCATTCATTAGAAAAGAATGTTAGAAGAAAGATAAAATTCTAAGGAATTTTTTGATACCAAGCGAGTGCAGTTTATCTAAAAATGAACGAATCTGCAACCATCTGAATTTAGCATGCCAAGCTTACGGAGCCGTTGGGGTTCTCTGCGCGAGCTATCATTTCAAGTCCATAGGCGCCTGTATTAAAATTATAATGCTCGTAAACAGATTCTTGGGCTGTTAAATCTGGATGTTTTGGTATCAAAAAATAATTTAGAATTTTAGTAATTTTCATCGAGTTTACAATTGAACGATTGTTACCATCTGCCAAAGCCTTAAAACTTGTTTGAACCGCTGCATGCTCCACGTCAGAGGCAGGATTGGACCGTATCGTTTACCGTCTGCGCGTTGCGATCACTCTAACTTGTCAACGGTACAGTCACGATACGGTGTCCCAGCGTATCGTATACCGGACCGTCTATCGTTCGTGTGTAGCGAACAGGATCTACTGTTAGACATCTTTCACGACGATGAAATCAACCGGGCCCGCCTTCTCGCACAGTCGGCACCGCGCAAGCTGGCATATGGTTAAATGCCTTGACCTCGGCACATATCGGTAACCTCTTGGACGATGACACCGTGAAGATATCAGTCGGCCTGAGACAGAGTGTAATTATCTATGAAGCATACTCTTGTTCGAAGTACCACAAGCCCGTTAATGTGTATGGTCACCACGGCTTGTTCTGCGCTTTTTCAGCCGGAAGGCATCCACGCCATGGTGGCCTGAACAGTATTCTGTGCAGATCGTTAGTATCAGCCGGCATCCCTGCAAAACTGGAGCCGCAAGGTACATCGCACACATTGGACCGTCGCCCAGATGGCTGCACCACGTTTGCGTGGCAGCGCGGTATGTGTTTGGCATGCGACGTGACCTGCGTGGATACTGTTGCTATGTCAAACCGGAAAGCCACATCAGTAACTGCGGGATCCGCCGCCGCTTAGGCGGAGGATAGAAAAGCGGGAACTTCTTTTTGTCGTCCATTGTAATATAGATCTGGTTCCTTGATTAGTGTTTTAGTACATAATTCTTATTAATTAATATTAGTTTTAGTACAGTACTATTAGTTAGTAGTTTTAGTACAGTATTAATTAATATTAGTTTTAGTTTTAGTACAGTTTAGTACAGTTTTAGTGCTATGTTGTTCTCTGTCATCCCCTTGAAACACAAGCGTTTCAAAATCAGCCATTACAGCAACCTTCGGTCTTGAACCTTAACTAGAGCTGCGCTCCGGTCTAATGCACAGTCAGGTGCATTTCCCTAGTACAGTACTTTCTTATTAGGCAGATGATACACTGTCGGTGCTCAGACGAAACTGCGTTTCAATACAGTATCTAAGTAACTATCCAGGTAATAACGATATTCAGTACAAGGTATGCCTTGTGCTCCGCGCCCGGCAATACCCTCTTAGACAGCAACTACTAGTAATATCTGATCACCCTACGATTTTTTCTTGGTGCTATGACCACAGGCTATTTTTCCACATTTTTCTTTAAATGGTCCGTGCAATTCCGATTTTTCTCTATATTATTGCACTAATTGCTGCCTCCTGGTAACAATTTATTGTTACGTGCAGTCGTGCACTTTTACAGCAAAAAACATTAACTCGGAATGATTTCATGCGTAGATTTCACATCTGAATATACATAACTGCACGAATATATTCGGATAATAAACTATACACCGTGTAAAATTAAGCTGCGCTTCGGTCTACTAATGCACGCTTGTAGCCGGCAGATATATTGGCCTGTTTCCTGTTGGCGAACCCGGCAGGAAAGTAGTTTTGCTCCCATAAATCTGCCGAAATGCACCCACATTTCTGCCGACCCGATCCTATGCATTGCCTATGGGAACTCCAATATATCAGCCAAACCGGCACAGCAGTGAAATTTGATACCTTTGTTGAGCGCGAGCCGGCAGCAGCACGGCCGGGCTGCATCCTATACACATACAGCCGCCTAAGCATAGTGTACCGCCACTAAACAGGCAGAGAAGCCCGCGCTTTTTCTTGCGCCGATTCCTTATCCTTGCAGGAGAAGAAATCATCGCAAAACAAAATTACTTATTGAATATATTTATTTTTTTCCAAATAACCATTTTTCTACCGCACACAAACTGTGAATGGTGTACAATGCGCATTACCATTAAACAGCTTTAATTAAAAACTATCAAGCACTTAATTCCGCAATAGCCACTATACAAACCAGTTTAGTATGCCTCTACATGCGCTGATGAAACTTAAACGAAATGAAAAATGTTTACTGCAAAGCCATAATTACCTTAAATTCTTCAACACATAGGCAACATGAGCGTATTTTCAGTTTAATTGGCGATGTCATGGGAAATTTGGGCACCCGAAATTAAAATGTATTTTTCATACAACGACCAATATATCTGCCGAAGTGAACCCACATTTCTGCCGACCCGACCCTATGCTTTGCGTATGGGAATGATGATATTATGCAGTTTAGTAAATTATGATATCTTGCACACCGCAGAACACACGCTATTAATATCTGCTGTCATGTCCGACAAGAACGCATATACGTATTTAGCAGACATCAGTTTTCGAAAATATCAAAATACTGATCAAGTTTTGAATCATCATTTCAGCATTACAAAGCCGTGATTAGCAAAATTTCTTGTACAGTTTTTTTGTTCTCATGGAATGGCTAATAATATGCATAGTCTGTGAGATTATGCAGGATAAAACTGCAGATCATAATAGGCAACTGGTTACTTACATTTAAAATAAATCGACACTTTTCTCTGTTTAGTACCGGGGCTATATGCCTTGGTAGCTCCATCTCATGCTGCAGCCTGCCGGCTCGCGCTCAACAAAAGAACAGTATCAAATTTCACTGTTGCCCCTGTTCGGCTGATATATTGGATTCCTATTAATAGACAATGCATAGCTTCGGGTCGGCAGAAATGTGGGTGCAATTCGGCAGATATATTGGTCGCTGCATGAAAAATAGTTTTTAATTTTGGGTGCCCAAATTTCGCATGACATCGCCAATTAAACTGTCAGTATGTTAATGTTGCCTATGTAGTGAAGAATTTAACGCACTGAAGGTGTTGAAAATTTAAGGTTCTTATGGCTTATGGCTTTTCGGTAAAATTTTCTTCCGCGCATGTAGAGGCATGCTAAACTGATTTGTATAGTGGCTATTGCCGTATTAAGTGTTTGATAATTTTTAAGTAAAGCCGTCTCATGATAATGTACACCGTTCACAGTTTGTTTGCGTCAGAAGAATGGTAACTGAAAAAACTAAATACATTCAACAAATCAATTTGTTTTGCGATGATGTTTGTGCATAAATCCATAATCGGCAGAAACGCTCCCCTGCAACGATTAGACAAGGCGCAAGAGAAAGCGCAGGCTTCTCTGCCTGTTTAGTGGCGGTACAATATGCTTAGGCGGCTGTATGTGTATTGTGTATATGATGCAGGCGCTGCTGCTGCCGTGCTGCTGCCGGCTCGCGCTCAACAAAGGTATCAAATTTCACTGCTGTGCCGGTTCGGCTGATATATCATATATTGGAGTTCCTATAGGCAATGCATAGGATCGGGTCGGCAGAAATGTGGGTGCATTTCGGCAGATTTATGGGAGCAAAACCACTTTCCTGCCGGGTTCGCCAACAAGAAACAGGCCAATATATCTGCCGGCTACACATGCTAACCGTCACTAACGTGCATTTTTCTAGCTTAATAACGTACGGTATACATATCGTACTATATTCAGTGTGCGATATACTGTTACATATCCCTCGTTTGTACTTGACGCCGTTGAAATTCCGGTCTACAGCTTCGCCGTCGCTTGATTTGTCATGCCGCATGCTCTAGATGTCTTGCTTGTTATTGATTTTCTTGGAGCGGAGGAAAGCATTATTCGGTATATTTCGATGGTGTTATTTCTGCATTTGCGAGCGCGTGCAAAAAATTTCCAGAACGAAAAGATTGTTTCTGTCTCCAGAAACACCTCGCTAATCACCTTTATCTCGGCTTTGATGCTTAGTTGTGAGAGTTTCTAACCTTCATTTAGAACATGTTTAAAGACAGAGTGTGGTCGTACGGCGCTATTACCGTGCAAGACAACGACAAATCCTTCCGTCAAGGGATGATCACTGATCTTCTTCAGCTTGAGAAGGGCTTCATAATTGACTTCGATTATCCAGAACACCATTCCGATTTTGTACCGTTTAACCGTTGCTTTGGTCCCACTCCGTCTGATTTTTATGCTGCTGGCGAATCGGTTGAGGTTCTATGCCGCAGCAGCAAGCAGGAGCCTTGGCGTTGGCATCCGGCCACCGTCATTGCTGGATCCATCAGGACCTTTGCTTTTGTCGAGATGGAGTGCAATGGTGAGAACATCCGCCAGGTGGTACGGAGATGGCATATTCAACTTCTTGGAGAAAGACCGCTGCTAGATTTGGGAAGGTACCGAAGATATAGTGTACACCTTAGCCGGCCACTCCTGCAACTGGCCAGTGCGTGCAGCCAAGAGGATCTGCATTGGTGGAATCGCACGCACGGGAATGTCTTTACGGCTTTGTTGGTAAAGATCGAAGAAGGCTACTTGATCCACATTACCAGCGACATCGAGCCCTGTTTCACACAAACGCATTTTAAAGAACTGGTGAGTAATACTCCTTCTGCCCAAATACGTACCATTCTGTTGCGACGACTTGCAAAATTGCATGGCATTGCTTGTATCTATACCCGATTCGAACAATCGAACTGACAATGAACGTTATATTCAAGCTCGGCAATTATGCTTGGGTAAAGTGACAACACTGTTTTAATTAATGCCTTCCCACTTCTTGGTCGCTTCTTATAGACTTCGTTAAGCTTTCATTTTTCAGCCAACTTAAGGAAAGTTACCCGGTACATGGTACCAAATTCGTGTACTAGTACTTACATGCATGAAAACTTTCGCTTTTGCGCACTCCCATACACGTTTGTTTTACTTGCTTTGCAATGTTTGTTTTACGACATACGGTTAAATGGGCGGATTTAAAATGGACTAAGCGTTTCCTTCAACTGCATGTTGATCATTACTGTTTACTGTAAAAATGTTGTTTAGGTTTGCCATGTTTTATATGTAAGGCTATCACTGATGTGATAGCCTTTTCTCTATGTTAGTCTATAACCTCGTGCAGGACATCCCTGATTGTTGTAGACATTAAGCTCATTCCGCTTTTATTCGGCAATGGCCAATTCAGATAACAATGAGCTTGCGCAGGTACAAATTACCTAAAATGATTCAAAATTTTAAAAAGTAAAAATCAGACTGACACTGCTGGCCCTCCTTGGGGGCAAACACGTGCCATCAGCAGCAGGTTTTTTTGCAGCGCGCCACATGCGGATGGTGTCAGTGACCTGACCGGTAACAAAAAATATGAAGCCGCATACATAAAGTGACCGAAATAAGCTCATTAAACAAACAAACATCCTGTAGCCAAATGATCTGGGTACAGCTACATTGGGCGAAATCGTTTGTGCGCGCCGTATCCGGGTGGCCGGGAAGCTATGAGTGAAATAACGTATTCATTCAAGTGTACAGACTGTACTTCTAGGAGAAAGTGTGTACTTCGATTAAACGCACTCAAGTCTACTTCGATTTTTCTCATATTTCGGTCACTTTATGTATGCGGCTTCATATTTTTCTTTACCGGTCATGTCACTGACACCATCCCCTGTGGCGTGCTGCAAGAATACCTTCTGCTGATAGCACGTGTTTTTTTGATTTGGTTTCACATTTCTGTGTCATCAGAACAAAATTAAAACAGTGGAATTTGAAACTTCTTAAGGTTGTAAAAGTGAAAGAGCGGTTTTATTGCACTGCACCCACTCCACTTTTTGTTCTTAGTTTTGGCATTTTATGGAAATTTTTGAAGTTTATGCTTCGAAATGCATGCATGGGCGAAGTTTTACTATGAAAACTATTCATTTCAGATATTTTTGTTAGAAAATTTTAGCCCCAGGTGATAAAAATATGAAAGGTTTACTAGAGTTGAAGAAATATGAAAAAAACGGAAGTACCGGGCCAAAGATTTCGTTATTTATGGTCCAATCTTCCGGCAAATTTGCTTTTGACCGAACCAGCATTCCACCATTTTTAAAATTCTAAATTAATTTTTGAAATTTACTTTACAAATTTCGAAAACATGGTTGAATGGAATCGGGTATTCCGTGTACCAACAGTCTTCATGCCCATATGCATTTTGAAAATCTGAAAGAGATCAGTCTTTAGAGAAGCTTCTGAAAATGTGTGCAAAATTTGGAAAAGGTTGGTCTGTAATGACACTTTAGGTAAAAGTGAATGCGTCCAAACTTTTTGTGTTTTCTTACAGCCATAATTCTACAACCTGATATTATGCACACAAACGGTTTTCCCGCCGATATATACAAATTAGCTAATTTGTGTATATCGTACCAGATACTATATACCTAGGTATCTGGTACAGAATGCCTTGAAACAGTGCAAAAAATTGCATGGGAGTGCGCGAAAGTGAAATTTTTCGCACATGTGCACGAAAATGATGCCATGTGCCAGGTCACTTTTTTTTAGCAACAAAGTCTTAAAGGAAAAAGTATAATATATTATTTTATCTGTAAACAATTAAACTGTATTTCGAGAATAGTACCCATCAACGTTCATTTTACGGATTTCCGAACCTTTAATTTGCCACCTTCTTCGAAATTTCAAATTTAGTACAATAAAGTGATGAACGAAGCTCTAACGCAGTCTACAAAGCCAGAAATCTACAAAATTTGTGGAACACATATAATTTTTTCACAGGTACGTACTGGTAGTACTAGTACGTACAGAACGGTCCGTAGTACGGCAAGGTCCGGCGTTTGATCGTAGCCTGCGTTACTCAGAGGCAAATCGGACTACGAGTATAATCGAACTGTTCGCGCAAAGGTGGAAGCCAGCAAGGGATTTTATCGCAAATATCGCTAGAAATTCCAGTAAAAACAACAAATTATCCTGGTTTATCCTGGTTTAACTGGTTGCATCGGATACAAGCGACGGACTGTCAAGTCAAGTCAAATAGTTAGAGTAGAAGATGAACTAAGAAGTAAATTAACTAAAAATATTTGACGAGAAGATGAACTCATCCAGTATCAAAAGGGGCATTGGAATTGGATTTTGTTCCTTTTAAACTAATTGAACCAGAACAGGCGGTATCTTACTTATATCCGGTTTCGCATGTTAGTTCAACGACAGCCTTTAGCATTTTCCTGCTTTTGTACTGGTTGATTTATCGTATGCTGTTGAATATGCGCTAAGAATGTAACAGAAAATGGGGATAAATCTTAACAGAACTATCCATACAACTAAATTTGTTAACTTTTGATTACTTTTCACATTGAAAGTCTTTAATTAAAGCAAGTGCTAATTTAGTTATTCCGCGCATTTTGCGCATCCGTCTATGACTAGTGATTACATCAGGAAACTGGAAATTTTGATTCGGTCTTGTACATTCTGATATTGTGTGGACCACAGCAAACATGCACCGTGCGGTTGTGTTGACTTCATGTCAAATTGTGCTGTTGTCGTTACTCGGACATCCGAGAGCACGTTTTTGCTCAAAATTAACAATACTTTAAAGGGTGGCTGTTGGCAGTTTTCAAGCCCAAGTTCTCATCTATCCAGATGAACTCATATACCTTTACGTGAGCTCACTATAAGCGGGCATGCAATTATGTTTGCTGTCCCAGAACGCAAATATCGACAGCTAAAATGGAGGCAGGTTATTTACTTAAAGATTCCCATGTATGTACACTCAAAAGTTAAAGAAGCGCTAAAGGCTTTAGCAAATAAATTTTGCAGTTCCGATACGTTTTGGACAACATGTGATATCCGTAAAGGAAATCGTAGTATGAATGCGGTCTATTTATTTTCAAATTTTTTTATACGAGAATAACCCAAACTGTTTTTATTCCAAAGGCCAAGATCTTCCGGACAATGGCTAACCGTTTACATAATCGCGAGAATCCTCAGGTATTTGCACCTCAGATGATTTTTCTACATTCTGGTTTTGAGCAGGTATTGTATATGTGGTGGCAGTGGTGCTAAGCAGGTATAAATAAACTTTAGTACGATCTTTTTTTTCGATATTATTATTTGGATTTACGAAATATTATTCACCGTTGCAAAACATTGTGGAGTCTCTGTCCCAGTCGGGATTTTTGTTAAATTCATTCGACCGAAGTATAGCTAAGGTTTACTGTGCTCAGTGGTAGTGGAAAGTATGGTGTCCATACGTCGGTCTAGCCCGGTCGGCTAGGTAAGATTCACATAATCATAATCATAAAACATAACAAATTTCTTTTGCTGATTAGCAATATCAAAATCAGAAAATGTTCAATTCTGAAAGTTGATAATGAAGCGTTGGCAGTGACCACTGCACGCGGCTTTCACTTGCCTACGAGTAGATGGTCGGCAGCTTGAACCATGTACATACCGGTGCTTATGTTGGGAATACAGTGCATTATACAGTACAAGAAACAACCTCGGCTTCGCCTCCGCGTTTCTTGTAGTCAACGGCCATTTTATTTAGTTTTCAATGAACATTTATTAGAATAACATATTTCGTCGAAACATAATCGGTACATCGTATAAGTGCAAGGGTGTAAGGGCTTCATAATTGACTTCGATTATCCAGAACACCATTCCGATTTTGTACCGTTTAACCGTTGCTTTGGTCCCACTCCGTCTGATTTTTATGCTGCTGGCGAATCGGTTGAGGTTCTATGCCGCAGCAGCAAGCAGGAGCCTTGGCGTTGGCATCCGGCCACCGTCATTGCTGGATCCATCAGGACCTTTGCTTTTGTCGAGATGGAGTGCAATGGTGAGAACATCTGCCAGGTGGTACGGAGATGGCATATTCAACTTCTTGGAGAAAGACCGCTGCTAGATTTGGGAAGGTACCGAAGATATAGTGTACACCTTAGCCGGCCACTCCTGCAACTGGCCAGTGCGTGCAGCCAAGAGGATCTGCATTGGTGGAATCGCACGCACGGGAATGTCTTTACGGCTTTGTTGGTAAAGATCGAAGAAGGCTACTTGATCCACATTACCAGCGACATCGAGCCCTGTTTCACACAAACGCATTTTAAAGAACTGGTGAGTAATACTCCTTCTGCCCAAATACGTACCATTCTGTTGCGACGACTTGCAAAATTGCATGGCATTGCTTGTATCTATACCCGATTCGAACAATCGAACTGACAATGAACGTTATATTCAAGCTCGGCAATTATGCTTGGGTAAAGTGACAACACTGTTTTAATTAATGCCTTCCCACTTCTTGGTCGCTTCTTATAGACTTCGTTAAGCTTTCATTTTTCAGCCAACTTAAGGAAAGTTACCCGGTACATGGTACCAAATTCGTGTACTAGTACTTACATGCATGAAAACTTTCGCTTTTGCGCACTCCCATACACGTTTGTTTTACTTGCTTTGCAATGTTTGTTTTACGACATACGGTTAAATGGGCGGATTTAAAATGGACTAAGCGTTTCCTTCAACTGCATGTTGATCATTACTGTTTACTGTAAAAATGTTGTTTAGGTTTGCCATGTTTTATATGTAAGGCTATCACTGATGTGATAGCCTTTTCTCCCATGTTAGTCTATAACCTCGTGCAGGACATCCCTGATTGTTGTAGACATTAAGCTCATTCCGCTTTTTATTCGGCAATGGCCAATTCAGATAACAATGAGCTTGCGCAGGTACAAATTACCTAAAATGATTCAAAATTTAAAAAGTAAAAACAGACTGACACTGCTGGCCCTCCTTGGGGGCAAACACGTGCCATCAGCAGCAGGTTTTTTTGCAGCGCGCCACATGCGGATGGTGTCAGTGACCTGACCGGTAACAAAAAATATGAAGCCGCATACATAAAGTGACCGAAATAAGCTCATTAAACAAACAAACATCATGTAGCCAAATGATCTGGGTACAGCTACATTGGGCGAAATCGTTTGTGCGCGCCGTATCCGGGTGGCCGGGAAGCTATGAGTGAAATAACGTATTCATTCAAGTGTACAGACTGTACTTCTAGGAGAAAGTGTGTACTTCGATTAAACGCACTCAAGTCTACTTCGATTTTTCTCATATTTCGGTCACTTTATGTATGCGGCTTCATATTTTTCTTTACCGGTCATGTCACTGACACCATCCCCCTGTGGCGTGCTGCAAGAATACCTTCTGCTGATAGCACGTGTTTTTTTGATTTGGTTTCACATTTCTGTGTCATCAGAACAAAATTAAAAACAGTGGAATTTGAAACTTCTTAAGGTTGTAAAAGTGAAAGAGCGGTTTTATTGCACTGCACCCACTCCACTTTTTGTTCTTAGTTTTGGCATTTTATGGAAATTTTTGAAGTTTATGCTTCGAAATGCATGCATGGGCGAAGTTTTACTATGAAAACTATTCATTTCAGATATTTTTGTTAGAAAATTTTAGCCCCAGGTGATAAAAATATGAAAGGTTTACTAGAGTTGAAGAAATATGAAAAAAACGGAAGTACCGGGCCAAAGATTTCGTTATTTATGGTCCAATCTTCCGGCAAATTTGCTTTTGACCGAACCAGCATTCCACCATTTTTTAAAATTCTAAATTAATTTTTGAAATTTACTTTACAAATTTCGAAAACATGGTTGAATGGAATCGGGTATTCCGTGTACCAACAGTCTTCATGCCCATATGCATTTTGAAAATCTGAAAGAGATCAGTCTTTAGAGAAGCTTCTGAAAATGTGTGCAAAATTTGGAAAAGGTTGGTCTGTAATGACACTTTAGGTAAAAGTGAATGCGTCCAAACTTTTTGTGTTTTCTTACAGCCATAATTCTACAACCTGATATTATGCACACAAACGGTTTTCCCGCCGATATATACAAATTAGCTAATTTGTGTATATCGTACCAGATACTATATACCTAGGTATCTGGTACAGAATGCCTTGAAACAGTGCAAAAAATTGCATGGGAGTGCGCGAAAGTGAAATTTTTCGCACATGTGCACGAAAATGATGCCATGTGCCAGGTCACTTTTTTTTAGCAACAAAGTCTTAAAGGAAAAAGTATAATATATTATTTTATCTGTAAACAATTAAACTGTATTTCGAGAATAGTACCCATCAACGTTCATTTTACGGATTTCCGAACCTTTAATTTGCCACCTTCTTCGAAATTTCAAATTTAGTACAATAAAGTGATGAACGAAGCTCTAACGCAGTCTACAAAGCCAGAAATCTACAAAATTTGTGGAACACATATAATTTTTTCACAGGTACGTACTGGTAGTACTAGTACGTACAGAACGGTCCGTAGTACGGCAAGGTCCGGCGTTTGATCGTAGCCTGCGTTACTCAGAGGCAAATCGGACTACGAGTATAATCGAACTGTTCGCGCAAAGGTGGAAGCCAGCAAGGGATTTTATCGCAAATATCGCTAGAAATTCCAGTAAAAACAACAAATTATCCTGGTTTATCCTGGTTTAACTGGTTGCATCGGATACAAGCGACGGACTGTCAAGTCAAGTCAAATAGTTAGAGTAGAAGATGAACTAAGAAGTAAATTAACTAAAAATATTTGACGAGAAGATGAACTCATCCAGTATCAAAAGGGGCATTGGAATTGGATTTTGTTCCTTTTAAACTAATTGAACCAGAACAGGCGGTATCTTACTTATATCCGGTTTCGCATGTTAGTTCAACGACAGCCTTTAGCATTTTCCTGCTTTTGTACTGGTTGATTTATCGTATGCTGTTGAATATGCGCTAAGAATGTAACAGAAAATGGGGATAAATCTTAACAGAACTATCCATACAACTAAATTTGTTAACTTTTGATTACTTTTCACATTGAAAGTCTTTAATTAAAGCAAGTGCTAATTTAGTTATTCCGCGCATTTTGCGCATCCGTCTATGACTAGTGATTACATCAGGAAACTGGAAATTTTGATTCGGTCTTGTACATTCTGATATTGTGTGGACCACAGCAAACATGCACCGTGCGGTTGTGTTGACTTCATGTCAAATTGTGCTGTTGTCGTTACTCGGACATCCGAGAGCACGTTTTTTGCTCAAAATTAACAATACTTTAAAGGGTGGCTGTTGGCAGTTTTCAAGCCCAAGTTCTCATCTATCCAGATGAACTCATATACCTTTACGTGAGCTCACTATAAGCGGGCATGCAATTATGTTTGCTGTCCCAGAACGCAAATATCGACAGCTAAAATGGAGGCAGGTTATTTACTTAAAGATTCCCATGTATGTACACTCAAAAGTTAAAGAAGCGCTAAAGGCTTTAGCAAATAAATTTTGCAGTTCCGATACGTTTTTGGACAACATGTGATATCCGTAAAGGAAATCGTAGTATGAATGCGGTCTATTTATTTTCAAATTTTTTTATACGAGAATAACCCAAACTGTTTTTATTCCAAAGGCCAAGATCTTCCGGACAATGGCTAACCGTTTACATAATCGCGAGAATCCTCAGGTATTTGCACCTCAGATGATTTTTCTACATTCTGGTTTTGAGCAGGTATTGTATATGTGGTGGCAGTGGTGCTAAGCAGGTATAAATAAACTTTAGTACGATCTTTTTTTTCGATATTATTATTTGGATTTACGAAATATTATTCACCGTTGCAAAACATTGTGGAGTCTCTGTCCCAGTCGGGATTTTTGTTAAATTCATTCGACCGAAGTATAGCTAAGGTTTACTGTGCTCAGTGGTAGTGGAAAGTATGGTGTCCATACGTCGGTCTAGCCCGGTCGGCTAGGTAAGATTCACATAATCATAATCATAAAACATAACAAATTTCTTTTGCTGATTAGCAATATCAAAATCAGAAAATGTTCAATTCTGAAAGTTGATAATGAAGCGTTGGCAGTGACCACTGCACGCGGCTTTCACTTGCCTACGAGTAGATGGTCGGCAGCTTGAACCATGTACATACCGGTGCTTATGTTGGGAATACAGTGCATTATACAGTACAAGAAACAACCTCGGCTTCGCCTCCGCGTTTCTTGTAGTCAACGGCCATTTTATTTAGTTTTCAATGAACATTTATTAGAATAACATATTTCGTCGAAACATAATCGGTACATCGTATAAGTGCAAAAAACGGATTTTATTTTTGCATATGATTGTGTTAATCAGTTGGTGATTCTCTCAAATGATCATAAATTCTCACTTAACTCAGTTCATGGTTCTGTGAAGCTCGACCTGATGAATCTGGGTAGTGAAAGCTCGGTCACTCGTTCATTTAACGGGATCTGTGCGCCAGCTTGGTCCCCCGTTCACCTAGCGGTCTGCGTAAACTGGACAGTACCGGCAGTTCAGTCACTCTTTCACCTGACGGGATCTGTGCGCAGGACAGTACCGGCTGCTCGGTCAACCGCTCACGTAACGGGTCCTGTACACTGGACAGTATCGGTTGCTCGGTCACTCCGTTCGCCTAAAGTGCTCTCTGCACTGGACAGTACCGATAGCTCGGTCATCCGCTTACTTATCGGGTCCCGTACAACAACTTGATGGGTATATGCTGATAAATTTGCGGGAACTAGAAATTTAGCAATTTACTGGATTTTTGATTTACTGGATTTTTATTGCTTGTTTCATGGCCAAGGTGTATCATCATTAAGGTGTATAGTGCATGAAACAACACGTTAAGAAAACAACATACCAGTAGCATAAAAATCAATTATTTTAAGTAAGCTGTCAGCCTTTATGAGCAAGTACAGTTTTATGAGTAACGTTATGAGTTATGTTTATGATTTATGCTTATGAATTATGTTTTATGTTTATGTTTTATGAGTTGTGTTTATGATTATGTGAATCTTACCTAGCCACGTCGGTCACCGCCACGCCTTATATAAGTCACTGGCCGAACTTTTTTATACTGCACACCGACTGTGTATGTAGCAACAAAACCCGCCGGACAGATAAGACGTCCCACTACACGAATTTGTCGTTAAGGGAAGTGGCCCGGATATACAAATCATTTGGCTGCACAATATTTACAGCAATGTACAAAATGTGTTTGGGAGTATCTGTAAACGAAAGCGAAAGTCCTCGTGCATCCACACGAATTCGAGACCATGTATCCGGGTCACAAACCTTTAACCGGCAAAACAATAACGGCCAGTAAATGTTTCATTCTGCAATAATCTTTTTTTAATCTGGCCCTCTGACTGTTTTATTAGGGCAAAAAATCAACCATTACCGGCAACCTTCCATGCGTCAACACAATTTTGCCGTTAGAATCCATCAGCCATATATTTTCCTTTCTGGAATTACGCGATCGGATACGGTGCCAACTGGTTTGCAAAACGTGGCACCACATTTCAGTATCCTGCCAGCTACCTGTGAAAATGGAAGTGTGTTCATATTGGCCTGACGATTTTGCCATAGCAGTGGACCGTTGCGTTACACGGTGCACAAAGACAATAATTTTTCAGTGTCACCACTGCCAATGCGAGAAAGTTCATTGTTCGCTGCAAACCCTATTCAGTTTGCTGAAAGTTAAAAGCATACGACTTATTAAAATCGTGCTATCGCAGTGCGATGTGTGGGCTGATGATATTGTAGCCTTTTCCGACGCTCTTGTGCTAAAATTTCGCTCCACACTGCGCGATATCTGCAACATATTCGTGCTGGACAATGTACGCATGTACGGGTTGCCTTATGTAGACGCAGAAGCCTGTTCTTGCATATTAACAAGGGGAACAGGTAGCGTAGGTCTGGACTTATTGGATCTGGCTGCAGAGGTTCTTGTGAACAAATGCGTGATAAACACCATTAACGAACAACAACTGGAATCGGCGCTAGATGTGCTGGAAAAGGGATGCCCCCCGATGCATCAAGAGCATCTTCCATTACTGCTAAACCGGCTAGAGAGCGCAGCCTCGGCGACACCTGTGGTGTTACGGGTACAGTCTAAATTACTATTATTAGTATACGACTAGGTAAATCGGATTTCCTAGTCTTTTTGAAATAATTCAAACAATTAACTACGGTTCGCTTACGCAAATTAGTGCTGCCTGCCGCTTGGTGACAGAAGGGAAGTACTAGTACTGCAGTAGCACAATATTTGTTTTCGAATAAACAACCTTCCTACCTTATTTCTGCTGTTTTCAAATTTGTTCAGATATTCTCGTGTCCCTTTGTTTAACTGTAATATTTTGATTTTAGCGAGGAAAAAATGAAATTAACGCAGAAACTTGAAAGGAACAGCGAGCAGCTTGTACAGATCTGTAGTGCGCCCGCTCACCATTGCTCACAATGTCAGCTTTGATCGACTTCCGACGTATATTGTACTTAAACCTGCAATCTAAGATGACCGAATCGGCTCACTAGTCGCAGTGAAATTTTGTATGGCATAATGGCAGCCGAAAGGACAAGCTTACGCTTACAAGCAACGTAACGAACGAGCAAGGCCTTACAATTTTTTAGAGGAAAAAATTGTATGACTTGTAATGTTCGATAAAAAAGTTTTCTTCAACCCGTAACGAAATCGCGCTTTTAGGTACTAAATCAATGGCAACCCGGTGACCCAAGATTTGCCAGGATTTCGGTGACTACAGATTTTCCCTGGGAGAATGTCCCTTTGGAATCGCTGAGAAAATTGACCTTGTTTGTTCTGCAGTGGCACATGGCTGACAACTGGCCCCACAAAGCTGCATGCCATAAATATTAACATAAAATCAATTATTCATAGGTAATTTTTAATCTATATGTAGACTTTAGAAATCGCAAACCATTGTATGACTAAGCACAAAACCAAGCAATGTATCGGTAAGCCGTAAGAGATTAGACGAAGTGGATTACCCAGATGTTGAAGAAATGTAACGCGTGACTTTTTGTTTAGCCACTGATGTAACCCGTGATTTTTTGTTTCACCAATGTTCCTGTGGATAACCACTTGATCTATGAGCGTAAAAGCTAAAGCACATCGTCATTTTAAAAAAATTGTCCTTGGACATACGATTCTGTGCCTATAAGCTACGACTAAAATGTAAGTGCTGCAAAGTGCAAACTTGCCAAATGTTATAAAGTACAAGATCTGTACTACGCGCGGCGCCCCATATTTCCTAGACCTCAGTAACCGATACATTTTTTTAAAAAACTGACAACGCCAAAAATTGGCCTCGATTCAGAACTGGGTCGCATGATTTTTGTATTTAAATTCGTTAGACCGGAACCTTGCCGGCACGATGACGCAAGCCATCCCATCCACCCACTTTCAAGGACACTTAGCAAAAAGTTACATGGATACAGTACTTAACACCCTAAATACAAAAAAATAAATAAATACAGTATCAAATAAATACAGTAACAAGTGTTGAACACTAATGCGATCCAAAAAACGGCTGCACTTATACTGATAATGAGAATAAATGGAATAATAATGATACAGTAATGGAATATATCCACGTCACTGTTGCACTATCCAGCAAGAAAACTCACTAGATGGGTAAGTGACCGAACTAAGTGGCAAAACTGCCCAGTGAATATAATCGCTAGACATGTATGGGTGACCGAGCTATCACCACTGCCCAGTGAGCGAAATCGCTAGGTGAGTGAGTTATACATATTAGATTTTGGTTGTTTTCGATGTTAAAGTGTTAAATATGAATTTGTATATCAGCACTCTCTGTTATTTTGATGGCTGCTGCGGGCAGTGCTGCCTATTAAAAATCGAATGCAGTAGTATTCTTTAGTTGTTGGCAAGAAGTTGTACTTAGGTGCCTATTAGGTACCAATAGGTACCACTGGGCACTGGCTAGACCGCACAGACATGTATGGTAGAATACTGAATACATTCTGCTCCAACCGGCATTCGCAACAGGAACTGTACATTACAGTATCTGATATAAACTGCTGGATAACATATTTTGTAATCGCTTACTGTTTTTTATAAAACAACAATTAAATGAAATGAGTACATAGCATACTTACTATTACAATGCAAATTCATGATACACCACTTAAGCGCAATGAAAAAAGCGACTGTAAGCGCTTTTTAAGTAATGTCTGCATGAAAAGTGGAGGTCCAAGAATCCAGTTGTCCCAAAATTAAAATAATAATTATTATGGTAACTGCCATTCTGCCAATAATTCATAGTAACAGTACGTACCTTACTATGAAATGTTATGTATAGATTTACATTGCTAAAATAATAATTGTTTGGCCACACCCGACGGTTAACCTTCGCAATTAGTTTTTTAGTATATAGTCGACCGAAGCGTAGCGAAGGTCTTTCATGTTCAGTGATTATGGAAAATGTGGTGTCCGTCCGTCGGTCTCCGCCGCTAATGCACATATGCGCGGTTGCCTTTGTTATCAAATGTACGCTTGCGCGGTGGCCGTATACACTTACATCTAATGTAATTGTTGGTGTCCGTCCGTCGGTCACCGCCACACTTGTATCATAAAAAGGGAGGGGCACAGAAGCCTTTTGTACTGACGGCTTATGACAGCGGTTGTCTTTTTTTTAGTATCGATGCCCTTTCTGTCACCATACAGACATTCTTCTAAAAAATTTTTCGAATACTTTAGCCGCTCGATGAGATTGTCCTACAGGGTGTGGTACGTAAATATCACACTAAATATCACACTTGCTGTGCGATGTAACGCACACGGCGAAATTAAATCAGGCTAACTTATACCAGTTGACCTTTTCCTAAAAGATACAGTTTCGAACCTGTCGTCAAGCATGCCTCTAAAAAGGCACAGCCATCCGTCGGCTTATTAGAAGAACGTCAGTCGTAGACTCGTAGTTTGGCCCATATGCAGTGTAAGTTGCCTTCGATCCAAGTTTTTTTTAACATGGCGACTGTGACCTGCAGGATTGTTTCTCAAAAATTCTTGCTCCTCGACCTCTTTCCCCTGCCCCCTTTCCCCCTTGGCAAGAATGGTGAGATAACAGTTCAACAGGTAAATGATGTATTTTAACATGACCTGTCCGTCTTACAGTAACACGGAAATTCACACCAGAGTTGACAGTGCATCACCAAGAAGAGAACAATAAGAAAAATAGTCACAATAATAGGAAAGTTACGTCTGGTTTAAATTATTGCTGCGAAAAGGAAAACATTATTACCGAGAAGTTACCAGGTGTGCTCGAAATTAGAGAACTCATTGTCTGAGTGTAGAAATGTGAGTCGAATATTGCTATTCAATGCCGCTACACGGTACTGATTCATGTATGTGTGAAATTTTTCGCTTTCACGCATTCCTAAACACTTTTTTGCATCATTTTATGACACTTTAAGGCCACGTGATTTGTATACATTGGCGTCAAACTGTTTCTGCGCTCAACATCCAGTTGGTAAGTTATTGCGGTTTTCGCGCCAGTGTATACAAACCACTCACCTATACACTGCTATGAGTCAATGCCGATACGTGTATTTGAGTGAAAACTCGACCTACAACAAATCAAAAATTTTGGTGCATGCACACGAATTTTGTGCTATGTACCGGGTCACTTTCCCTAAAATATTAGCCTGTCAAAATTTTGGCGGTTCTAAGAACATCGAAATCTTCATTTGTCCGCGCGCTTTTACCGGTTATAGGTTTTTTGTGCTTCATAACATCCATTCTGCTATCTCTACTGCTGTAGCTCTCTAAGGATTAAAATACTGTAAACAGCGCTAAATACGATAATTGCAAACATAGTATAATCCCCCGGTACCGGCAACAGTCTAAATCTAAGTTATTTACAATGCATTCCTGCTAAGCTTAGGTCATGCAGTGCCCGCCCAAAGCGAGTGCACTTTTCTAGTATATATTTTTTTATTATATAGTTTTCATTATACCACAGTAGTCTCCTATCTTTCTACAAAAACTTAGATTTTCTGAATTTGGAGAGGGAAATAGTGCTCTTGTTAGTCTTACGTCCATCAAATACAAAGTACATTTCAAATAAATTGATTCAGAAATCCTGCAAAATTTTCACCGCGGTAAAAAAACTTTAAAAAAAACGTCTTGTATTTGCATAGAAGTATGCGTGATACGCAGTGTCTAATACATACTCCACTCTTATGCAGTGGTTAAATGATGCCCGGAAGTAAAGATGTCTGTATCCGCAGAAGCAAGAAATGGGTGCCATACTTGCGCAGTTGCGCCTACGAGTGTTGCGCAGTGGTAGCGTGCCTGTTAAAAAATCTTTGCTAACCATAAACGCCTCATCTTCGGGCGCTGTTGACCACTTTGAGATAGCCGGTACAAAAACGCTCGCCATTCGGTAAATATATTATACAAGAAACAGCCTCGGCTTCGCCTCCGCGTTTCTTGTGGTCCGCGGCCACTTTATTTGATTTCCAGCGAATCTAATTGTTAGTGTAAAATCTATAATTATTTCGTCGAAACATAATCGGCAAATTGCAGAAGCGCAAAAACACGGATTTTATAATATAAAAATCAGTTCATGATTCTCTCGAACCACTATGAATTCTCTCTTCTTTAATTCATGATTCGCTCCAACTCAACCTGATGATTTTCGGTAGTGGTAGCTCGGGCACTCGCTCACCTAACGGGCTCTATGGATTGGACATCAGTAGCACCTTGCTCATTCGTTTACCTGTCAAGCTCGGTTTACTGGACGGTATTCGAACGGATTCAAAAACATCTTAAAGGTTTCAAGAATTTAAAAAAATGAAATTATAAATTTGATGTAACTGACACTTTTAAATAACTGTTGTTCAGGCTGCTAAGTTGCGAAACTCGTATTTGCTCATTCGAGACGTTTCCAAGAATTTACTGGAAACTTCTACGGTATGAGCTTTAAACGCTAAGTTCTGAAAGTTCGAAACGTTTTTAGAAACGTTCCGAAAACCAAAATTTTTTTTCAAAGTACAGGTAGGAAGCTTTGGAAGATGCTGGATTTCATGAAACTATCAAAAGTTTGATAAACTGAATCTCGAATTAAAAGATATTCCAAAATATAAGGACGTTGGCATAATTAATTCTATGGAATCTACTATTGATACGAGATACTAGTGCAGCGAGGAAAGCTGCTAGATGTGCTTTAAGCTCGGCATTTACGATACACTTCTGCTTTCCTCATGTATTTGCTCAAGAAGAAAGACGCAACGATAGCGCGCATCTTAAAGGAGCTCGAAGACAACGGTGAAACCGTGAAACACACAGTCTGTGTACCACATGGCGGTCTGTGTACCATTAGGCTTATATTATGGCGGAAATAGGCTTTGACGCCGTAGGTGAATGTACGGTAAGTGTCATCAAGAAAATGATGCCCATGAAGTTTCTGCTGACCAAGGCGTTGCTCGACTTAAAACAAGAGTGTCTTTTACCTTCCTTTTGGGCTCGTCACTAAACACACAGTGCAAACAAAGCTATGTAGCTCGAAAACACCAGACAACCTGCGACAAGAGAGTACACGTACCATACCATCTAAAGTAAACACAGTCGGGGCTCATAAATCAGTGCGGTGAGGAGATGAGTATCGAGTCAGTGTTTGCTGCTGAATGGACCGATTGGCCAGACGTAGGTGTCGTGGATATGCATCAGGTTGATCTCACAAGCACAACAACAACGCGGCTAATTATGATGTTTTCTTTCGCGTCCGACCACTTCGGCCGCGTTTTCATTTCGACTGCATGTGATCACATCGGCCACAGCTCGTTTCGCCCACTCAGCATTTAAGTCATTTCATGAGTGTGATAAGTTTGTTCTGCCTTAGTTTTCTTAGCACTCTTTTAAAGTTTTCTTATGTTTCCTTAGTTTTTCTTAATTTCTCGTAGTTCTCGTAATTTCTCTTAATTTTTCTTAATTTCTCACTCTATAAGCGGTATAAACGTCCACAAACCAAAACAGATCACCGAAAAAGCAATTAGGAGCCCAATTAGAGACCAAGAAACCACAACAACACGAAGGAACTGGCGCAATCACTCACAACAATGCAGTGACAACGATGCTGTTAACAGTGCAACAGACTGTCTTGTACGACGGTGCTGGACAGTGCCAGCTGCGGCTCCGCGTCCAGCGACCGCCCAGGGTGGCGGACGGTCAGATGGTAGGCGAACATTCCGCGTCGCACAAAACCCTGCTGACACTCCTCGCACTGGTACGGGAATTCGGTGTAGTGCTTCATTTTCTGCGGGGGAACGTAGTCTTTCCTCACCGACTGTTTCTTTTCACCGGCACCCGGATTTTTCCGCAGATCCACCTTCCCTTCCGCATGCACGCGCTCTTTGTGATTCAGTAAATGGCGACGAGAGAAGAAACTCTTCCCGCATTCACAGACCATATCCCTAGTCGCCTTGTGCACGAATTCCCGGTGTTTCTGCATGCCATGTTTTTGCTTGAAGACTTTCCCGCAGATGTCGCACGGGAACTGGCCGATATCGCGGTGCATGCGGCGCAGATGGTGGCGGAAGTTGCGGAAGCTGTATTTGCAGGTGGCCGGGAATTTTTTATCGCACAGCGTGCACAGCAGCATCCCGTCCACCGAGTGCGACTGCTTGAAATGATTGTACAGGGGCACGGTGGTGGGAAATGTCTCCTCGCATAGCAGGCATTTGACGGTATTGCCATGGTGCGTCTGCAATCAACCGGCACCAGTGATCAAATATGCTTGAGTGTAGTTTTGAACGCTTTGATGCACACATGTAAATGAAAATGAAATTACTGTTATTGCTGCTAGTACGTTTATTCATGCATTAATCTGGTTATTATCCGATCTTCTTGAAACTTTGCGGTAAAAGCCAGTAAGCCACATAGCCAAAAAGCATAGTCTCAGCAATCAGCTGTATACAGTGCATTTCTTCTCAAATGAATCAATCTGTTTTGCAATTTTATAGCTAACAGCCTACTTTTGGTGCACTATGACGCCAATAAACTTTTTGTATATATACACCGTGTTTATACAGTTGCCGGGTCGTTATCATGGTAATTCGTCTCAGTTATTAGAAAATTTCCCAAGTCATACCCTCATATGATGCACGTAATAAGTATTGCCGGTGAACTTCCGGTGGCACGTGGGGCACTCATACGGCTTCTCGGCATCATCCAACAGATGAATCTGCTGAATGTGCCGTTCCAGTCGTTGGAACGTCACGAAGGAGCGTTGACATCGCGGACAGACGTGCAGATCTTTCCGTGCGTGACAGTTATCCACGTGCTCTACCAGTGTCCGGACGTTCCCCGTGGAGAAGGTACAAAGTGGACACTGCTGCACCTGTAGTTGGATAAATAATAATTCCACATATAATCTGCCCATAGCCTGGTGGTAGTACGTCTGGCTTTAGGATTGTATACCGCAGCTTCGGCAGGTGACTTTTATCTCAAAATCAGACCAAAAGGCGTATAAAATTTTTCCAAATTCACCCAAAAAACTTCCTAATACCCTGGTAAAATGTCTCGATTTGGATATTATACATTTATTATTTGGATAATTATAGTAATAATAATATAACAATACTAACCTCTTCGGTCTCTTTATCGAAAGTACCAAAGTCTTCGCGATGCTGCAGAGCATGTACCGACTGCACCGCACACGTGGCGAACTGCATTTTACAGGTTTTGCACGCACGATCGGTACCACGGTAACGTTTGGTCTTCTCGTTAGCCTTTCTCCGGATTTTTTCCGATTGTTCGTCCGACAGGGAATGATGCTCCGCATCTACGTGATCCACCAGTGCCGACCAATCTTCCGCTTGGTGGTCGCACTCGGGGCACACAATCCGCTGTCCAGTCGTTGCCGGGAGAATTCCGTCAGTGCGATGACGTAAATGGTGGATGTCGCGAGTGATTTTCAGCCGGAAACTAATCGGGCATCCTGCGGTGCACGGAAAACGTCCGTCGGAAAGATTGGTTGGCGGCCAGACACGGATCTGTAACGCCTTTCTCGACAGGAAATCAAGGGCTTCATCCAGATTTTCCGCCGGCACTGATAACAACGGTCCATCCGATGATTCTCTGGCGCTGTCGGGAAGAGGTGGGCCGAGAGCGTCCGCGTCTGCAGCGCTCTGTGTTGGATATTCTGCATAAATATGTATAAGTAGTGCTGTTAATTTTATCATAAACAGATTAATTAATGGCTAATTTAGAAATTTTTTTAGTCTATTTTAATGAATTTTTTTGATCCTTTATTCAAAATAAATCAATCGATTACTCAATGTGTTAAACTTTAACTAGAGTAGATTCAAAATTCTCACGAGTATAACCAGGCACTGACTGCTGCTGTGAAACTGAGTTAGCGAGTACTGTATTATCAAAAGATCGAATATCGTCGTTAACGTTATCCAACCGTAAGCGTTATTTCTTCGGTTGCACTGAGTGTTTAATTTGTGTTATTACATATTTCTTCAGCCATATTTTAATTACTTTTTTTAAGTTTTTTTAATTTTTTTAGGCACTCACTCCGCGGAAAGGAATTTAGCTTAGAGGAAATTAATGATATTTAATGCAACTGTATGTTACTACGTACGGTAATCCAGTAAAGTGTACCTTCACTCATCTTCCGTTTGAGCTGCCAGGCTTCCTTCAGCGTCATCAACGGATGCCCAGTGCGCTGCAGGTACTTGTTGACACTCTCCTTGTCCAACTCCAAACAGCGAACTTTCCCCCGGAGGCGCTTGGAACTGTAATCACCACCGTACTGACCACTCCGCTCCATAATAAATTCCCCGATGGTCTTCGCTACTTCGCACGGTGTTACTAGCGAGGTTTTCTTAGTGCGGTTGTTCCACAGTTGATAGTTTTCAGCGTCCGACAGCCATTCCACCAGCGCCGTCTCCTCTTTATCGCTCCATAATCGGTAGGAGCGGGTGCCAAATTGATCCGGCGTTAAGTCGGACTTTTTCGCTGCTTTTTTGGAGATTTTCCGGCGGGTGGGCTCAGTGTTGGTAGGACGGATTTCGTCCGTGTCAGGAGTGTCGAGATGGTCAACCAGATCAGTTCCTTCGCAAAGAGCGACCAAATTGTTATTATTGTTATTATTATTATTAAAATTATCCTGGCTGGTATCAGCGGTCCAGGAATCCGCAGAAATCGGCAAATCATCGATATTGTCGTCAAAAGCGTATTTCTTGACCAGCGCGGCCATTTTCGCCTTAACAGTCAGGACAAGATGCTCCCGGGCCGACTCACCGCACTCCCGGATGAGGTGCGCTTTGACCCGCCTTGCAATTTCCATCTTGGAAACTACACTCCCACCCTTCACCGAACTGTCGCCCGCGCGCTGCCACTGCCGATAATTCCGGGGATTTTCCAGCCATTTTATGGTCAGCGCCTCCTCCTGCGATGTCCACGCGCGGTACCGCCGTTTCTTCCGCAGATCACTGCCACTATCCAGCAGCGCGGTAATCTTCGTTATAATATGCTGCGGTGAAAATTCCCGAGCGCCCCGCCCGACCAGGTACGCCGCGACGATCCGCGCCACCTCGCTTTTTGTCTGCAGGACGCCTGATACGGGGTTGCTCTTCCCGGCGCACTGCCACATGGTCAGATTGTTCGGGCTGTCCAGCCAATCTCTCAGTAGACGTTCGTCCTTCTCCGACCAAGTGCGCTGCTGATTGGCGTTGAATTCTGACGGGAGTCCATCCGGCATAAACCCAACCTCTAAATCCGGCGCATCGTCCTCCATCAACGGATCCGCGGTGATTTTTGTTCGGGTCCGTGACCGACCATCTGCAGCAGTAGCCGACGCCGAATTCTCTGTACTATCATCAGCGACGCTCTCGTCCAGGTAAACGGCGTTGTATGCATCGCGAAACCGCCGAACATTCGCCGGCGTTTTGTCCGTGTCCGGCTGGAGGGCTTTGCCTTCCAGTGCGGCGACTTTTCGCTTGATGAGTACTGGTTCGAGGGAAGTACACCCCTGGCCCACCATATATGCCGCAATTAAACTGGCCACGTTTATTTTGGTACCACAGTGCTCCGCCGAGCTTCGTCCGGCGCGTTTCCACTGGCGACAGTTGTCGGGATCCAAAAACCAGTCGACCAGACAGCGCTCTTCCGTTTTCGACCATAGATAGTAGGGGCGGATGGCCATGTCGACGGTTATCGCTCGACGACGGCGTGGCGCGGGGGACCGAGGCGGTGACGGATCATCATCCACGGTAGGCAAATTATTTTGCACAACATTGCTATCTTCGTCGGGAGTGACGCTGGATGCACCGATTGGCATCGCAGTACAAAGCGCGTCCATCGCATCACGGGTATTCGCCATAACGCCCACACTATTGTCGCCATCAGCGTCCTTATTCCCTAATAAAAAATACAAACCAATTTAGGCTAGAAAAGCATTTATGAAAGAGGTTAGGCTTACCTTGCGTTGCAAGTCCAGGCGCGAGATTCTCCTTGTTGAGGAGTTGGCAGTATTTTGTGGAGTACCAGAAGCAGAGTTCCGTCTCGGCGGGGATGTCTTTCGTGGTGGCCAGGTAGACGTGGTCGTCCTGTTGGAAGGCGACGAGGTTCTGCTGCTCCGCGTCGACGGCCTCGCGGACGAACTTGATCCAGTTGCACAGATCGTCGCTCCTCAGGTCGAACACCCGCACACCTGCATTTTCTCCGCGGGATCCCTTCTTGTCGCGCAGTCCGAAGCGGTGGTCCACGGCGAAGGCGGCCACGGGGTGGGGCGTGAGGGGGGCCAGCAGCGGGCCGAAGACGCTCGGGTGGGGGATGGCGCGCTTGGCGAAGACACCCGGGTCTGCAATAAATAATACAGCTATACAGACTGACAAATTAATCAGTCGACTGCTTCTCACCGAGCATCCCTTCCTTTTGCGCGATGTACAGCTCCGACGGCAGACTGCCGTACGCCCGGGCCACCACTGGAGTGTCTCTGATCAGCTGTGAATGCAGCACACACGGCTCATCGCTCCCATCCAGACAGCGTCGACACTGATTGGGTTCTACAACGTATCGTTCCCTTCTGCTTAGTCCTTCCACGTAAACCAGTGAAATTTGACGTTATACAGTATACCTGCACAATTTTCGTCGCCTACAACGGATGCTTCGCGCACACGTTGGCTTCGTCTGGCCAGTTTCGTGCGTTCTCCGCTGACGGATGATTCATGATGACGTTTTTTAGCATCAACTTGGAAGGGAACGGTCTCGGATACTCTGTTGCGACGACGGCCATGGTGATGCCGTGAGACAGGCGCAATGGGCACTAGGATGAACGTGGGTAGACCAACGGTCGGAATCGGCGGAGAAGGTTGATTCAGTTCCCCTGGTGCTACAAAAGTGATCAGCGATCATACATGATACTGATAACACGAGTGATACAACCCAGATATGTTAATGTATCACTTTGGCTGACTGATCTGGATTGTATGAATTTGTATCTGATCGGGATTATGTTAAATAGTTACTAAAACAGTCAAGGATATAGCACAGCTTATGTGCATCGATAATATTGGTCTCGAAAATATAATAATAGTAATACAAGTTGAAGTAGTACATAAATGCATATAAAATTGCAAGTTGCAACAGCAAGAGTGCAAGACTCACAGTGTGCATCAGCAACCGAATTCGCTATTTGCTTTGGCAGTAATCGCTGCATCGTTCAGAATCCATCAAAAGAAGATCTCAATGCATGCCCGATTAAGTTTTCGTCATGGAATCTTTGAGATCACAGAATGCAGTGGAAAGGAAAACAGCAATTTATAACAAAACAAACAAACGTTAACCACTAAAACAGTGTAATAAGAAAACTGGCTGCTGCAGGTCTCGTTCAGTAGTGCAGCAGCAGCGTCACCCGTAGGCGGTAGGTAACTTCCGGTAAGCCGGTAAAACACTTCCGGTATTTAATTCCGGTACTTATTCCGGTACATTCTTCCTGATGCAATTGTAAGTTTTTTACCATTGTTCACAGAATTCCATCACGTAGACAAACACTGGATCGTGACGCACGCATGTATCGGTATCACACGGTACAGACATACGAGTATAACGTTTACTTTGCGATAAACAACGCAGTCGGAAACGGAAAGAATGCTCCACTCGCATAACTGCAGTATACAGTACTTATATACTTAGAATTCTTTAATAAGTTCCATTTGCTGTTATGCGGCAAGATACCCTGTTGCAATTATGGGAAAAAGCACGCATAAAAGCACTATTCTTTTTAAAGGTTGTAAACAATGCTTGTGCAACGGAAGCAGCAATAAGGTTAAAAACCGCTTGCTCTCCTCTACTTTACACATGAATCTTGTAAGGAAATTGCCAATACCAATGGAACGCCTGGTATCCACAACCCTAAGCACATGATAATTTACGGGATACGTAGCTTACGAATTACGATTGATTTCTCCTTTCCATGGCTCTGTGGCACTCCATCTGTGTTTTGAATCAGACTTTCAGTGGTTGCAGAATAGTATCACGGAAAATCTTTAACATTTGTCTACTTTAGTTTTCAAGAAAATAACTGTCACTTTCCACTTTTATAGAGATACTACAGAGTATGAGAACTTATTACAGTAGCATCGACAGCGCTTGCATCCTTTTTGTTTAACTGACTATTGCCTAGCTGTTAAACAAATCACTTACTGCGTAAATTAATAATTTGGATTTGATCGTTTCACTTCGAATTTGACCATTTCATTACTTTATCATTAACGTGATGGAGAATAATACGTGAATGCATTGAAAGGAAAGGCTATGCTCTGTTTTTATTATTCAGCAAGAAAAACAAAACCGGAACAGGAAATGAGTGTGGAAGCTGATTTGTTCGTTAAGATATACCGAGCTGCTGTGCACGGTGGGCTGCATCCCAGCAGCAACATTATCGTCTGTCCATATTCCATCGAGCATATTTTAGCAACTCTCTTATTTGGCGCCAAAGACAAACTCCGGGAGGACCTGATGCAACTGCTGTGCTCTGGCAAGCGCTCTGTCGAGGATCTGCGTGCGGCATTATCCGTCACGAACGATGATGGAGCATTCAGCCAAGTCAACGCGATTTTCTATAGCAACGCGCTCACCTTGAAGCCATCATTCAAAAACGTCATTTCCACAATATCCAAGGTGGTCTTCGTACCCGTAAACTTTGAGGATGCCGTCGCCAGCCGAAAAGCCTACAACGAGTTTCTGCGCGACCATGCCAGCGTCGAGATGGCTGCTGTCCTCCCGGAGAGCGACATGGTCAGCGTTCTCGACAACGAAAACACCTGTCTTATAGTGGTTAACATGCTGGACTTCTCCGCGCCCTGGGTGCGACAATTTGATGAGGAAGACACGGCGGACGGCGTCTTTACCTGTATGAACGGTGACAAAAAGACAGTGCCGTTCCTGGTCTCCGCCTACACGACATGGCGGTCATTCAACGTCATGGAAAAGACGTCCTCCACCGATCCGCAGATGGTGATTATGGATGCTGCGGAGAAACGCTACAGCATCATGCTCCTCCTTCCGCCCGACACTGACGGGTTACGCGCATTGGAGGACAGCCTAACGGCCGAACAACTGCGGACATGGCGACAGGAGAGCATTCCGCAGGCGATGGTGCTGTCTTTACCGAAGTTTCGCATCACTACCAAGCTGGACCTGCAGAGCTGCATGCTGGCTCTGGGACTGAGCGAGCTGTACACGACCGTAACGGGCTTCTCCGACATGTTCGGCAGCAGTAGCCTCATCGGCGTCACGGAGTTCCGACAAAGTGTTGTATTCGGTAAGTGGCGCGCTGCATTTGACTGTGCCTGTTTCTGCCGTACTTCGAGTACTGCCGTCAGTCAAATCAGTCTCTGACCGCTGATACATGGTGTTTTGCGTTAGCATTTATTAACCATGTTCGTTAGGTAGCATACTAATACCGCAGATTGATACAGTAATGATAGTAATCGATAGAGTAACCGGCTTATATAATGAACAGCATGCATACTGCATAGTGCATCAATGTGAACTTGTAGACACGATGCGAACTAGCATTGCGGATCTGTTATGTCGGATGTCATACTATCGTATCATCCTACTATTCATAGATATCATACTATCGTAACACTGCTGATAGTCCTTCAACTGATCTACGGTTTCAGAATTTGACGAAATGGGCGTTAAATCCCGCGTGGCGACAATGTTTGGAGCAGAATATATGTGTGTCCCTATTCCCCACTTCCGGGCCAACCGGCCGTTCCTGCTGGTGGTGTGGCATAATCAGCTGGATCTTCCGCTTTTCATCGGACGCGTTATGGATCCCACGGCATAAAGCCGGCACAGTCGAGGGAAAAGTCATCCACGTTCTTGCGAATCTCACTGCCGCAGTGGCCGGAAATGGCTTGGTCACTTTGAGCAGAAAACATAGAACTGTAGTTTACTACGTCAGGCAAATACGTTACTGCTTCCTTTCATCGAATACGGTAATTCTACTAAAACTTACCAGGGGCATTCCCGACCACTTGGCACTCTGATCAATTCGTGCTTAGTATCATCAGAATCCTCAGAAATTCTACAATTTTCTTTATAAATCAAATCATCCCCAAGTTAATGACTGGAATTTAGAGATCTCAAACAATTCAACGCGGATAAAACGCACTTTAAAAGAAAACAGTCTATAAGAACCTATCTGTAAAAGTCAGCTTAAACAAACTCTGGCCAATCTAAAAATTAATACTGTAAAGTGGAATAGTTGTGCGGGTCTCAACATCCGGATATCTTCCTGGTCACGTATCTCATAGACTCGTACATGAAGCAGTGCGTGTTATTTATAAGCGTTTGTAATGTTAAAATGAGTCATTTTAATTATTGTCCAACGCGCAGGCACTTTTATGTGCGGTGGCTGTGGCCAAAATTAATAAAAATGACGTTTGTAACTTCAACTTGAAGTCTTTGAGTACGACTTTTATTTATTGGAAACCTTGAATTACATTATTATATCGAGTAAACATTTCAAAACAGAAACATCGCATCAACGAAAAGCGGAAACAGGCGGCTGAATTACAGAGAACATCTGTTCTAGATTAGCCCAAGATGGTGCTGTTCGGAACAGCAACAGCTTCGGCTGATTTTGAACAAGCCTGTTCCCAAGATGGATGCAGCGTTTGCCCGTCCAAATTTCGATGCTGATCCTCTGGAGCAGATAGTATCTAGTGCATACTTGCTCGTATTTATCTCTCCTGTTTCCTGTCGTACCATCTTGCCAAGCTCAGTGAACATTCGAGAGGCAAAATTCCCACGTTCAAGTTGATTTTTTTATGCAGCTACCATGTTCTTCCATAATTGTCAAACAAAACAGAACTTTGTCAAACAAAACATTATGAAGACACCAGCATGAAATGACCAATTTCCGAAGAACAACAACTCAAAAGAACACAACACACTATTCACAGAAAACAGTAGGAATACCGCGTCGTTTATCCTTGTGGGCAAAGGTCACTGATTTGGATGCACGGCGGTGCTGGAGAGCATCAGCTGCGGCTCCGCATCCAGCGACCGCCCCGGGTGGCGGACGGTCAGATGATAGGCGAACATCCCTCGCCGCACGAATCCCTGCTGACACTCCTCGCACTGGTACGGGAACTCAGTGAAATGCTTCATTTTTTGCGGCGGAACGTAGTCTCTATTCTGCGCCACACTTTTGCCACCTGTTGCGTTCTTCCGCCCGTCCACCTTGTCCTTCTGATGCACCACTTTCTGGTGCTGACGGAGATGCGGCCGCGTGGGGAAGGATTTGCCGCAGTCACATACGTGATGCCGGCCGGCGCTGTGCACCCCTTCCATGTGTTTAGAGCGGGCGCTGGAACTTTTGCACATTTTCCCGCAAATATGGCAGGGGCATTCGTTGCTCTCCACGTGTTTCCGGGCGTGGATGCGGAAGTTCCGGAAGCTCTCTTTGCATTTGATCGGGAATTTTTTGTCGCAGATCGTGCAGACCAACTGGCCATCGACCGAGTGCAACTGCTGCATGTGCTCGTAGAGTTTCGGCGTCTTAGGGAATTTCGCCTCGCATAATGGACAACTGATGTGGTCGGGCCCGAGATGAGACTGCAAAATTTTGCCTTTTTTAACTTTTTCAATGGTGTATAAGTGTATATTTTTCGTTAACGTGCTTTCAGTTATTTCCATTTTTCTAGAATTATTTTTTAGTAGTATTTAGTTTTTAAATAGTTTAAAAGCTCTTCAACTATTTTTTAATTATTTTCAATTATTATAAAACATTATTATCAATTTTTAAATATTTCAAAGATATTTTCAAAGACACGCTTTTAACACTATTGATCGCTTGAACGATACCGAGTAATATCATGATCTTTGGTCTCATAGTGCTGTACTTAGTGCATTGCACCTGTTGTGTTCATTTTGTAATAATTATTTTCTTATGTTTTCGTTTATTAAAGTTAAAAGATTGTGGCGTATTCTTCCGGTCGAAGTATAACTCTCAACAGATCGCAGTACGGTGGCTGCTCTACTGGCTTACAACACTCCGACCGATACGCAAATTGTACATTTAATCACACTTTTCTTATAAATTTTATAGCTCTTCGATAAGTTATTTTAAATTTTATACTTGCCTTGAGATGCCGCACATAAGGAGGGTTAGACGAGAACTTTTTATGGCACGTGGGGCACTCCAAAGGCTTCTCCGCATCAGTCAGGAGATGTTTATGCTGGATATGGCGCTCCAGGCGCCGGTAGGAGATGAAGGAGCGTTTACAGCGCGGACACTGGTGTAGATCCTTCCGCGAATGCCGCTCGTCCACGTGCGCGATCAACACCGACCGGCGGACCGTGGAGAAGGTGCAGGCGGGGCACTGCTGCTCCTCGCCGGTATCCACTGGCAACGTTTTCTCATGCCGCCAGTAGTGGACTTCGCGGACCGTACGCGAGATGAATTCCATTTGGCATTCTTCGCATTTTGGATACGGGCATATAATTTTTGGATATGAAGCACTCTTAATCCGCTTCATGCGCCTCGATTTTATTGGCCTCAGCGCCGGACCCTAAAAAACAAATATGGGCCTTTTCGTACCTTTAAAAACGAGGAAAATCAACAAAATATTAGCGGTTACTGATATATCGTTATTCAACAGTTATTTTTTTTATTTTTTTTAATCGGCATTTAATTCTAAAATCCATCTAAAACCAAATTCTGAAAAAACTAAATTTCCTTCGACACTCTCGGACACCGCTTCGAATCTGAAAAAGCTTGAAACGTAATTAAAATAAAAAAAGGGAGAAATTAAATGAAATCAATGACATATGTCCTTGAGTTTCTTCTAACCGTTTTCTTACTTTACTGAATTTAACTGGATCGCCATTTAATTTGATAACTTTTTCAATGGGAGAATGGAGGGAGCGGCAGCATTAAATGAAATTCTGTTTTTTTGATCTGTTGTTCTTAAACTGTGATGTTACCGCATTTTGTGAAATAAAAAGTCCGTTCACTAGAATCATTAGGAATAGTAACTAAAAAAATGAATTTTTCATTTCAAATTGCTCAAATCCGGTTAGAATTCGCCATGGTCTGATTCAATGCTGAAATTATGAAACGTTTGAAATTGTAAATTAAATCCTACCGGCAATCGATGCTCTTCATCGACATGATCGCACAGCGCCACCCAGGTAACCGCAAAAAAATCGCACTCGGGACAAACGGGAGAAGATTCTCGGGCTTCCCAGAGCCAGCTGCGATGGCGCAGATGGTGGATGTCGCGCGTGAGGATCTTGCGAAAGCTTGCCGTGCAACCCTGCCGACAGTGGAATTTCTTGCTGCGGTTGCAGCGGGATGGCGGCCAGATGCGGTGGGAGAGCGCTTTCCCGGACAGAAACGACACGAGCTCTTCATCGCAATGCCGATTATCGCCTCCGTCATCTATTACCGCTTCGGTTTGCGGCAACTCTGACGAGACACCATCATTTATCGACGCTGCTTCTTCAGTGAACGGCAGCGAATCGGAACAGGTCGGCAATGATTCTGCAATGCGCACAACGTACTCGTATAGGTATCAGCAACGGACCGGAAATCACCAAGCTTTTGCAGCAGAAAAATTCAGCAAAATTACAAAAAATTGGTTATCAAGAAATCTATGGCCAGCGGAATCGAATAACACACAGAAGTGCACATGTAAACACACGACGCACACTGATACTAAGAAACGCCCTTTGAATCAGTAAACAATGAAAAAGATTTAAAAAACCACGAATAAAATGCCAACTAAAAAAGGGCAAAACCAATTGTCAATACTTCGGCGTTTTTCGCGTTGCGGATACATAATAATAATTAATTACAATATTCTATTTCAGTAGAATGATAAAACTTACTTTAGTAATTTTATAATAAAAGAACCAAATAAATTTGGAAATAATAAAATTAAAGAGAGCAGAACTCCAGTTTAAATGCCAATAAATAAAACAAAAAATGTAGAATAAACTAAGCAGCAAATGAAAACTAACAGCAAAGATTAGGCTGCTAATTTAAAGTGTATTGACAGTTTAACACCCACCATGACCGAGCCGCTTCAATCTCCACGCTCCCTCCAGCGTCACCGCCTCCCTGCCGGTGCGCTGCATAAACACGTTGGCCCTGTTCCAGTCACTGATCATAACGGCCACTTTCTCCTTGATCGATTTCACGGCAAACAGCCCCGCTGTAATTCCACACCGCTCGACAATCCACTCCCGCGCTATTCTGGCTAATGTGGCTTTATTCTGGTTATCCGACGGAATTTCAGCAGACGGGTCCTTAACGCCCGCGTTCCTCCATTTTTCCAAATTATCATCGGTCTCCAACCAATCTACTAAAGCGGCTTCATCGGCTTTCGAATAGAGGTGCTTTTTGGCGCGCTTCTTTTTGGCCGATTTCGCAGGTTCCTCCGACGGCCCTATTTCCGGCACTTCCGCGGAAACATTCACCGCGTTACACGCTGCCGCCATTTCAACCCGCCTCACCGGCTTTTTCGGATTCCGCTGTGGCGACGTCATTTCTGGCGGATCACTGGCCGGAAGTCCTGGTAACGATGTTTCCGGGATGACCTCAAACTCGTCAATATTTTTCTCGAGATTCCCCGCGCGGTAGGATTTCTTGGAACCCGCGACCGGGTGCGACGTTTTGCCCTGCATCTTGGCGATGCGCCGCTGAATGACGTCGGCTTCGAAAGCAAAACATCCTTTCTGGATTAAATACTGGGAAATATTACCAGCCACGTCGCTGCTAGTACGGCGACCGGAATCTGGCGTCGCAATCGCGTCACTTTCTACGGCGCGCTGCCATTGCAGAGCATTCTCGCCGTTGCGGAACCATTCCGCCAGCCAGTGCTCTTCCATTCGCGACCAACCGTATCCTCTGCGCGGCTTAACACTCACTCGTCGCGTTTTCTTCCCGGGATTTATTTGCCGATTTATATCCGCATTATGGTTTACGTTGAGGGATACTTTCTCCACATTCCCGCTGACCAGTTCCAGTGCCGTAACAATGGAAGGAAATAACTGATTGGCATCGGCGGACGCTGCCGCCGTTGGTACACGAGCGGTATTTTCATCGTTTACCGACATACCTTACAAACGCAAACGATCTTTCGAAATTTAAACTGAAACAATTCATTGAAGTGATCATACCTTCCGCGTTTGCTGCCAGGGAATAACCCAGATCATCGCCAACAGCTGGGGCAGGATTCTCCAGTCGACTGGATAAATCAACTTCGTTCTCATTGTTTTCCGACAAGCCTAAAACAACATACGTGCACTTTTGCTGCAAACTAGGTGCTAAAAAGTATACCTTCGGTAAACGATTCCGGGGAAAGATTTTCTTTGTTGAGGAGTTGGCAGTATTTTGTGGAGTACCAGAAGCAGAGTTCCGTCTCGGCGGGGATGTCCTTAGTGGTGGCCAGGTAGACGTGGTCGTCCTGTTGGAAGGCGACGAGGTTCTGTTGTTCCGCGTCGACGGCCTCGCGGACGAACTTGATCCAGTTGCACAGATCGTCGCTCTTCAGGTCGAACACCCGCACACCTGCGTTTTCTCCGCGGGATCCCTTCTTCTCGCGCAGTCCGAAGCGGTGGTCGACGGCGAAGGCGGCCACGGGGTGCGGCGTGAGGGGGGCCAGTAGCGGGCCGAAGACGCTCGGGTGGGGGATGGCGCGCTTGGCGAAGACACCCGGGTCTGCAATAAACATTTAAAATTAATTAAGCACACTGTCAGTTGATAAGCCAACGGCTTCTCACCGAGCATTCCTTCCTTCTGCGCGATGTATAATTGAGAAGGCAGACTTCCGTATGCTCGGGCCACCGTCGGAGTGTCGCTGATCAGCCGCGAATGCAGCACACACGGTTCATCGTTCCCATTCACGCAGCGTCGACACTGATTGGGATCTGCAGTGCATCATTCCGTTCTGCTTAACACTCTAACATAAGCATGAAAAATTGACCGTTATACACCGTACCGGAACAATTTTCATCGGTGCTCACGGATGTTTCGCGCAGAGATCGGCCGAGTTTGGCCAGCTTCGTGCGAGATTCGTTGACGTCTGATAAAGATCCATGGTGTCGTCGTTTCTTGGCAGCAGCTGGGAGTGGAATGTCCTCGGACACCTGTCGGTTGCGAGGACGACTGCCACGTTGAGGCAGTGATACAGGCGCAACGGGCACTAGGATGTACGTTGGCAGACCAACGGTCGGGATCGGCGGAGGAGGCTGATGCAGTTCAACCGCTGCAACCAGCGTCGAAACTTGATCAATGATCAGTAATAGGACAAGTCCGTGTATGATGGACCTATCTACTCTGTACTTTCGCTGACTGTCTAGCTTCACCGGATCGCCACGGTGCATTATATTAATTAATTACCTCATTACTGAAACATTGCAAGATATACGTAGAAGTGTAACGCTGATTACTAATCCCGTAATCCGACGATGCAACAGCTAGAAGCCAATGAACAGCGAACTTACAGTTATTTGGATCATCAACAGAATTCGTGTTGCGCTTAGGCAGTAATCGCTGCATTGTTCAGCATCCATCAAAGAAGATCAAAGCGCGTGCCATAATTTCCCGCAAAATCTGCAGGAAGATCTCAGAAGTGCACATATAAAAAGGAAAACAACAATTTGTAAGATTCAGTTAAATCTGAAGAAACAAACTTTCGCCAGTGCCAATCTAAAAAAGTGCAAAACAGAATGTTGGTCTCAACTTCAAGCTCGACACCCGCAGGCGGTAAGCAACTTCCGGTATGTACTGTATTCCTAATTCACACAGGATACACTACGAGTAAGCATTAATGTACATTTGTACTGCATTTGCTGCGCGTGTAACTTTGTAAGTTATTTTGGCATGCAGTTTCCATGTTCCTCCATCAATTCCGTCACGTACTTAAAGTTAAAAGCACTGATGCATGCAGAGAGAAAATATATCCATAAGACCAAACCGATAGCTCCACAATGCTTTCTCTCGAGCGAACACAGCGGGTATGAATGTTAGTGTATGAATGTTATTGTTCTGCATCACTGAAATGGGGACCGTTATGAACGCCTTAATTGAGCGGTTATCTTATCTTTGTGTTTAGTCATATTGAGCAACGCATGCTTCATGTACCCGAATGTCGCATACTAAGCTGAGCCGAACTAATGTCGACAAAACACGCTGACTGCCGATAAACTAGAGTAGTAGTTCTATGAATGGGGCCTCTTCTTCCGGCAGTACCTCTACTGTAGGGTAGTATCTTGCATCAACACATCAGTCATTAAAAAAAAACAACATTTTGTCAAATAACCCAAGTCCGGGCGGGAATTTACAAAACAAAAAACAGTACTGCTATCTGATGGCAGATGAAATAACCGATTTATCAAATGGAAACAACAAAAAGATCACAACACACCAATCACAGAAACAGTAGGAAAAAAACAGGAAGACTGCATCATTGGCATTCAACCGGTGGTCGCTAGTAAAATTTCTTAGTTTTCTTATGCTCTCTTAGCTGTTAGCTCTTGATTAATTTTTCTTTGGATGTTTTGTGAAGGACGATAACAAATCTAAGGTCACTGATTGGGATGCACGGCGGTGCTGGAGAGCATCAACTGCGGCTCAGCGTCCAGCGACCGCTCCGGGTGGCGGACGGTCAGATGATAGGCGAACATCCCGCGACGGACGAATCCCTGCTGACACTCCTCGCACTGATACGGGAACTCGGAGTAGTGCTTCGTTTTCTGCGGCGGAACGTAGTCCTTATTCTGCGCCACACTCTTGCCACCTGTTGCGTTCTTTCGTCCATCCACCTTGTCCTTCTCATGTACCACTCTCTTGTGCTGACGAAGATGCCCCCGCGAAGTGAAGGCTTTCCCACAGTCACAGCGATGATGCCGACCGGCGCTGTGCACTCCCTCCATGTGTTTAGTGCGGGAGCTGGAACGTTTGAAGATTTTGCCGCAAATATTGCACGGGTATTCGTGGTATTCCACGTGGCCCCGGGCGTGGATGCGGAAATTCTTGAAGCTCTCTTTGCATTTAATGGGCACTTTCCTGTCACAGATGGAACAGACCAGCTGGCCATCCGTTGAGTGCAGCTGCTGCATGTGCTCGTACAGTTTCGGTAATTTTGGGAATTTCTGCTCGCATAATGGACAGCTGATGCTGTCTGGTCCGAGATGAACCTATAAGAAATATTTAAAACTATGACCTATTATTATTATTATAATTACGACACAAGAGCAGACAACCGCAAAGGGACTTCAAGTCCGGTCGAACAAAAAACATTTTTAAATGAAAGTAAAGAACTAAGACAGATTCACAGATTTGGTAGAAATCTGAAGGCAGGTACAAAACTGGCATCGAGAATTTTAGAGATACAATTACTTTTTCAATGACTTACACATACGATTTGCTTAAGTAAATAATTAATGTTACGATGTAATTAATTTGTTTATTTAATGAATTATTTTTCGGTTATTTTTCCTTATTTTTATACCTTGAGATGCCGCACAAAAGAAGGGTTGGAAGAGAATTTCTTATGGCACGTGGGACACTCCAAGGGCTTCTCCGCATCGGACATGAGATGTGTGTGCTGGATATGACGCTCCAGGCGTCGGTAGGAGATGAAGGAGCGTTTACAGCGCGGACACTGGTGTAGATCTTTCCGCGAATGCCGCTCGTCCACGTGTGCGATCAGCGTCGACCGGCTGACCGTGGAGAAGGTGCAGGCGGGACACTGCTGCTCCTGGTCGGTATCCTCCGGCAACGTTTCCTCATGACGCCAGTAGTGGACTTCCCGGACCGGACGCGAAATAAATTCCATTTCGCATTCCTGGCATTTCGGGTAAACGCTGCGCCCGCTTTCGCCTTTGATCCGCTTCACCTTCATCGCTTTCACCGGCTTCGGCCTCCGGTACACACCAAGCAACCGGTGCTCGGCATCGACATGGTCGCACAGCGCCATCCAGTCATCCGGAACGGCATCACAGGCGGGACAGACGGGAGTGGACGCGTCCGCCGCCCAGTCGCCGCGGCGGTGTCGCACGTGGTGGATGTCGCGCAGAAGCGGCGTGGGCAAGCGGGCCTCGCATCCCCGCCGACAGCGGTACTTTTTCACACGGCTCAGGCGTGGGGGCCAGATGCGGTGGGCGAGGGCTTTGCGGGAGAGAAACGCTAGGATGACGGCCGCGGATTCCTCCTCATCGAGAGCACCATTCCTCATGGCGTTTACGGCGACGGCGGGAGGCGAAGCGGGAGGTGAATCCTCGACATCCGCTGCATTTTCAGCGTGCTGCGTCGAATCGGCACCGGTCGGCAATGATTCTGCAATAAGAAATTAAGAAAATTCAATACATACAAGCCTGTCGACAAATTGAGCATTCGAAAAAACAGCGAACATTAGAAATTTACGGGTAACGTTTAAATCCGTACCACGGCGCGCCACGCCACACGGTTTAAACACGTAGCATGCATTTGACTGGCTGGTGGCTTGGTTGCGATACTTATTAAAGTTTACTCCCGTTTCAATAAAAATTTAAAAAATTGGAAGATAAGCAAAAAATGAAAGAAAAAGGGAAACTAAATCGCCGAATGTGAAGCATAATATCCCACCCACCGTGGGCCGCCCGTTTCAGCGTCCACGCCTCCCCGAACGTTACAGCCTCCTTGCCGGTGCGCAGCAGATACTCATTGGCCGTGTTCCAGTCACTGAGCATAACGGCCACTTTCTCCTTGATCGCTTTCACGGTAAACAGCCCCGTTGCCGTACCGCACCGCTCCACAATCCACTCCCGCGCTATCTTCCCTAATTCCGTTTTATTCCGACTATCCGGTGGAGTTTCCGCGGACGGATCATTAACTCCAGCATTTCGCCATTTTTCCAAATTATCATCGGTCTCCAGCCACTCCACTAACGCGGCTTCATCGGCTTTTGACCAGCGGTGTGCTTTCCACTGTGTCTTTTCTACCGATGTCCCGTTCACCAATTTGCACTACAAAATATTTGAATTTTAAACGGAAACTGCTTTAAAAATGATACAAAGAATGCAGGTTTAAAAAACAACCCTCTTGTAGAATAGTTTTTGATTTGCTGTTGAAACACAACAATCACATAACCAAACAAGATTCAAAGTCAGTGCAAAGCTGTTCAAAGTCAGTATTTTTTTTATTCAGATTATTTTTCTTTCGGTTCTCGCTAAATTTTCCCGCTTTTTTTACAAATAGTTTTAACTGTTGGAAATTTGGATTAAGGCGATTTTCTTTCAAGTCGGTTCAGAAATGTGATGATTAGACTGTGCAAAGATTTCAAAACCTGGAGTCAAACTGCATTTACCCGCTTTTTCGATTTCCGTTGTGGCGACGTCACTTCCGGTGGATCATCCGCGGGTAATGACGTCTCCGGGATAACTTCTCTTTTGCCAACCGTTGCAACATTTCTTTCAGAATTCGCCGCGCGGTAGAATTTCTTGAGACGCCGAACCGTCGGCAACGCTTTGCCCTGCATCTTGGCGATGCGCCGCAGAATGACATCGGCTTCGAAGGCAAAACATCCCTTCTGGATTAAATACTGGGAAATATCACCAGCCGCGTCGCTGCGGCTGCGACCGGCATCTGACGTCAAACTCGCGTCGTTTTCCACAGCACGCTGCCATTGCAGAGCATTCTCGCTGCAAAGGAACCACTCCGCCAGCCAGTGCTCTTCCATCCGCGACCAACTGTATTCCTTGCGCCGCTTGATATTCACTCGTTTGTTATTCAAGTGCGCATCCTGCGTGGTGGACTTCTCATTGAGATCTATTAGCCTATTTGTACCCGTACTATTTCCGCTGAAGGACAGTTTCTCGACGTTGCCGCTGACCAGTCCCAGTGCTGTAACAATGGAGGAAATTGAATGACCGCTGTGGACGCTGCAGCCAGTGGTCTACAGCCGGTGTTTTCATCGTTTACCGACACCCCTAAATAACGCAAACGATCATTGGAAATTCCGCACGCACCGGAAAACTGCTCCAGCAACTCATCATACCTTCCGTTTCCGCTGACGGGGATGGAACCAGTTCATCGACAACAGCAGGGGCTGGATTCTCTAGTCGACTGGATAGTTCAGCTTCATTCTCACAATTTTCCGACAATTCTAAAATAATTTATACGTACTTAATGCTGGAAGATATTAGCTAAACGCTCGGGAAGTATACCGGCGATAAACGATTCCGGCGAAAGATTCTCCTTATTGAGGAGTCGGCAGTATTTTGTGGAGTACCAGAAGCAGAGTTCGGTCTCGGCGGGGATGTGTTTAGTGGTGGCCAGGTAGACGTGGTCGTCCTGTTGGAAGGCGACGAGGTTCTGCTGTTCCGCGTCGACGGCCTCGCGGACGAACTTGATCCAGTTGCACAGATCGTCGCTCTTCAGGTCGAACACCCGCACAAATGCATTTTCTCCGCGGGATCCCTTCTTCTCGCGCAGTCCGAAGCGGTGGTCGACTAAGAAGGTGGCCACGGGGTGGGGCGTGAGGGGGGCCAGTAGCGGGCCGAAGACGCTCGGGTGGGGGATGGCGCGCTTGGCGAAGACACCCGGGTCTGCGATTAATATTTAATTGTCTCTCGCAAGCCGTTCAACAAGAAATCGCAAAAAGCCCGGCGAGATCGTAATTTGAGTCATAATTCCATCGGCCATTTTTAACTAATATTAACTAATGACAAAATCCATGTTTCCTAATACGAATAACAAGTGAAACATAAACTTGCAAAGTTGCAAAGACATGGATTTTGTGGATTTGGTGGATTTTATGGATTGACAGTTAGCACGGACTGTTTTGTGGATTGACAATATCGACGTCGGAATGACAATTGGGCTGTTGCACAGATTACTTGGGGGAAACTTTTGTGAACCCCAGGTAATGCGGGTATGTCGTTTCACATCGTTAAACGGCACTCGTTTTCTCTGCTCTGTTTGCTGGCTTGCGGACTTCCTTTGTAGCTTCTAACTATGCCAGGAGACCAGCCAAAAGAGCCTTGCCACATATGTGGAAAGCCCTTCACTAAAGGCGCTGGGCTCTCCAACCATGTTAAAGCCTGCGCCAAGAAAGCACCCACACAAGCTCCTGGTTCCACGTCCGCTCCACCCGACCAACAACCCCTTCAATCCTTTTTGGCCGGGAAGCATTACGCCGTCCCTAAAAAAGTGCCGAAGTCTGTCCGACGCCTGTGTGCTCAGTCCCTGACAGAAGTCCTCCGTACATGCATCAGAGAAAACACATCGGCGAGCTGGGCTGATTTGCTGTTGTTTGGATCAAGAGCCCTCTGCTTGCCCGCCACCAAAACCCTCCGCAAAGAATCCCTGTCCTCCATAATACGCAAAAATTTGTCGGATTTGTCTCGCCATCAACATCCTCCACGTCAACATGCTCCTCCACGAACTCAGCAGGGTGAGCTATCGAGCGAGCGCATGTCAGCCCTTGCCACATCGATGTTGCAGGACAACAACATCAGACGCGCCATTGGGCTGGTAATGGGCGACGATTCAGTAGCGCCAGTAAATGCTGAAACCCTTAAAGAGCTGCGCAACAAACACCCTTGCGAACCAGCGGATAGTTTGTATTCCCCTCCTCCCGACCAGTCTAACGTATCACCCTCAGTAGCACCTGCCGAAGTGCTACAAGCAGTCATGAGCTTCCCTTCGGGTTCTACCGGTGGCTTTTCGGATCTACGCCCACAACATCTGAAAGACCTCCTAGGCGGCCCGCAAGCCGAAGAAAGCGAGTTGTGCTGTGTTCTGGCTGATTTTGTTAATCATGTTTTGCAGAGAGGCGTTCCAGAGGACATTAGACCGTTTTTCTTTGGAGCAAGGCTAATCCCCCTGCCAAAAAGACGGAGGAATTCGGCCAATTGCAGTTGGGGAAACGTTTCGCCGTTTAGTCTCTAAAATAATAACCCAGCGTTGTTCTGACAAGATGAAGGAATTATGCGGCACTGTGCAGTATGGCTGTGGCACGAAAGGCGGAGCCGAAGCAATTATCCACGGGGTCCGCTCGTACCTGGAAGCTACACACGACGGCGAGCGAGTACTGGTAAAGCTGGATTTTAAAAACGCATTTAACCTTTTGAGACGGGACGCGTTATTGGAAGCCGTAAGACAGCATTTTCCCAGTTATTACGGCTATTTCTGGCAATCTTATCGTTACGCGAGCCATTTGGTTTGTGGGGAAGAAGTTTTGTCGTCCGCCCGAGGGGTGCAGCAGGGCGATCCAAGTGGCCCCTTCGGCTACAGCCTCATATCGCTACCGCTCTTCGATGGACTGGATTGCGATCTGTTTCTGGGCTTTCTTGATGATGTTACTCTGGCCGGTACCATGGAGAAAGTGATCGGCGCGATAAAAAATATTGAAGAAAAAGGGAAGAAGATGGGCCTCGAATTGAATTTCAACAAATGCGAGTTCTACCTCATCAATTCAGCTGCGGATGCGGGTAAGCCTTTGTTGGAAATATGGCCAACAATGATCCAGTTGAATCCAGATAATCTTTTCCTGTTGGGCGCACCTTTACAACCAGCCGGTTGTGCGAAATTCCTGATGGAAAAGAAAGATCACCTATGCAAGTTTGTTCAGCGGCTCACGAAGCTACCTGCACATTACAGTCTTTTTCTTTTAAAAAATTGCCTTAGCATCCCCAAGGTTTTATATGGCCTACGCACTGCCCGATGCTATGAATTTCCAGAGCTGTTGAAAGATTATGACAAACAACTGTGGAATGGTGTGGAACAGCTGACCAACGTAAGCATAACAGAAGCCCAATGGATGCAGATGGCTTTACCAGTTCGGCGTGGTGGATTGGGAACGCGGCGCATAGAGACACTAGCTATTTGTGCCTTTTTGGCATCGGTGTACGCTGTGCAGCCTCTCGTTTCCAAATTTTACGCGCCAGCTGGTGACCATATGACGCAATCGGCTGTAGAAAACTGGCTTCAGGTAACACACTGCTCGCCACCAGAAGATTGTGTGCGGAAGTTTCAGTACGTGTGGGACGTACCGATGATTGACAGGGATGTATCAAAACTGATGTTATCAACGGTTGGTAATGAGCGCGCAAGAGCCGTATTGTTGGCTGCATTTAGCAGAGATTCTGGGGCCTGGCTGAATGCATTACCTGCGCCTTGTCTTGGAACGTTTTTACGAGATGAAGAAGTCAGAGTGGGAGTGGCATTACGTTTTGGATTGCCCGTAGTGACAGCTCATAACTGCGTGGCATGCGGCAAATTAGTGGAGACGAATGGCCATCACGGGCTTTCCTGCAATAAATCAACGAAAGGGCGATGGGCCAGATATAGAGAAATGAACAGTATCGCCAAAAACTGTTGCGAGAGTGCAGGATTCCCATGTCAACTGGAACCGACAGGCCTATCACCAAGTGCGGCGATTCGACCTGACGGCATGACCCTTATTCCAGTCCGTCAGGGAAAGTCTGTTGTATGGGATGTCACAAGTTGGTGTACAGTAGCCGATTCCCATGTTCACGGAAGTTCGAAGAAGGCAGGAAGTGTGGCTCACCTGGCAGAAAACGAGAAGCGACGGAAGTACTCTCCACTGGAAAGTAGACACCTTTTCTATCCCTTAGTTGTTGAAACGTTCGGTGTCTTTGGCCTAGCTTTAAGTGAATTTGTACATTTTATGGGCCGTAAAACTCGTGAATTAACTGGAGAAGCGCGTTCTACTGCTTTTATGAAGCAACGTTTTAGTTTGGCTGTCATTAAGGGAAATGCTACTGCTGTGTTAAGTACGTTGCCTTTTAACCCGCGGGCGGATAGAGATTTTGGTTGTTTTTTTAATGTTTAAATTTTAACTGTAAAGTAGTGTGCCCGCGCTTGCACTTTTGTTGTTATGGCGGCTATTGCCCAATAAACTTCAATTTTAAATCATATTAAACAAATATGTAAATATCCACTTAACGCACGCCCTAAGGCCATCAACAATTGTGGATGTTTTTTCTTTGCTTAAAAATGTGATAATTTTAATTGGTGTAAATCAGAGCAGACTTATATGATACGTATGTGTACTGGTTGATGCAGAGTAAAAAGGAATATTGTGCACAGTGACAATTAATCAGTTAACAGCTTCTCACCGAGCATCCCTTCCTTCTGCGCGATGTAGAGCTCCGAAGGCAGGCTACCGTACGCTCGGGCTACCGTCGGAGTATCGCTGATCAACCGCGAATGCAACACACACGGCTCATCATTCCCATCCTCACAGCGTCGACATTGCTTGGGATCTGCAGTATAATTTCAATTTGTTCCATGCTGCTTAACGGTCTCCTAAGACACCAGTGGAATGTGACGTTGTAGACTGTACCTGAGCAATTTTCGTCCGCTCCTGATGAAGCTCCACCTTCCGACGGATCTCTCCTCGCCAGCTTTGTTCGGCCGTTGCCAACTTCCGTCTGACAACGGCGCTTCTTGCCTGCAACCTCCGCGAGCACGTTGCTGCGTTCTTCGGAGTGCAGAACAGGCGCGATGGGCACCAAGATGAACGTGGGCAAGCCAACGGACGGAATGCTCGCTGGTGGCTGAGATGATCCTCCTGATAGATTTTTCGGTTTGAAAGAGGTCTCGCAATATATGCTGCTCGAAGCTAATACAGCGCATTCCCGAAGAGCAGGAATTCGTCAGCAGATAGACACACTCACCGTTCTTGCCATCAGCACGCGGGTCTTTAGGCAGCAACCGCTGCATATTCTTTAAAATCAATCACGCAGCCGAAGGAATATGGCAGCCGTTGGGATTATTTTCCCACAAGTGCACATAATAAACTGATAAACGAAGAAGCAATGTTAACACCAAAGAAATAAAAAACGCCAAAACGTCAAAACAGGAATAACAAAATACTCACCCAAGCAGACAAGCGGAGCCCGTGTGTAAATTTTGACCACCCATGCGCAGTCAGTTGCAAATCTTTTGCTGCACCACTTCCGCTGTTGGCCTGTTGCATACCTGCGTTAACGTTTGTGTCATAGAAAAATCTGTGGAGAATTTATAATTATATAAAAATTCAATTTGAAATACATTATACATGTATTTTTATGTTTTTTGGAAATGTTTCCGAAACTAATGTTCCAGAAGGTGTATTTGCGCTATTACAGAGTCTATGTGGGGAACTGAATCATTTCATTTTGTCGTTTGCGGACACGTTTTACAGTGTTCGTAGTTCGTGGTTAGAATTAACTGGCTTCCACCGCAAATGGCACCTAAACGAAAGCTCAAGAAGTATGAAATCGTGATCAAAGATGGGTGTCGAAAGATTTTTGATGGGCGCCAATTTCGCACGCTCTGCAGCGGGTTAGACGGCGAAGTGTGCGACAACCATGCTGTGGCCAAGCTTGCTTACTGCACCCGACATGCTGCTAGTCTTCCAAATGGAGGTAGATACAAGTCACCACAAATGTATTTGCATCTTTTAGTTATCTAAAAATATTTCATTATCTGAAAGTTTCATGTGAAGCCTTAATAGCAAAGTTGAGTGTCAAATATGTACGTGTGAAGACACGTCTGTCGACAGTATCTAGGCCAAAAACGCTCCGTTGCGCGGGCTATCATGCACTGATTCTGAGTCACAAAAAACTGAATCATAACAACTCCACCATTGGCCAAACAGCAGATACACAGCTGAATTATAAAACCGAGCTAAAGAGCTCGGTTTCATAAATCATACACATATCCGTGGCTAATATCAGGCATCGACTTGCATTCTAGCAGACATTTTTGGCGCTTATTTCTTTAACTGCCACGGTCTCGTTAAGCCATCTTACAGCATCCTGTTTTAGTCGTTGTAGCATTTAGTCGTAGTAACCATTTGAAATAATTCTAAATTTGTACCAATTAATACAAATTAAGAATTATTTCCGCCTTCGGCAGCCTTAATTGCAGCTTGCCTGGCGTTCATGATTACTGGCTAGCTACGTGTACTTAATTAGAACGGACAGCAGGATCACATTTTTTATTCATTTGCAAATGCAGATCTAAGAGAGAGAGCGAGCTAAAATGATTTGCTTATCAAGTTTCTCTCGCGACAGAACAGCTGTCTGTGCCCGCCCGTGCGATGTAGAGAAATTCAGATAGACATACAAGACGCGATTCATTCCTCTCTCAGTTATCACGTTTTCCCATCATATGTATCGATTATAAATGGCTCATGTTGTTTTCATTTTTTTGCTGTTAGTCATTGCTTGTGCATAGATAAGCGATACGTACGGGGCAGTCATGCAGCAGATACTAACGGCCTGCTTATATTTGACGCTTGTTTTTAAAGTACAGTATCTAAATGTTGAATGGTGGTGTAACTACGTGTATTTCGCATACTTCGCACAAATAATACAGTAGTTTTTTTTTCAGAACACGTTGAGCGTACTAGCTTTATGCGATCTTGATGTACTTCTGGTGTTTGTTCTATTGGTGCAGAATCCAACAAGAAAAGAATGAAATTTCCTGGAAATCGGATTTATCGCCGTTGTTGGATGCCGGGCTGCCCGAGCGAGCAGAGCCGATTTAATAGCAGCTTAGGATCAGCCAACGGCCGCCACTTCTTCCGCTTCCCTGATCCAGCTGATCAGCCACAGCGTTTCGACGCCTGGTGTCGTACGGGTGGGCCTACTGCACAAAGTCCTGTGTCTAAGGATGTTCTGTGCGATCTGCATTTCCGTGATGATGACGTCATTAAATGCAGCACGCTTTCTAGCACCCGCAAAGATCTGCATAATTGGCGTTTATCAAAAACGCTGTTCCGGTCGCATTATCCACCGGCTCTGAACAAGAGTCCACCGGCTGTGATGAGGTGAACGAGCAGTGCCAAAAAAATTTGTTAATTTTCAGCAGATTACTAGTAACATTTAACCGGGCCTGTGGTTTTGCCAGCCGCCCAGGATGGCATATACGGTTGTTACAGTTGGCTGTTGGTGCCAGTCTGCCACTCATTTTGCACATGTCTGTGGTTAAATTTCAAAAAATAATGTTTTTCATTTTTGCAGAAATAGTTCAAATATTTTGCCTTTTGGAGTTAACTTTTTCTTAGCTTTACCGTCACGTGATACAAAGATTTTTATATTATAGCTGTTTTGATGCTATTTGTATTTGTTGTGGTTGTGATCCTTGTGCGAAACGACGGCACACTGCGAGGCTTGCAGTTCTCGTGCAGTACACTGAGTACAGTATGACTGTATAGGAATTAGGAGCTCAAGACGAGTTTTGGACTAGTTGAGCGGATTTTGTAATAAAATCTTACAAGCCAGTTGGCAATCATTGTGCTGGCATTGCATTTCTGCCAGTTTCCGCTTTTCAGCCATGGAGAACAGCGACGTACCGGAGAGCTCCTTCTATGTGCTGCTGACACCTGCAGCGAATTATAGACAGGAACCCGAGGCATCGTGGCATGTTGCATCGCGTTCTCCATCTCCCGGAATTCACGCTCCCGTTGCCAATCATCGATTTTCCAGCACGCCTGCTGCCAAATGTCCGCCGCCAGCATCATCGACGCTCGGTTTGAGAATGAACTTCAAGAGAGGTATGCTGTTTACTTTGAGTATAGTCTGTACTCTGTACGAGTATAATGTTTCTCACGAAACGTTTTTGTTTTCACAACTTCTATTGCTTATTTGTTTCTGGCTTCTGATATGTTTCCACGTTTTCATTTTGTTTGTTTGGGGCGTTGTTATAGGCCGCGGAGTACTGAATAAGGAAAATCATCAGACGAACGGTGGATGCGTCTTTTGCATTCGTGATGTGCTGGAAGAACCGTGTCCGTTGCATTCGCATTCCGTACCCGATAGCGAGGTGCTTCCCTTGGCGCTGGCCACGCTGCCTTCTTCGCTGTCCTTCATTCGCGCAGCGGCTGATGGTAAGCACAACGGCTAAAGGAATCAAGAGTTCGAAATCACTGTCAGTTGTTTTTTATTTGCAATTTTTTTCGTACGACGCATTTATACAGTTATGCTCGTAGTATTTTACTGACAATGAGTAGCTAATTATTAAAACTCTTCCTTTTTCGAGAAGTATATATGAGTTTATATTCTTGATTTATAATGTATGTATTTTGTATTCATAGGAATTTTTGGCAAATTTATTTATAAATAATGCATATTTTTAATATTCTATTCTGTGAACTTGCGTCTTATGTGTCCGTTGGAATGGCATTTGCAGCTGCACCTGGTGGTGTACGAGCAGAGTGTAGCTTTTCTTCCCGCACGGTCTTCGGGCCGATGCGCGGCGTCATGTGTCCGCACGCCAAGCTACAGCCGCCCCTCTTCGGCATTCCGGACCGTCCGACGCTGCACGGCATCCTGCGCTTCCACACGGAATCCCCTCACGGCTGCAACTGGATGCAGTTCGTCCGACTGGCCACCCACACCGCCGAACACAATCTCACCGCCTACAACGTCAACGGGGAGGTGTATTTCGCCACAAAGAGGGATATTGCCGCGGGGGAAGAACTGACAGTCTGGTACTCAACCAACTACGCCAAAGCAATGAGAATCTCGGGGCGTTTACGGGAGATCAGTAATGATCCTGGTGAGTACACAATGTTTTCCAGATTTTCCTAAGGAATTCCGTAAAATTCTTCAACACTTGCGTATGTTCCGTTGCAGCTTTGTCTGTTTTTGAAAAGATTTTTTCTGATTTTTTCAGTCCCACTGCGCGGGAGAATGGGCGTCCTGGGACGACCTGTGGCGTTCTGTGACGATCTCGTATGGGAGTCTGGTTTGCCGGACTCGTTGCCGCCGGACGAAAGTATTATGCAGACCGACGCAGTTGATCTCGTGCCACCGGCCAAAGAGGATTCAATCCATCAGGAAGGGGAAGGAAATGACAGCGGCAGTGGCAGTATCTGTATAGACTATGAAACAGCCGCCAGTGATGCGGAAAATGAGACCGCGAAGGCGATTTCTCCCACGGGAAATGTGCACGGTAATTTATTGCTTTTTATTTTCTTATGAAACTTTTTTCTTCGATATTTTATAATTTATTTTAATATTATATATGCATATTGTGTAAATTTAAATAGCATAACGTTACCACGTTATTCTTTTATGAATTTCATTTTTTTATTATTTATTCCGCTGCCTGGGTTTCAGAATCGAAGGCGCAGTATCCCAAACGCGGCAGCCTCGTTCATCAGAAAACCATCGTGCGCCTAAAAGCCGTGATGGCCGTCAATCCCTACCAATTCCCAGTCGGGACCCCTCGCATCCAGGCTTTCGACGCCGTGGTGCGGCAACTCGACGGGCCCGATCTCTCGGCAACAGAGTTAACCAGCCGAAGTAAAGCCTTGCGCCGTTTAGTCAAAGATTGCTTGGATATCTTCCCGGAGACCCTCCAACGCTTCGACAAATCCTCCTGCGATGAACGTACCATGGAGTACGTGAGTCTCATGAAAAAACTGAGAAAGATGGTGAAGAACAGTTGCAAAGAGAAGGAAGTTGTTCCGCGGCATGTCAACGCCGACACAGTGAAGAAACTGCAGGCGGTGCGGGAAGTTAATCCCTATCAGTACCCCCTGCCCAGTGCGGAACGACAGGCCGCCTGGGAGTCAGTGATGCGGAATTTACTCGGGGATCTGGAGACCGAGGAACTGGTGATTCAGATGAAGAAGATGAAGCGCTTGGTGCGGGAGTGTTTGATCAGCCGGGATGATACGTTCCGGCGCTGCGCCCGCCAGCGGGATGAAGTTACGCAGCAGTATAAAAGCGTGGTGGAAGAATTAATAATTTTGGCGGGGATTAACAAAGATGATGAAGGAAAGGAATCCGGAGCGGAGGGTTGCAGCAGTGAATTAGAAATTAGAGCAGAGGACGCAGCAAAGCTGCCACCAGCGCTTCCGGTCGATGGTGATGGCTCTCGGGATAGCTACACAATGGAGACGGGAAGCGATTTGCCGATGGCGTTGGATACCGCTGATGAAGGCTGTGGAACGGATAGTGACGCGAGTTCTGTAGAACAGCCGAAAAGTAAGCGCATAATATAATACGTTGCAGGACTAAAAGTGGATGGATGGCTCTTTAGGAGAGAGATATCAGCACTATAGGAATAATTACCGTAATAATCTGGGCCACTCAACCATAGAATATGAGCTGATAATTTCAGAGTGGCATAGCTAAGTCTAGGAAATCTGGTAATCTACGCGAACGAGAACCTACACTGTTTTTCGACGATGAATTTAATTCATAACTCCGATCACTGCCTAACTTCTTGGTGTTGCTGCTTTACAGGAAAGCGCAAACGCCGCACCCGCTTCCGCCACGATAATCCCGAAGCGGTGAAGCGCCTGGAAGCCATCGTCCAAGTGAACCCGTATCAGTATCCTCCGGGAAAGATCGGGACGCCGCCTTCAACGCCGCTGTCCACCTCCTCGGCAGGGAAACCCCGGACACCCCTCAGGCTCTCAAAACCTTCGTCCACCGCTGTTTAGAGACGGCGGCGGAGAAGGCGCAACAGTTCAACGACGCCGCCGGACCGGTGTTCCAGCGCTATATAGAGCTCCTACAAGTCCTCATTGCCCAGAAGCAGGACAGAATCAAAGACGTGCCCGTTGTTCGCTCCCGGCGAGAGGACCCGGTCGCGCAGTTGAAAGCCGTGGTAGACGTCAACCCTTTCCAGTATAATACTGTTGAAGCGCGGAGCAAAGCCTTCGCTTCCGCGGTGAAGTTGTATTCGAAAAAGAAACTATCTCCGACGAAGTTAGAGAAGGAAGGACGGGCGTTGGAACGCCGCGTTAAGAGTCGTCTCGATCAGCTTCCGAAGCTTCTGGAGAACTATGATCCAGGGAACGCCGGGGACTCGTTGAAGGAATACATGGAGGTGCTGCAGAAAATCCCCGAATTGAAGGATAACGGGGAGAAGATTGTTCGGCCGTCGTCTCGGGTGTCCAGAGCGCCCGCGCTGCGAATGAAGCCGGCGACGGAGGGGGTGCATGCATGCACAGCGTGTATGTTTTCCTTCGAGTCGGCGGAGTTGTTGGCGTTGCACACGCGGGGCCATGACGCCGCCGCCGTGGAGGAGGGCGGCGCCACCGCGTGTCCGGGGTGTCAGGAGGAGTGCGGATCGATGACAGCGCTGATCGCCCATGTGGCTGAGCACCGCAAGGCCTACCGTCCGCGGCAGCAGTGTCCCGATTGTGGGCTGTATGTCAGCGTGAAATTCTTCGATCAACATATCAAAACGTTGCATCCCGAGAAGTCAGATGATCCGGCAGCGACATTTACCTGCGGAGAGTGTAAAAAAGAGTTCGGCGCACAAAAACAGCTGTGGGCTCATGAACAGGTTGGTAAAATTCCCATTATTTAACGCGAACTGATACACCAAATGTCTCATTATGGACCGATGCTCTTCAAACATTGCCCAAAAACCCACATAACTATGAAAATCGTTGCTGCCCCGAATCAGGAGTTTTAGATTTTAAAATTACTTTTTTTATTTTAAAATTAATTTTGATAAAATGTTTGCGTTTTGAATCGTTTGGAATTTTTTTCACCCTTGATTTCTGAACCGGATACTGCACTTACAAACGGTTTTCACGCCAACGTATACAAATCATTTGGCTTTAAAATCTAGAGTGCGGAAACGCGAAAGTTTTCGTGCATGTACACGTGTTTCGTATCTCCCAGTCGTATAACCACCTACGTATTCGCCGATTAAATTAAATTAAAAGCGACTTGCCAACCGGATTAATTCCCTTATAAATAACGAGCAACTAACTTCAAGGGGGTTCTGCTTCATTATAAGAATGAGCGACAAAATATTATTTTAACTAGAATGCTAAAGTAATTCCATCGTAAATGGCAGCCTCCTGATACGCGATATTACCGGTGTTTTGCGTTGCAGATCCACCGCTCCAAGAGCTGCCTGTTCTGCGCCCAGCTGTTCCCCTCCTGGCGACACCTCAGTCAGCACGTAGCGCAGCACAAACAGTCCGAAGGTTTCCCGTGCCTCCACTGCGCCAAAACCTGCGACAGCTACGCCGTCCTGAGCCGGCACTGCCGCGCCCAGCACGACGCTAAAGCGGTATGCATCTGTGAGATCTGCGGCGCTATTAAACGCAACCACGGTGCCCTGCGGCACCACATGCTCAACCACGCCAACACCTTCCGCCACCCCTGCGACCTGTGCGGCAAGGGCTTCAAGACCACCACCACGCTGCGCACGCACCAGCGCTGGAAGCACAGCACGGAGCTGAAGGAGAAGCATAAGCAGCACAAGCAGAAACAGAGCGGGGTGCCCCGGGACTACCTGAATCCGCGGCAGCGCATGCGCTTCGAGGAGTTCAAGTTCCGCTGCGAGGAGTGCCGGTTCGGGTTCCTGACGGAAGGGCGCTGGTTGCGGCATAAGGAGAAGTTCCATTACGAAGAGTGACGGTGCCTGTCTAGTGAAGTTGTAGTTTTTTTGGCCGTATTTCTATCCATGCAGCTGCATTTGTTTGTTGTTGCACCCGCATTCTCTTACCTCGCTCATTAAAAATTGTTGTTGTGTAAATTTCACAATTTTCTACTGCGGTTGGTTGTGGTTTATGGTTTTTTTTCCCGTGCGCTCAATGCCGATCATGATGTCGTCTGTCGTGATTTTCATCTGTTGGATGTGTATTGTACCAGAGGTCGCTTTGTCAAGTGTTGGCACTTTACACCAACACACTTGCCTGATAAAAATACGCCGCAACAAGTTCTCGGTAGAAGTTTTCGTATGTAATATAAATATGTAACGTAAAGCTGGTAAGCTCGAATGATAAATACTCCAAAGCAACAACGGTTCGACAGAGTTTAACTTATAATCTGTTCCGCGTGTTCCACCTATCCAGACGAAACAATTAATATGGAAGGAGAAACAAATTTCAGCAACACCACTCAACGCTGCGCTCATGTACAATGGACTGCAAAATTGATATTTTAACGCTGGCCGATATTGCCGTGTGCCCGATGTTAAATCACTTAACTTTTGCAGTCCATTAAAGGTCAGCGTGATATTATATCTAAGTGCGGTCCGAGCTGTGGCGGCACAAATTTACAAGTACTGTACAAATGGTCCAATGCGCGCTGGTCGGAAGGAGACTCAGAAAGCAATCATAATTCGTTTAACAGAGCAATGTTCATGGAGGCGTCTGGGTTCTCGATGAGGACACGAAGGGTCATTTGATTCGGTCTCCGGGAGGACCAACTTCGGCGATGAGGCACATTGTTCCGTAGAAGTAATCCTGCTCGGGTTGATTCCCGTAAAATACAAACGCAGTTCTGGTGATGTTTTGTTTTGTTATTTCCGTAATCCACTGAATATCCAGAGCCCCCAGGGGCTCCAACCAATCCTCCAGACTGTCCCCGTCACAGTTGCAGCAGTCATCAGAGCGCAGGACAATCGCACCCTCCTCATCGGCCAGAGTTTCGAAAACATACCCCCCTCCGAGCGTTTTCCATTTTTTCAGCTGAACAACATGATCGGTCAGGACGGCAACGTTGGTTCTGTCGTCTTGTGTGTAGATCTTCAGCTGGAAGGGCAGCGACAGCTGCCGGCACACCCGGCGAATCATGGCATCGCTGCCTTTCAGATAATCCATCGTGGATCCAAAGGGCTGCTTAAGATCCACAGCCACCGGATATTGATACTGTAAACCAAAACCAATCACGCCACCTTTCGGCAAGAAATCCGGCTCATCAAGCAGCTTCGCCAGATTGTCTTTGAACAACTGCTCCTTCTCCAAGCAGGCCTGGTTGACGGGGATGCTAAACTCGGGGAAGGTTGGCTGTGCGAAGTATAAATTGTACGTCAGTGTGACGCGGTGGCCGCTGTGCACCGGCAAAATCTCGTGCTCAATGTCGCTGTAGAAGGCCATGTACGCGATGGACGGTGTGCGGAGTGAGGCCAGTTCCTTGGCGGAGTCGAACGTCCATTCCTTGCCGCCCGATCGCAGCACCAACGCGCCACCCTCGTGGGGGGTGGGGTAAACGACAACCAGTGAGGCGAACATGTTGGCGCCCCGCGGTGTGTCTTGGTGCGGTTTGAAGAGGCCACCTTTGCCTATAACACAAAAACAGCACAATTTATTTATTCACTAATGCAAGAGTAAACAAAATAGTTTCCTTGAGAACCAAATTGAAATTATCAAACTCCACACCAAAAAAAATATCGCAGCGCAACTTGTGCTTGAGACCTGAATCCGTTTTCTCTATCCTACTTTGAATTTTGGACTTTAACGTACACGGATTTTTCTACATCCTAACCGTATTACAGTCATAAGATAATTTTACGATATTCCGGGGCCACATGTTGGTTCAGCTACTGGTGATCCGGTATACTACCAAGTGGCAAGTATTACGTTACAACGAGTGCTTATTAAAATAGCTGTAAATAGTTCGAGTTAGTTTTCCAGAATATTTCTTCACTCATGAGTCTTTGCCGCCAGTCAATCATGTTTACTCACGTATCGGTGTCCAACTTTTGAGTGCCAGTTCCGTTATACGCGCAACATCTGCTCATGTAGTCATGTATTGTACGCGGATGCACCCATGTACCGTCGGTGCGTTCGACTCGCTGCGTTGTTCCTTACCGTAGACATTGAGCTTGTACAGTTGCGCTTCCACATGTCTGTTGTGCTCGTCTCCCGACAGCAGATCGCTCTTTATCCGTCCCAGCAAACCCGACCGTTCCACGTCGAACTTCGCTGAGAACTCATCGACATCCAGTTTGCCAGCTTTACGGTAGGATTCGTCCAGAACAGCCTCCGCATTCCGTCCAAACGTGGCTGGATCACAGGCGCAGTACAGATGCTCCAGCTCGTCCGTGCTGGCATTGTGCAGAGAGATACGTCTGCAAAAAGCGATGGTGATGGGCGATGGCCATAAATTCCTAATAATTATTCCCGTAATACGCTTATCATCTTATTGCATGCGCATTTTACCTGGCATTAGTGTCTTTCCCGTAGTATAGGGTGAAGTCCTCAACAGATCGAGGATACACACCGAATGAAACTGGAGAACAACTGATCGAACCCCGCAAAGCTTCGATGAGTCTGCAGCAGGTGACAGACATGGGAGGGGATGCCTTTCGGTCCCTGTCTTCTTTGTCTTGATCGTCTGCAGCAGTAGTAGACAAACCAAGAGACTGTTGAATGTTTGCTGCTCGGACTGGTCTCAACGCTTTCAGCAGCGTTCGTGTCGACTGTGTTAGCAAGGGGTAAATCTTCTCTAACATTTTAAAACAACATGAATTATTCGAATCACTGATCACTGACCGTACTGGAAACCTTTCGATTTCTTACGACCAGAGACATGTAGAGTGTAAAACGATTTCAAAGACTATTAATCGTAAAAAGAAATGTGAAAACTGCGAAAATTTTCCTTGCGAACTTGCAACTGTTATACAGTGTTACACTTACGGTACAATGTACTTGTACAACCGAAAATGCCCAGTGCCCGTGAAGCTGAACTACGTGTAGTTGAAATCAACCAGTCGCATGTTCCCAACCGTCACTAGCTCCGCCCTAATAACCGGAAGTCCCCTATGTGCCCTGGTTAGATTTATGGAAGTATCTGTAGTTATGAACATATATTTTTTCCTTAAATATTCGTTGCTTAAGAACTTATTCCGCGCAATTTGCGCGGGGTGACGCCGGGGTCTACTATCTGTAGTACGAGTATTCATAATATACAAAATTATACGAGGAGATGATGGTCGCGCATTTCAGCACTCCCTGTACTTGCAGGCGTCAGCCGGCTGGAATATTACGCTGTGGCTAAACATGGTGAAGTACATATGAATGATAATATTATCAAATAATTATTATGTACCGAGCAATATTAGCCATATGTGTTACCGTAAAGTCACACTCCAGGCGGATGACGGCAGCAATACAGGGGAGCGCTGAAATGCGCTACCGTCATCCTATTCAATGGCCACCCGCCCATGAAGCAACAACTGGCAGGCCTTTTAGCTGCCGCCCAACGGCGGGTGTTAAGTGTTTTCTTCGGTTGTAGCCGTAGGATGAGATAACGTAGCGTCGTAGCGTACTGCTTAGTTGCGTACAAATAACATAGTACGAATGATTTGTGTAAAAAATGAAAGACGAAGAAAATTATTTTGCGGGAGTTTCGAATAATTCTGGATGATTGTGACGTACATCTGCACCTCATCTGCAGCTGCGCCGCGATTGCCATCAGCTCCCGGATCCATCAACAGCGCACATGTTGGAATGCGCTATCTCGTAGGTTTGTCGAGCTTGTTTGTGATTTTCGGATGATTTATCCCGCAACACTGGCACCATGCAGCGATTGTTGCCTAAACCATCACCCAACGGCGTCCCCTCGGCTAACGGTGAGTTCATGCTGGAACTAAGCAATTTTGATTATAAACGGAACGGTTGGCACTCTGATGAAGAGGACATGATGCTATTTTGTCCGGGTACCCCTGACGCAGCGAGACAATCAAAACACACCTAAACGCAGGCCCGTCTTTAGCTTTTTGGAAGGGGGGTGCACAAAACCTCGCGCCAGTTGGGAAATGGCCGAAAATTTCAGGAAAAACGTAGAAAAGTGGCTTTTTTGAGCCACTTTTCTACGCTTTTCTATTGTAATTTTCGTTGCGCCAGGGCCAGTGCGACCGCGCCAGTCGCATTTTCTTGCGCCAGCTCCCGGCACACCTTTTTCCCGTTTTTTTCCCTCCGGGAGGGGGGGGGCAGTGCGCCCCCCCCCCCTTAAAGACGGGCCTGCCTAAACGTCACGCGCACAAGTCACAACTACAAGCAAGCTAACAGCAAGCATTATAATGTTTTGGTAGACGCAGTGCCCCTGCCGCAGACTGCCTCTCTGACACTGCCCACCTTCATTCTGGTGCCCATTACACCTGGTCCACCACCCCTGCAAGACAACCGACATAACAGGCATGTTACCCGGGCTGCCAAGAAGCGAGGCCTCCAGTCACTACGAGTAGGAGGTGCAACGAAAAATAAATTTCCACGAATTGACGAACCTGTCCGCGAAGCATCCGTTGCTGCCGATGAAAATTGCTCAGGTATGTTGTACAACGTCAGATTTCCCTTTGGTCTACAGTATATGGAAACGATAAGCAGAATTGAACTACGTGCAGATTCGAACCAGTGTCGACGCTGTGTGGATGTTGGCGATGAGCCGTGCGTGCTGCATTCGCGGCTGATCAGCGATACCGCGACGGTGGCCCGCGCATACGGCAGTCTGCCTTCTCAATTATACATCGCGCAGAAGGAAGGAATGTCCGGTGAGAAGCAGTCAAGACTGATCAACCGACAATTTGTGTAATTAAATTATTTCTCGTAGACCCGGGTGTTTTCGCCAAGCGCGCCATCCCCCACCAGAGCGTCTTCGGCCCGCTATTGGCCCCCTTCTCGCCCCACCCCGTGGCCTCCGTCTTGGTCGACCACCGCTTCGGACTGCGCCAGAAGAACGGACCCCACGGAGAAAATGCAGATGTCCGGGTGTTCGACCTGAAGAGCGACGATCTGTGCAACTGGATCAAGTTCGTCCGCGAGGCCGTCGACGCGCAGCAGCAGAACCTCGTCGCCTTCCAACAGGACGACCGCGTCTACCTGGCCACCACTAAAGACATCCCCGCCGAGACGGAACTCTGCTTCTGGTACTCCACAAAATACTGCCAATTCCTCAACAAGGAGAATCTTCAGCCAGGATTTGCAGCGCAAGGTAAGCTCCTAATCTCTTAATTGGGTACTTTTCTAGGCTTACTTCGTATGTATTTGATTTATTAGAGAATAATGACGCTTATGGCGACGTTACGGCGGATTCGCATATTCCGATGGACGCACTTTGCAGTGTAACACCGACCGCTGCCACCGGCGACGATTCCGATGTTATAAAAAATGCGTTGCCGGCCGTGGATCCGTCACCGGCTCGATCCCCCGGGCCACGCCGTCGCCGAGTGATCACCGTCGACACGGCCGTCCGCCCCTGTTATTTGTGGTTCAGAACGGAAGAGCGCTGTTTGGTCGACTGGTTTGTCAATCCCGACAACTGTCGGCTGTGGAAACGCGCCGGCCGAAAGGCGATGGACGGTAGTCCCAGCAAACTACACGTGGCGGGTGTAATCTCATCTTACTTGGTGGAGAATGGCTGCGAATCCATCGGACCGGAGATCATCAAGCGGAAAGTCGCCGCATTAGAAACCAAAGCTCTGCAGCCGGAAACGGACAAAATGCCAGCGTATGTGCGGCGGTTTCGCGAGGCGTACAATGCGGTTAACCTGTCCGATGGCGCAGCTGATGATAATCATATTACGAATTTATTGCCGGATACAGCGCCGACAGGTTTAATGGCATTGGCAGCGCATCGTCCGCCGCGAAAGGGTAGACCCACCGGTTGGTCCAGTATGGAGGAGCGTTGGTTAGTAGGGGGTTTAAATCAAACGCCAGTTTTCCTATCTTTTTGTATAAGTATCACAATACAAGTACAAACTTTAGGTACCAAAACATTTTCCTATTAATTTGTTCTATTTTAAAATATTTTAATTTAAGGTGGTTGCACCGGGAAGAATGCAAAATGAAATTTATAAAATATGCAAATTCACTTATATCCCTTATATATAATTAAGTTACTCTATATGAAATTATACAAATTATAATTCAAACATCGTAATTGCTTTTATTATTGAATTATTTTTGTTGTTGCATTATCATTGAAATAATTTACATTCCTTCTATGTTATATTATAAAGTCCCTTCGAGCGAAGGTAATAAGTAGAAAAATCGAACATTTAATGGCTAGCAATTGTCTATAAAATTAATTTAATTAAAACATATAAAAATAAATAACGTAATTACATATATCATTAAATTTAAATTTTGTTTTCAATTACAAAATTTTAATTTTTAAAAAACAAATCGCATAAATCTCGGCCAGAATTGTTACCGATAATCTCGCGCCTAGGTTAGTGGAATGGTTTGCGCAGCCAGATAACTGCCAACAGTGGAAGACGTCGTTTCTCCACCACACCGAAAACGATATCGCCAAGAGCATAGCCGCGTATTTATTAGAACGCGGCGGACAAAATTTCTCCGAGCGTCCGCCGTTGAATATTCTCCGCAAAATCCGTCTTTTGAAGCTCAACTATCGGAGCCGGTGGCGGCCGATGCGCCGGAGGATGTTGTTTCCCTGTTCCGCACGGCGTACAACGCTGCCGTCGTTAACGAAGACGAAGCCGGTTCGTTGGACGAAGACGCAGCGGGTTTGGGGAAGAGACATTCGTGGTCGCTAGAGGAGGAAGCCATCTTAGTGGAATGGCTGGAGAAGGAGGAGGATGCCGCCCGCTGGCGGCCGCACGCGCCGGAAGAGACGAGAGTGCGGGATGGGGAAAAGTCGCGGGTGGCCGGTATCGTGCGGCAGCGGCTGGTGGAGCGGTGTGGAGCACACAATGCGCACCGGCGACTCTTTAATGTCAGGAAGAAAGCGGCGCATCTGCTGACGGACTGGCAGACGGCTAATGCGTATATGCAGAGCGTTGGGAAGCCGGCGATGACGCTGACGGATGCGTGGAAACTGAAGCGCCTGGTGGCGGAGGGTAAGTCGCTCAGAAATATACCAATAATCCATAAAAACATTTAATCAATAAAATTTATTAACAGTTAATTTCATTTATTCGCCAGTCATTAAGATGTTCAAAATAAAATCAACGATATATTATTTTTTTACTTATAAACAATGTCTGCCCGGTCTTGGTGGACAATTTAGTAATTACAAACATGACGAGAAAAAATAATATAATTAAATAATATAATAAAATTTACTAATTATTAACATGACGAGAAAAAATAATATAATTAAATAATATAATAAAATTTAGTAATTAGAAACATGACGAGAAAAAATACTATAATTAAATAATATAATAAAATTTAGTAATTACAAACATGACGAGAAAAAATAATATAATTAAATAATATAATACAATTTAGTAATTACAAACATGACGAGAAAAAATAATAATATAGTGATTTAGAAATAAGTATAGCTGAAAATAATAAGGGAAAAAATTGTAATAATATTATAGTGACTGACCGATTGTAATAAACGTACTGGTAAGAATAACGAACAAAATGCAAATAAATTAACGTTAAAAATAATATTACCTAATGATGGAAAATAGTAGTATTCATAATAAAATGGCAGACATAAAAATATTATTAATTAATGATGGAAAATAGTAGTATTGATAAAAAAATGGCAGACATAATATAAATAAATTCAGTAACAATCTACAGGAGACATACGACCTGTCGTGGACCATTATCTCACTCCTGTGCCAGACGACATTCAAGCGGGTCAATCGTCGGAAACGAATCAACCGACTGGCCAGGATGATCTCCAACAAATTCTCACGTTCTTCTCCCGAAAAGCGCTGCACCACCGCATCTGGCCGCCGGTCGACTCGAAAATCGAAGTCACCGTGTGTGAATGTCGGGACGGGTGCGGAGCGCAGTTCACACTGAAATTGGCGCGCGATCTGCACGGGCTACGGCATCGGACCGGACCCTGGACGACCAGCGCGTTTAATCCGTTGTGTCCCGTGTGTGATTTTGCACCGACCAACTGGACGGCGCTGTTCGATCATCTGGATGAGCAGCATCAGTTCTTTGACTTTGCGGCCGACTCCCAGAATCTATCAAAACTGAAACTGCGTCGCGAGTTAAAAAAGAAGCAGGAGAAGAAGGTCAAGAAGGTACGGACATAGCTCCATTTTCTAATTCTCTCTTTAATTAAAATGTCGTTTCCAGAGTAGTTTGTTAACAGAGTAACAAAATCAAAAAAAATTGTGCTGTGGAATATGAAATATGTGACATCATGTGAAAATTCTTATTAGTTTTTAGAATTTAATATTTATTTAAATTAATTGCATTATAAGGACGGTTAAAAAATCTATTTTATTTCAACGGTAGACCAAGAAGAGATGTAAAAATTTCCCCGTCTGCGAGCACTGCGGTATGGAGTTCATTCATAAGGAGGTACGCAGCATCCATTACCTGAGACATGGTACAACGCTGCCGGACGATGCCGGGGAAATACGCCAGTGCCCTGCGTGCACCTTCTACGCGGACAGTGTGCCGGCATTAATTGCGCACGTGGACGAGCGGCACACGCGGAAGGATCTGCACACGTGCGCGCGCTGCCAACAGTCGTTCATTTCCTACCGGCGTTTGGAGCGCCACATCCAGCGCAGTCATCTGTGGTCGGACGCCGAGAAGCCGTACGAGTGTCCGACATGCCACAAGAAATTCTCCGTCAACAGCGCTTTCACCCGCCATCTCAACGTACGAATGCCTAACTAAGATTTTTAAAAATAACGGATAAATAAATAATAAATAAATAAATTTATAGTAAATTCATAAATAAATCAATAAATTCATAAAATAATAAATATATTTATAAGTAAACAGCGGATAATGAATGACGGATAGGAAAAAACGAGTAACGGATATAGTGCGGCATTATGGAAGTGTAAATTCTTGTATTTCAGTTTAATTTCAATTTGAGTTTTAAAGCGGGTAGTTTTATGTTTTTTTTAAGTTTAAACTCGTCTCTAAACCTGTGTGGATAATTAGCTTCAAAGGACTGTTAATTTTTATAAAATACAGTAACTTAATTTTTTTTATTTTGTTTATGTTCATTTATTTATTATTAATTTAAACTAATTACTGTAATAACATTATTAAATACTCATGCAGTATAATTAGTATTATTATAAATAAAAATATTTGTTCATTTATTATTGTTATAAATTCGATGATTAGTTTTAATGTTATAATTTATTTTAATTTCTCTCAATCCGATGCAGACCCATCTGGACGGTGATCCCATCAGTTGTCCCTTATGCGCCAACGCGAAATTCCGTCAGACCGCGCAACTGTACGACCACATGCGGCAAGCCCACTTCGTCAACGGTCAGCTGGTGTGTTCGCACTGTGATAAACGTTTCCCCGCCGTCTGCAAAGAACACTTCCGCAATTTCCGCGCACATGTCCGCAGACACGTGGCCACTGAGGAGTACCCGTGCAATATTTGCGGCAAAATCTTCAAACGCTCCAGCGCCCGCTCCAGGCACGTGGAGGGGGCGCACAGCTTGAGCCGGCCTCACGTGTGTCACTGCGGAAAATCCTACGACACGCGAGGGCATCTCGCTCAGCACCTACGCGTGGTGCACCGGAAGGACAAGGTGGATGGGCAAAAGAGCGTCACAGGTGGCAAGAGTGTCGCGCAGAGTAAAGACTATGTCCCTCCGCAGAAAACGAAGCACTACACCGAGTTCCCGTTTCAGTGCGAGGAGTGTCAGCAGGGATTCGTCCGCCGCGGCATGTTCGCCTACCATCTGACCGTCCGCCACCCGGGGCGGTCGCTGGACGCCGAGCCGCAGCTGATGCTCTCCAGCACCGCCGTGCATCAAAATCCGTAAAAGCCGTGGTCGGACGGCGTGTCGGTGTTCTAGTACAGGCCATATTCTAATTTTTTGTTCGAACGTACTGTTGTGAGTGTGGTTGTGTATGCAGTGTGCTTGATGTACTACCGTTGCATACTGATTTTTAATCTGAATGGATGTATGTGAACGCACGGAGCCGAAGCATTCTCACTTTCTGTTTAAGGCTGTGTAAAAACTCACTCTGACTTGTGAGTCAAAAATACGGAACTTATGATGTCTTCTGTCACATTTAGATTTTATTGGATACTTACTGCGCTCACATGCAATAATATGTTAGCGTGCTAGTGATCTATGAGGGAGATATTTCAGCGTAAGTTATCTGATTGACTTTCAGTGACTTTCACACTTGTTGCTTACATATACCGCTGCTTTTCGTCTCGTGGCATACATTCGATCGCCAATCTGATTTCTTTCCTAAGAATGTACTCTACCAAAGCTATGCCCTCTTCACAAAAACAGACCTTGTGATGAAAAGGAAAACTTGTTGTTTTTCGTGCGATTGTCTGCTTTCGGTTCATATAACAGGCGTTGTTAGATATATAGTTTCGGGCATTAGTTTCGACTGCGCCTGTTTCGCTAAAGTGAAACATGCGCGGGCAGCTATCATAGCTCTCCGAGTAACGGTCTCCTTCCTACCTATAGTCAAGAAAGTATTAATGCCTTAAATGCGATCGCTGCCGATTCCCTGTCGTGGACTCGCGAGGACAAATGTTAGTAACACGGTTTCAAAGCCACCCACCCACTTACCAGTTCATAACACTGCGGTACGAATTGATAAATTAGCGGGTGGCTTTTAAACCTTGCGTTCGGAGTTGGACAAGGAATTCCGGCCGCTGGCGACACGGAGGTACAGTGTACGATATTAAAGCACTTACCTGCCTCGCGAGTCCCTGTCCGGTGCCCAACAGGACAGGTGTGACCGCGTGCGGTCGTCTGCGGGATGAAACGGACGATAGAGGCTATACCGTTCAATTGGAGCGTGAAACCATGAAGAAATACTCACGGACAACCCGGAGAAAACGCTCGGACAAGCCTTGTCCATAGACCAGTTGGCCCGTTCCGTTTCCGGGACCTTACGGCTGACCTTTCCGGCTTAACGCTGGAAACTGGCGCTTCGAACTATCCAGGATTATCACCCCATTAATTAGCACCAAGGACAACGGAGCATGGCTTTGCGCGGCAAACTGGCTAAAGCACAACGGAAAGCACTGCGGGCGATTTCTGATTACAAGGAGCGGGTAACACCCGAGCTGTACCAGAAAATGCGCATCCTGCCGGTGTACGACCGTTGGAAGCAGTCCGAAGCAGTATGGTTGTATAAGATCTACAACCATGAAGCGTACCGTCCTCCGCAGTACATGGTCGAAATGATTGACTTCACGGATATCACAGCGCGGTATAATCTTCGTAAGCCAAAGAGAATCGAAGCCTCAGCGAAGAAGAAGATCGGAGAAGGCACGTTGGCTATGCGTTTAAAGGACATTTTTGAGCGCATACAAAAAGTTAATATGCAGATACTCAGTGTTGATGGTGTGGGTTTTTTCAAGTTTGCTCTCCGAATGGTTGATCTGTCGTAATATGCTGATGTTGTTTACTTTTGTACCGACCAGACGTTGAAGTCCCGTTTATCGGGTTGTCTGCTCTTGATGTAATAATAATAATAATAATAATAATGGCCGGATGCACCACCAGCTGCATCACTGGGAAATCTCCTGAACGACTCCGCATTAAGAATCGTTATTGGCCTGCGTCTTGGAACACCGACATTTGCAGTGAATGGGTGGACGCACGAGGCCACCATTGAAACTGACCTTGATCGAGCCTTTGGGTATATCGCGAACCAACGGCAAACGCCCAGACGGAGTCACCTTAATGCCATGGGAACGAGGCAAGATGTTAACATGGGATGTGACATGTGTGTGTACGACGGCCCTACCACATATCGCAGCAACATCCACGCAAGCCGGCGCAGCAGCGGCACAGGCTGAAAGGGAAGAAAATTGGGAAGTACCAGAACATCACGCAGGACTACCTGTTCCGTGAGGCGGCCTTATGACATATCGCAGCAACATCCACGCAAGCCGGCGCAGCAGCGGCTCAGGCCGAACGGAAGAAAATTGGGAAGCACCAGAACATCACGCAGGACTACCTGTTCCGTGCGGTGGGCGTTGAGACATTGGGACCACTCGGACCGGGAGCATCCCCGCTAATCACTGAAGTGGGCAAGATGATTCGTCAGGAAACAGGCGAGGTACGTGCAACGGAATATCTGCGCCAGAGGTTCAGCATCGAAGTCCAACGGGGAAACGCGGCATCCATCCTGGGAACGGCACCAGCCACGGCTAATTTAGATCAAATGTTCTCTGTAATTCGGCCGCCTGTTTCCGCTGTTTGTTAAATTCGTACTGTAATGTTTCTTTTGTGGCTGTTGGATTATTCTGTATTCGCTCATCAATAAACAGAATAGAAGTAGTTAAAAAATTTAATTAACGTGCGAAATACTTAAAATTAACGAGTTTTCACAGTGTCCTTGACATTTATTACGACTTTAACGATTTTTATGCCGTTGTAGTGTTTCTTCGGCATATTATCGAACCATAACCGTGTGTTTGGGATTGACGATTCTCGCCCGGATGGCGCCCTGCGGCGGTTGGGAGCCGTGCAACTCAGGTGCGACGGGAAGTCATCGTACTGATCGTAGTTACATAGAAACAAGTGCTTATCCCGGCACTTTTTAAACCGCGTGCGTTTGCAAACTACACTGTTTGTTAACTGGACAGATACATGAAAATTCACAGAAAACCATCCTCTGCAAACGATGAAAAAATGTGTGATAAAAATGCTTACAGTATTCTTAAATGAGTGGCAGCTCTATGACCACGGGACTACTCTACCGCTTTGAATTTTAGCACACGACCAGAAACAGAGCGCATGCGTAGTTCTCCTGTTGGTGCACTGTAAAATCCCTGTTTGTTAGTGACGTCAAAATGACACACTGCCAGTCTTCAGTCTCGGCGAGAATCACGAATTGGTCCCAGTCTGGGACTCCCAGATTGTTACAAACCGCGCTCCCGAAGGGGGTACAACTTCCATCCAGACCGCGCGCACCCGTCTGGGATGATGCAACTATTGCGGACAATCCAACCCGTAACTCCCGAAATTCACGAGCGCTTTGTATACAAACCACAAACGCCACAGCATCGCCGTCGGACACCGTCCGGATGGCGAAACCGGTTTACGCCAACGTACGTTCAACCTTGGAGGAATCGTCCAAGGTTAAACGTACGTTGGCGGTTCCGTTATTCAAATTGGCGTATCCCGGTTCCGTGATCCGGACGTGGCGTCACCGAAAATCCGGAAAACATTTGACGGCTCAAGAACTAATAGACTCGTGGACAGGCTTAGAATTCGAACAGATATTTTTACGCGGAAAAATGAAAGAGACGCAATTACGAGGAACTGACTGATCGTTATTTCGTACATCCAGCCTCCGGCCTTGGAGATCATGGGACCTTGCGGCGCTAGTACGCGTCAGTTCATCAGTGCAGTTGGTTGACACATAAAAGGTTAAACAGGAAAAACGCGCGCCATCGAATTTTTGTGGCAGCGTATAAGTGTTGAGATTCAGCGCGGAAATGCTGCTTCTGTTCTGAGAACTACTGGTTGTTCAAAAGTGCTGCAAGGGTTATTTTATTTGTTCCAGGGTCCCAGGCTTCCAGCTACTGATTATTTGAGTTTAAGTGTAAATGGCAACGCCTTGTACAAGTTTGAAATAAAATACTAATATGTTTCTCAATAAGCCATGGAAGGCAAATGTAGTAAAACCAGGGCGCTATCCACTGGAAACCGAGATACGGCTGAAAAAGGCGCCGATGGCCCGATGGGGGAATCGAACCCCGGCTACGTCAATAGATCCGCATAGGCAGTACCACTGCACCACGGCGCAATACGTTAAAATCCTTTGAAAGACTTTATCGCTGTACGTAAGCCGCTTCTCTCCTCTCAGTAGTGTCTCATTAAAATCGGCATCAAGTTACATTGTAGGACGGCGTGGCGTAAGAAAGAGCACAAACCACCTTTGAAATCAAATTTATATATCAAGAAGCGCGCAATCATCCTTACAAATGCAACTATAACATCCAAATATCAGCCCCTGAAAGTGTACAAAACATTCAGACAGGAACATTGTGAGAATGCCTTAAACAGGAAAACACTCATTTCACGTCTTAGCAGCACGCTTCCGCGGCTTCTCATCCGTATCTTCACGGTTCCGCGGCTTTCCACTCCGGCCGCCGCTGTGCACCTGGTTGCGATGGCGCTCCAGTTTCCATCTGGAGTGGAAGCTCTTCCCGCACAGCGGACAGGGATGCTGGTGGACTGTGCCGATCCCGTGTTTGAGCATGTGCATGCCGAGGGCGTAGCGGTTGCGCTTAACATCGCCGCAGACACTGCAGGCGCACACCGCCTTGGCGTTGTGCAAGCGGCGGTTGTGCCGGCTGAGGCTCAGGTAGGTGTCGAAGGTCTTGGGACAGTGCGGACACAGGAAGCCCTCGTCCTGTCGGTGCATCACTGCGTGATACCCCAACTGCGGCCAGGAGGGGAAGAGTTGGGCGCAGTACAGGCAGCGCTTGGCGCGGTGATGCTGCAAAGCATCGAAATGAATTCAAGAATTTTTTTAGATTTTAGACGGCGAAAGAGTTTTTTAGACAGCGGTTATCTATCCAAATGCAACGGGGAAACGCGATATGTGTTATGGGTACAATCCCCGAGCAGGATAGCATCGAAGAAGTGTTTTTGTTATAAAACTCGTTTTTTCTAGTACTCAGTTTGTACTTCCATAACGATACTTATTAAAGGCATCAGAATTTTTTTAAGTTTATTTCTAGAATTAGAAAAAAGATTGTCCCTAAATCTTTTTCGGCTCAGACCGGTCTTCATAGTCGACCGAAGCGAAGGTCTTCTATGTTCACGAAAACGGGATTTTTGTCGGTCACGTACAAATTTTTGTAAAATTAATATGATTAATTTTATTTCGTAAATTTTATTTGGATTATTTTGTATTGTAATACAAAACTAAAACATATTTGAAAATGTAATTTTTTGAATTGTAATAAATTTGACTGCGACGTTTCATCACAGAGGCAACCATAAGTCGGCTGTCCGTGGTGATCTCAGCGAGGGAGGGTAGTCAGATGAAGTCCTGTCTGTGGAGGAAATTCCGAAAAATGGCGATGGAGCGGAATCGAACCGCTGGCTACCGAGTGAGATCCACGTAGCACAGCCACTGTGCCATCGCCGCTGTTGGCGAAGATCAAGATATTTGTGCTTGAGCTTGAGCCAACCAGGTAGGGCAGCTGCTGTGGGTAAAGAGGATTCTCCTCTTACAGTTTGAACGATCAAATTATCGTCGGGCTTCGCTTGGGTCTTCTAGTGGTAGATTATTATTGCCTTATTATCTTGTTTTTTTTAAAGAATAAATAAAACCATGATTTCTATGCATTTAAAACAAAAAATTCTCCTTTTTCTAAAATTCCACTGTTGCGAAAGTTTTTTCGCATATTATTTTTCCCATTTGTTTTACCAACCATTTCATGGGCAGTCAGCTGTTTCTGCGACGCATACTCCTTTTGACACTCTCCGCACGTAAACTTCCCAACCGGATCCGCGGACTTCTCGGGATGCACGTTCCGCAAATGCTGCCCCATAAACTTCACGCTGACATACAGCTCACAATAGGCGCACTTCTCCCGCGGGCGGTAGGTCTTGCGGTGCTTCTCCACATGGGCGATCAGCGCGGCCATCGTTCCGCACTCCTCCTGACACCCCGGACACGCGGTGGCGCCGCCCTCTTCCACGGCGGCGGCGTCATGGCCCCGCGTGTGCAACGCCAACAACGCCGCCGACTCGAAGGAGAACATACACGCCGTGCACACATGCAGCCCCTCCGTCGCCGGCTTCGTCCGCTGCGCGACGGAATTAGACATCCGGAACGCACGCTGCACGAACCTGGCACCGTTGTCCTTCAATTCAGCGACCTTCTGCAAGACCTCCAAGTACTCCATCAACGAGTCCGCGCCGGTTGTCGGATCACACTGCTCCAGGAGTTTCGGGAGCTGCTCGAGACGGCTGTTGACGCGGACCTCTAATTTCCGTCCCTCCGTCTTTCGGCGACCTCCTGACTTCATCGGTGATGCATCCTTCGTACCAATCTGCAGATTCTGCACCGCTTGATCGAACGCTTTATACCGCGCGTTGTACATTTTATACTGGTACGGATTCACTTCAACCACGGCTTTCAACTCTTCAATCGCTTCTTGTCGCCGGCTTCCCAATTTCCCCAATCTGACGTCGGTGACCCTGTTTTTCTTCATGTCAGTGAGGGTGTTTAGGAGTTCCATGTAGCGCTGGAACACCGGTCCGGCGGCGTCGTTGAAACGCAGTTGTGCGTCCGCTGCTTGCGCCAAACAAAAATGCACGAAGGTTTTCAGAGCGCCGCGGGTATTGCCCACGGCCTCCGGGCCCAGGAGACGCACGACGCTGTCGAAGGCGGCGTTGCGGTGGTTGCCGGGAGCGTACTGGTACGGGTTGACCTGGACCACCGCTTCCAGGCGTTTCACCGCTTCCGGGTTATCGTGACGGAAGCGGAAGGGACGTTTGCGCTTTTCTGCAGTAAAATAACGAAACCGTTACACGCACCGTGAAACAGATTATAAGAACAGGATGAATCAACAGTTGGCTTAATTTTCACACGGGGTAAAGGGAGAATAAACGACTCGTGCGAATTAACGCCGATTTCCAAAGATTTTGGCTGTTTTTTTCCAATGATGCATTTAAATCATTTAAATTACTGTCTACCAGCGCAAATCAACGCACAGGCTAATCAACGCTTTATACGCTTCCTATAATTGACAATACATTTCAGTATTTACTTTCTCACCAAACAACGAGCGGACCAGAATTACACTGTGCGACAAAAAGGACATGCTTCGCTGTAACGCATAATACGCACACAAGCGCTTTTTTTTCGAATCCGATGCTGCCAATTTGTAACCGCTGTATGGGTTTCTTCTGCACACGTATTTATTAATTTAACTAATGAAATTTTCTGAACCGTAGACAGTACTCTATTTTTTTATTCTACAGGGTGCCAAAACCTTACTGCGGGGTATCGCTGTGGAAACTGCGGGATCATTCCCTCCATCGCCAGCATCCACTGCCGATGGCATTTCCGCTTCCCCATCTTCTTCTTCTGAGGCGGTTTCCTCTTCCGAATCACCAGCGTCTCTTTCGCTGTCCGTATCGTCGCTGTCTTCTTCGTTTATTGCCTCCGCGTGTGACGTCAAATCTTCACGTGCCGGTAAACGATCAACAGCGTCGGCTGGCGTAATATGTTCGTCCGACGGAAAGGAATCAGGCAAACCGGACGCGGGGACCAGATCATCAACATACGCTGTTGGCCGCGCTATCTTCATGTTTTTACGATGGCGAACTACGAAATCCACGACAATAAAAAAACAATTGCAGCAACGGAAGACAAACAGCCACTAAATCACCAAATAAATCGAAATATTACAACTACTCGTAGCACATAGGGTGAAGTTCACTGAAAGATTTCCTGGGGATATGGGGAGAGGGCTGAACGTTTACGGGCTGGGCTACTCGAAAATAAATCAACCAATCAATCACTATCACTCACCAGGCTTCTTATTACTAATCTCCTGCAGACGTCCCGAGATTCCCAAGGCCCTGGCGTAATTAAACGAATACCAGACTTTCAGTTCTTCCCCCGCTGCAATGTCCCTTTTTGTCGCGAAGTACACCTGTCCGTCGACGTTGTAGGCGGTGAGATTGCATTCAGCGGTGTGGATGGCCAGTCGGACGAATTGCATCCAGTTGCAGCCGTGAGGGGAGTCCGCGTGGAAGCGCAGGATGCCCTGCAGCGTGGGACGGTCCGGAATGCCGAAGGAAGACTGTTGCAGCTTGGCGTGCGGACACAGGACGCCGCGCATCGGTCCGAAGACCGTGCGGGCGGGAAAACTACACTGCGCGCGGACTCCGCAAGGTAACTCTGTATGTAATACGATCGCAGTTGACGCACAGCCAGAACATCATTGACGGCAGATAAAACAAGGAGGCTTGATAAGAGACATGAAATCAGAAAAGTCGAAAATTTTGCAATACACACACCAATCATCACTAAATGAAGATTAGACTTAGTACTTATGGAACAATATAAATAAACGAGAATCGAGAGAATACAAAAAAAATAAAATACATCTCTTCCAGGATTGATTAAGAATATTCTGTGGGATTCATTGTCCGTTGTCTTACCGTCTTCTGGTGTGCGGATGAAGGAGAAGGACGAAGGGAGCGTGGCCAGCGCCAAGGGTATCACCTCCGCGTCGGGCACAGAATGTGAATGCAACGGACACGGCTCATCCAGCACATTCCGCGAGCAGTGCCCGCAGCCACCGTGCGAAGGAGTATTTTCTTTATTTACTGATGGTCGCCCTAAAACAGTCCCCAAGGCTTACAATTCGACTAACAACTTACGGAGAAAAGCGCTCCTAAAAATTCACGCTTCAGCGTCTATTTTAATGGCAGTAGAAAAAAGATGAGGAAGATAAACATGACCACCAAAGTGAATATAATTCATAGAAATTTAGGAAATCCATTTAGGAATTTAGCCACAACCTCCCATGCGAGCCATCTGGCGTGCTCGTACTTCTTTGGGGTTTACCTCCCAAACTCAGCGAAGATGATGTGGGCAGCAGAGATTTGGCCGCCGCCTTGCTGGAGACCCGTTGGACTGCAGCAGGAGCGCGGGCTGCGGGAGATGCAGAACGTGATGAAACATGGAGGGAAGCGTTGGGTTCCATCGGGATCGCAGCAGGCAACTCATAGAAAGAGCCACTCGCCACTTCGCTCTTCTCCGTCTGGCAGTTTAACTCCAGCAAAGACACGAAGCTCAAACTGATTATTTATCATGTCAAAATCAATTTCAAATAAGAAATTATGATTACGTACAAATTACAATCTTAGAAATGCTAAAATTTTTATTTCGCTTACGCTCGTACACACTGACAAACACTGTAAAGGCTGTAAGGCTTGACAAACTGCACAGGAAGTGGTTCAGCTGGACCACTGTAACAGACTGCCCGCGGGCGGTTACACCTTACACGAATGCTGGATGTTTGCTGTTGTCGTAACAGTCGTCTTCTTCAACTTTTTCCAAATGTTCATGTTTCGTTCAGCAACTGCAAAAGCCCGAAGCTGATATTCATAGAAAAAAATTTACGCTGGATAATTCAAATGTTACAAGTTTAAAACTTTAAAGAAAGAAATCGAAACTGCTATTCGTGGTAAACAACGTTGCCAGCCGTTGCAAGCCACCTGCATGCTGCCGGTTAGCCGGATGTGCGCGTGTGTGATGGCGCATGCCAGCCAGACGACGCAACAGAATGACGCCAGTCGCGTGGATCACTGATTCTCACCATTCCTAGTTTACCTAATTCACAGCTGCTTATGCGTTGTCATGTTTACAATTTTACATGTTTCTGAGTGAGAACCGATGAGAACTAGAAGAAAACGGACCTTATATAAACACAAAATGGCGACGGCTTACGTCATAAACTGGAGTTGGGAGCTGGACTTTCTAGTTACAATTCCCGGTTGCACTTTATAACTACAGCTCCCAACTCCCATACATGAGTCATCACAACTGTACACTGTATATATTCGCTACATATGCAGTACTAACATCCGCACACAATTCGATGATATTATCAGTGCACAAAATTTTAATTTTTGGTTGTATTATATGATCGGTTGTCTGGATTGTGTTTTCAGTTTAAAGTAAGTATTAAAGGCACGAAATCATAATAAATCATCATACATAAGCAAGAAAATATACTATCAAAATGGCACGCCTAGTGTGTAAAAAGAACTTTTGTGAAGCAGTTATGGGAACATGCATTGTTCTAATGTTAATTTTAATAATATTGCTCGAGGCCTTTTTCGGAGTAAGTCATAATATGAAAACCGGTACCAACAACTGTTCAGCACTGACAGTTGAAGATTTAATCAACGGAAATGTCACCCCATGGTCGAGTGTTAAATTCCGTGTCGACAATTCGACGCTTGTAATATGTAAGTCGAAACCGTTTATTTATTTCTTTTGCGGAAACCTCCAATTTACGCTTATTCCGCGTAATGTTAAACGGATAGTTCACGGTTATATCATTTGGCTGGTCTAGCGGTGCCAGGCTTTCTAATAGCATTTCCTTCAGGCTTTCGAGGTTCAACTGTCTCCTGGCTTTCTTTGTTAAGGTATAGCATCCCCGAAACTATGTACACATAAAAAATATACCATGTGTTACAACACAATATGAACTAAAAACATCAGCTTCACTTACTTCGTGTACAAGAAATTCATAATTTCTGCAGCTAGCGGAGTAATTGTTAATAGAAATGCACCTTTAGCTCCAGTGGAAAAAAAATTTGCGGCGACCCTGGCGGACTTTTTCCAGTTGATCTGCACGCACGCATAAGCATGCACGCAATAGACCATAAGACTGCAAATAACTGTCAAAATTGGTTACACAGTATGGTCATAATGTACAGTGATAAAGAAAATAATATTCCATCGTAGCGGTTAGTTTTTATGATTATTTATGAATAAATAAGCTGAGAATAGAGGAAATAGTAATGACCACTAAAAAGCAATTATATTTTATTCACTGTACGTTGAAAGGCTTTGACGAGCCTGATGCGTTAAAGTGCTCCTCCATAGTGTAAAAGAATGTAAACAACTTGTTGAATCAAACAGTGAAAGTGAACCAATATAACTGTGCAGTGTACAGTAGTATCCATACGAGGACCATTGGGTGCTGTGAACATACCCTTCACGATTAGGCTGCGATGAACATCCGACTAGTCTGCAGCTCGCAACACTACTGGCATCACGGTCTGAATTTTAAAATTAAATCCAAGTTTAAAACGCACAACATCCAGTACGAGTACATATTTGTTTATTTCTTGTTATGTTCTATTTTTGATTTGTTGTAATGATGTTTGTTTTACTTTTTTTCTAATAAATCTGATTTGTTACGTGTACTAAATCCAACTGTCCAAAAATATCAGCTATGGATCTAGTCTCTAGAGCTTGTCATAATGCTGCTATGGATGCAGCAGTCAAGTCATGTCAGGAGGGAATTTTATCGCAGGCTTCTGCCGCAAAGGTCTACAGAGTTAATCGCACGACACTAGGAAGACGACTGAAAGGAATTGTGCCTCAACAGAATGGGCAATGGCAGCGGATATTTACTGATCCTGAGGAGAACTTCATTGCGGACACCATGCTGCGCTGTGCAAGGCTTGGAGTGCCTCTAAATAAACCGATGTTAAAACGGATTATTCCTCCACTGTTGAGAGAAAAAGGTAAAACGCTTTAAAATAATGCTTTTGGCGCCGATAAAATTGCAGTATCGTAAAGAAAAAAAATTCCGTTATTTGGCTCTTGTTCACGCATCACACGTTTGTAGGTTTTGCCGTCGAGAAACAACGTTTTACGGAGGATTGGCACTATGGCTTTTTAAAGCGTCACCCAGAAATTAAACAGCGCATTTCTCACAGTGCAAACCGGAAAAAATCACGTGAATGGACCGTAAAAAACCGCCAAGGATGGCTTAAGAAGCTGAGCGAGCTGCACATGAGCGGATACCTGGAGGACCCTCGCGGTGTCTGGAATTTTGATGAGTCTGCATTTCAAGTGGCAGAGCGAGTTACTTCGGTTTATGCAAGAAAAGGGACAAAAGATGTACTCTCTTATTTTGATGGTAACGACAGAGAGCTGGTTACTGTTCTGGCTGGCGGAAACGCTGCGGGAGAGATTATGAGACCGTTAATTCTGTTCGATGGCAAGGTGATGATGGCTTCTCGACTGGACGGAACCGATGATCGCTGTTATGTCGGGGTTAACAATTCAGGGATTATGGACACGGAGACATTTGTTAATTACCTTCGACGCGTAGTCATTCCTGCCATGACAGCGGAAAAGGTAATTCAGAAACATCACGGTAATAAAAGAACTCACAAGCATAAACATTATTATACAACTAATAATAATGACGTTATTTAGTATTATTATTATAAGACCCATAATAGTTAAATTGATTATTTTTAATTTCTGCGTAGCCAATGGCACAGTGCAGATAAATAAATAAGTATTAAAATTATCATTTGTAGAACGTTATCTTCTTGGATGGCCATAGTTCCCATATGCTGAACGATGAATTCATTCACGAGTGTTTGATGTCGGAAAAAGATATTACCGTAGTGATTTTTCCCTCTGGACAGACTGATAAACTGCAGCCCATGGACATTAAAGTTTTCGGGCCAGTTAAGAAGTACTGGCGGGATTACTTGCGACTGCAGCCACTCTTATTGGACGAAGCGGTAAAAACTTTAACATTTAGTGGTAATGTGCCCGTGAGTATAATTTCCATTTAAAATACAGATATCCAAGCAGAATTTTGCGAAACACTTGATGGCAAAATGGAACGATTTCAACATGCCGTCAAATATAATTTCCGGTTTCAAAGCATCGGGGATTTTTCCATATAATCCAGAGAACGTGTGTCGCGCTGTGGATGAGCCCACCAATGATGTAAACCCCGAAACATTACAGCAGGACCAACCTGAACTGTTAACCTTTCGCGAAGTTTATGCAAACGAATTGATGGAACTCAAACAGTTTGTTCGCGTGAAATTTCATGCGCCTAATTCTACGGCTGAAGAAATCGCAGAAATCCTTGTTGATAAGATGGAAGGGTTTAAGCCAACTGTGGCGCCTGGTAACATTGCCCAAGGATTTTTCGACCGTCTGACAGAGCTCCACCCTCGAAAGGAAAAAAGACCCACTGACCAACGTTTGCGGATGGATAGCGGAGCGATTATCACGAGCTCAGAGTTTCAGAAAGCGCGTGCCGAACATCAGCAAAAACGCCAGAAAGTTCCACAGAAATCTAATGGCCGTGCTGTGTTGGGCAATCTTACGAATACGCCAACAAAAGTTACCAAACGGACTTTCAAAAAACGCAAAATTTAACTGAAAACGTATTATGTGCAAATTTTTGTGTTGTACTCGTTCGGGCTAATAATAGGTATTTTGTTCTGTGACTTGAAATTGTGAAGCACTATGATCTTCTAAAATGTGGTTTGAAGATCCAATAATTTTTTTCTGAACCGTAATTTGTCGAAATAGACGGTAAAAACAGTTTAGAATAACATTTTTACCAAAATAAAATTTTCTGTAAAGTCAGTTCCCGGGTGTTCATCGCAGCCTAAACGTGAAGGGTATGTTCACAGCACCCAATGGTCCTCGTACAGTACACTGGGCACATGTCGAGTTTCACAGTTATATCCAAGTCGTGCACAATCCAGATAAGCAATTAAACTACTCGGTAAGTTGGCAAATAATTATGTATATTACAAGTGCACAGCATTACTACAAGTGTTTTCAATAATTAAGAGACGCGCATGGTGTGTAGCACCATAGCTGACGAGCTAGCTGCGCTAATGTGCCAGTGCCGCTGCATGCGGTAAAAGAATGTAAACAACCACTTGCACGCGTGCAACACGGCTGCACAGGTAGCTGCATCTGGGCTGCGAGCCTCCTTGAGGTTTGCACAGCATGTGTATCAGTGATACACTGGCTGGCTATCGCTGACGAGCCAGCTGAGCTAATGTGCTAGTGCCGCTCCATGCGGTAAAAGAATGTAAACAACTTGTGTGTGTGAATATCAGTAAGTGAGTAAATTAGGTAGTGTACTTCTATACAGTGTACATATGCAGTAATCATATGCTGCAGTTGTGCTGAATCATATGCTGCAGTTGGGAGCTGCAAGTACAATGTACAACCGGGAATTGTAACTAGAAAGTCCAGCTCCCAACTCCAGTTTATGACGTAACCGACGCCATTTTGTGTTTATATAAGGTCCGTTTTCTTCTAGAACTGTTACAATGGTGCACGTAAGGAATGTGGCTACATTATTGTGATCAGTACGAGAATGTTCGTTGGATCTGTACGCGAAGGATACGTGATTTCTGTCGGTCATATTTAATCGCTTGTTAATGCTTTACACAATATCATTACTTTACATCGAATCTGGAGTTCAGTCTGTTATCCGTTAATCATTAAAAACGTTAACATCCAGTTATCGCGCAGTGCACGGTTACGAGTCTAACAACGTGAGAAGGCATAGCGCTACTACGGTGAATCAAAATTTTGATTCACCGGAGTAATACTACTCCTTCTCACGTATGTACTGTACTCTTTCCATTATGCCCGTGACGAGCGGCTGCGACTACCGTAAAAATATAGTCGTCAACCGTAAAAATATACTCGTAGTCATTCACTGTCATTGGGTCTCCGTAAATCTTGGTCCGAATCTTATCACGGCACTTGGATGCGGCGAAGGAGATTGCGCCTTTTCAATTTTTGGAGTTTTAACCACCAGAAAATTAAAGCCTTAAAATGGCTTTTTCTTTGGTGGATACAACTCCACGTTCGTTATCATTCGGTGGACAGCGCCAAGAAACAGCCTAGTAAGTAACTGAAGTTGCATAAGGCGGGGATGTGTTTCCCGGTCTCATCATTCCTTTGGTTAGCCGGATACAACAAGTATGTAAAGGTCACTGAACGACCACACCGACCAGTCTGGTTTTTCCGAAAATTTAGCGAGGATACAGCTTTTGGCTGTTTTGGATGCTTAAATACAGTATCAGCGATGAATCTGTCTACTTTAAATAAGTATCCACGCTAGCACTTGCTGTTATTTTGACGGATTGCCGAATAAAAATCAAGTATAGTACATACAGTACTGGTACTACTGTACTACGTGTCCCTCGCTTGTTGGCAAATTCATTCAATTATTTTCATAGAACAAAACAAATCCTCCTGTAACGGCTTAATACAAAACAAATCACAATGCGTCGTGAACGAAGAACCCAAAAAACCTGGAACGGAAGTTATTCGAATGCTGAAAATGATAAACCACCACCCTCACTATGCATTCAAACGCCTCGAAGTACATCGCAAATTTACGGCCTCCGGTCGTCGACGGCTGCCCGGCTTCTCGAATTTTCCCGCAAACCGCTGCTGTGTTTCTGGTGGCGATGACGTCCCAGATTCCATTTGGTCTGGAAGCCCTTCCCGCACAGCTCACACGGATATATAAGCGGAACCGTACCGGAATGGTGCTGGAGCGTGTGCTGCCGCAAGGCGCCATGGTTCCGCTTCACGACGCCACAGATACTGCACACACACACCGCTTTGGCGTCGTGCTGGCCGCGGCAATGCCGGCTCAGGATGAGGTACGTGGCGAAGATTTTCGGGCAGTGCGGGCACGGAAAACCCTCCGCCTGTTTGTGCTGCATCGCGTGCTGACCCAGTTCCACCCAGGAAGGGCACAACTGGGCGCAGTACAGGCAGCTCTTGGACCGGTGTTGCTGCAATGCCAAAGATGTAAGAATAAATTCTCTAATTAAACCAAAGGCACTATAACGTCTGCGTTGCTACCCATTAAAAAATTTGGTAACTTTATAATAATCTCGTGTACAGGCTGGTAAAAAAAAATAATGATTGTCATGTAATCAAATTTTGAAACGTTTCCCTTATCGAACAACACGCCCAGTACCATGTTTCCGGGGTCCGGGACGCTTATCGATATCGTGAAAATGTCCGCAAATGCGAACAACGTCGAAGTATATTTTATACGACTTTAAACTGAAAATTCTCCTTTACTACACAAACTTGTACCGAAACAACCTTTTATTACGTGATTTCTTTTACGGTACTAACCAGTTTGTGGGCAGCCAACTGTTTCTCCGCGCCAAACTCTTTCTGACACACTCCGCAGGTGAATTTCCCAGCCGGATCCGCGGACTTCTCGGGATGCTTGATCCTCACATGCTGCTCCAAGAACTTCACATCCACATACAGCCCACAATCCGAGCACGGCTGTCGCGGGCGGTAAGCCTTGCGGTGATTCTCCACATGGGCAATCACCGCCGTCATCGATCCGCACTCCTCCTGACACCCCGGACACGTGGTGTCCCCGCCCTCCTCCACGGCGGCGGCGTCATGGCCCCGCGTGTGCAACGCCAACAACGCCGCCGACTCGAAGGAAAACATACACGCCGTGCACGCGTGCACCCCCTCCGACACCGGTCTCCTCCGTTTTACGAAACAGGACACCGGAGCCGAACGCCGCACCGACCTATCCCCGTTGTCCATTAAACCGGCGATTTTTTGCAACACTTCCACATATTCCTTCAACGACGCAGGGGCGTTAGCCGGATCGTACTGTTCCAGAAGCTGTGGTAGCTGCTCGAGACGTCTTTTAACGCGCTTTTCCAACGCCCGTCCTTCGTATTTCAATTTTGTCACTGACAGCGTCGTCTTGGAATACCGCTGCACGGCGGAAACGAAGGCCTTCTCCCTGGAGTCGACGGTATCGTACTGATACGGATTGATTTCCACGACGGCATTCAACTGCCCGCTTGCGTCCTGTCGACGGCACTGAGCCCGTGAGTCGGTCACTCTGTTTCGCCGCAAACTGGTGAGGGTGTTCAGCAGTGCCATGTAGCGCTGGAACACCGGTCCGGCGGCGTCGCTGAATTGGTGCGCGGCTTCCGCTGTCATGTTCAAGCAGCGATCAACGAAAGCTTTCAGATTGCTACGGGCGGTTCCCGTGCATTCCTCGCCGAGGAGGCGCAGGACGGTGTCCCAAGCGTCGCTGCGTTTTTTCCCCGGCGTGAATTGATATGGATTCACCTGGATGACGGCTTCCAGACGGGCCACCGCTTCGGGGTTGTCGTGGCGGAAGCGGCCGATACGTTTGCGCTTTCCTGAAGCAAAGTAAGGTACACATCAAAACTTACGTTTTTCACGGACGAAAGCGTAAGAAAACATTAGAAAATATAGAAAACATTGGAAAACATAAGACAGCTTCATCAAATCAACTCACTCTGTGGTATTTCATCGGGAACCGCGTCACTATCCGCTGCACAGTCATCGCCGTCGTCGAGCTCCGTCGGCATATCGCATCCCCGGGTCTCCGCCGTTTTTTCCAGCTGGACCATCTCCCCGTCAAGAGACGCTGTAGGCGACAGTTCCGCTTCATCTTTGTCCCATACACTCGCCGCGACTGTTTCGTCGTGTTCTGTCACGTCCGTGCTAGTGGCTGTACCATCGTTTTCGTTTCCTATCCGTTCGTGAAGCGATAGATCCCTGCTGGCCGATTGGAGCAGATCGAGTGCGACGGACGCGATATTTTCGTAGAGCTGACACGAGTCGGGCAAACCATGCGCAACTACGAGATCATCGCGGTACGATCTCGACAGAATTTTGTCGCCCTTGTTCTTACGACAGCGAACTGAAAGCGGAAAAACATCATATCGCGAAATCACAAACAGCTAGGCTCCTATAAAATATGTTGAAATTATCACGAAAAAATAAAAATCGAAACAAATATGATAGATGCATAAAAATAAGTTAAATATTTTCGTTGGCTGTGACACGTACCGGTATTATTACCGCTCTCCCGTAAGCAACCCGAGATTCTCATTGCTTTGGCGTAATTGACCGAATACCAGACGGTCAGCTCTTCCCCCGCCACAATGTCCCTCTTTGTGGCGAAGTACACCTGCCCGTCGACGTTGTAGGCAGTGATATTGCATTCGGCGGTGTGGATGGCCAGTCGGACGAAGTGCATCCAGTTGCAGCCATGAGGGGATTCCGCGTGGAAACGCAGGATACCGTGCAGCGTGGGACGGTCCGGGATGCCGAAGAGGGGCGGCTGCAGCTTGGCGTGGGGCACAGCACGCCATGCATCGGTCCGAAGACCGTGCGGGAGGGAAAGTTACTCTCTGCGCGGATACCACAAGGTGCAGCTGCAAATGCCATTGCAATTTAATACAAACATCCCAAAATGTGACAAAAAAAAAACGAAAAAGCGCACGGTTAATAACAAAAATATCGAGAAAAATAAAGTAAATATTTGAAATAACTGGATAGGAATGGCAAAGCCAATCGGAACTTAAATAAAGCCTTTCAGATCTCTTACGATCTTACCATCAGCCTGTGCGCGAATGAAGGAAAGCGACGCGGGAAGCGTGGCCAGCGCCAAGGGTAGCACCTCGGTGTCGGGTACAGAATGCGAATGCAACGGACACGGTTCATCCAGCACATCGCGCAGGCAGTGCATGCATGCATTGCTTGACGGCTTATTCCCGTTATTTATTGGTCGACAAACTAAAATAATCCTTCAAAAAAATAAATCAAGGCTAATAAGTACTTAATAACCAAGGTAGTGCAGGCTGTAGGGGCACTCGCAGGTACTAGATAATAATAATTACTATTATTGTACATGCGAAAAACGTAGAAGTACTTACTTCGTAATTGTCGTATTCATATAGTCATACTTAGTCGTACATCAGAATAATATTATCTATTTATAATGGCAATAAATTATAAAATTACAAAAATCAATAACATGCATGATACATTGATGCGCTGCGACTGATACTGAAAACACAGACACTGTACCTCTTTCACGTTTCTTGCCCAAACCCGACGTTGATGATGTGGACCGCCGGGATTTGACCGCAGACGTCCTGGAGACGCGCTGGGCTGGAGAGTGGACTGCGGGAGATGCATCCCGTTTGCACGAAGCCTGCAGCGACGCGTTGAATTCCATCGCATCGGCTGCAGGAGTTAACAGCTGATAGAAGGAGCTGTCCGCCACTTCGCTATCCTCCATGGCTAAACCGGCAATTCACGCCAGTACACGACATGCAAATCACTCGAAACAATCAAAATTTCAAACCCTTACGATACGGTATGTACAACAACAACAAAGTTAGCAGAAAATTATTTTTACTGAAACTCCAGAAACAGAAACTGATCGCATTGCAGGCCATGAAAGCTGCACCGGAAACGGGCCAGCGAAATGATTGTACCTGCCAGCTGATGGGTGGCTGCCGCTGTTGACTACTGACAGCGTAGCCTGTTACCGACTGTCCTGCAGCTTCTACTCATGCTGTTTAATGTTAGAAGTACGTATGAACAGTTACTGCATCTGCATACAACAGAAACTTGGGAAGCAGGCGAGCCACCCCGGGCCTGTGTTTTCCCGCCCGTTCCCATCCCGAGCCGGAGGTTTCCCTCTACCGCTCTCCGTGAAAAAGCGGGAGCATGGCATTTTGCAGAATGCAGACTTTTCCCAATTTAACCGAGCCAGTAAAATTCCGGGCCGGCATTGACTCATTGGTGACCGCCCATGGGCTGTCAGTTACCATTTTCAAAATTTCGCCACTGGAAAAACAGTGATACTACTCTTGAGTCTTGACTTTTGGCAGTTTTTCGATGTCTTTGTAATTTGTTTATCTCAAAATTGAATTACTTAAATTGCAGAATTAATTTTGCATTGAAGTTCGCCTTCAGATCAGGTGCGCTGATGTGAACCTGTCAGTTTTCAAGCTCTCAATTATCAGCCATGGAGAAGAGCGAATTGGCGAACAGCTCTTTCTATCTGCTGCTGATGCCTGCTGCGAATACGATGGAACCCAACGTCGATCCGCATTTGCCACCACGTTCTGCATCTCCCGCCGTCGGCGCTGCTGTTGACGCTCAGCAGGCTTCCAGCACGTCTGCAGCCAAATACTCCGAGCCAGCAGCGACAGCATCACTGGGTGTCGGCAGAAAACGGAAAAGAGGTATGCTTAGCATGAATAGCATCTAATTCTAGATCCATCATTGGGAAATCCGTTCATTCCTTCTGCCCGCTCGAATTTGCTGTAGAGTGTAAAATTTACACTGTAAACACTGGTCTACTCTGTACGTGTTGTTCTGGCGTTTAGAAATTAATTTTGAGCTGTTGAATTTATTATTAATTTCGAGTTATAATTTCCATTTTCCTGATGCGAGTAGTTTTCGTCGCAGGTGTGATGTATCAGGTACCTACAGGCTAGATGTGAGTTACTAAATTTAATTTTTGATGATTGTTTTAGGGCACCACTCTGTAAATAACGAAAACAGCCCGTCGAACGGTGGCTGCGTGCACTGCCTGCGCGATGTGCTGGAGGAGCCGTGTCCGTTGCATTCGCATTCTGTGCCCGACACCGAAGTCCTTCCCTTGGCGCTGGCCACGCTCCCTTCGTCGCTTTCCTTCCTTCGCGCGACGCCTGATGGTAAGACAGTACTGACTACTGAGTACTAAGACCGCGGGGGTGCTAAGACTGCGGACTAATCAGGAATTAGGTTTGTAAATTACTTAATTGCATTTTTCTTCAATTTTTACCTGTGTATCCCTTTATTTTGGATTTATCTGTGTTATTTTAGTCGAGATTTATTATTATTTTTCTGAGATTACTGATCACTATTATTTATTATTATGATTTATTTGTTTTCTAAATTATTTAGTATTTTCATTTAATATTACTATTTTTTTCCTCTTTTACTTGCTTAAGTTGATTGATATTTTATTTATACAGATAATTATTTAGATATTTCCTTGTTTAGATATTTTGGTTTTCTGTCCTTTTTTGCGTTCTGCGTGTAAGTTGTGATGGTGTTGCAGCTTTACCTTGCGGTGTCCGCACACAGAGCAACCTTCCCGCGCGGACGGTCTTCGGGCCGATGCGCGGCGTAATGTGTCCGCACGCGAAGCGGCGACCGCCGTTTTTCGGCATTCCTGACGGCTCGGCGCTGCACGGTATGCAGTACTTCCACACGGAATCTCTGAACGGCTGCAACTGGATGCTCTTCGTCCAGCTGGCCTTCAACTCTGCCGAGCACAATCTCACCGCGTACACTGTGGATGGGCAAGTGTACTTTGCTACGACAAGGGACATTATGGCCGGAGAAGAGCTCAAGATTCGGTATTCCGCCAGTTACGCCAAAGCCATGAGCGTCACCGGTTGTCTGCGGGAGATCAGCAATGTTCAGCCGGGTACGTGTTACAGCCAACGAATTAAATTTTTCATTTCATGTACTCATAAATTTGATGTGTGTCGTTTGCTCTCGGTACTTCGGCTTCTCGGTATTCTCTGTGTTGTTCCACATAACAAAAACTTTTAATCAACTTACCTAAAATTAGCATTAGCATTTTTTTATACAAGCTTGTGTGCTGTGCTGAGACTGATAAAAAATTATCAAGTTTTCTAATGTGGACCGACGGAATACCATTGTTTCGGGGGTCCGGCACGCAAATCCATATCGGGAAAATATCTAGAATGCGAAAAACGTCGAAGTATGGAATTAATTATTTTTTGTTATGTTTAGTTCGCCGTGAAACGGCCCGTGATAGGAATTTCACCAACACAGCACAACTGGAATCGTATTGTGAAGGTCTCGGAGGGAAGTCCGGTTTGCCGGAATCGTTTCCGTTAGACAGTGATATCATGATGACAGACGGTTTTCCCTGTCTGCCAGTGGTACCGAGCAGTTGTACGCTGCAGGAAGAGGAAAGAGAGAACGACGACGCCGGCAATATGAGCACGGCAAACCAGCCGACATTGGCTAGTGATGCTGAGGAGGCCGTGAACGATAGCGGTAAAAATTATTTACTGTTTTTGATTTGTCGGTTAACTGCATTATTATGTGGGTAGGTTTAATTTAGTTTTATCATTACATAATTTTGAAATTGAAGTATACGATATCGACATCTTCTGCACGCTTTGTAATTTATCTTTTTGAAAAACATAAGTGGAATAGTCGTAGAGAATTGTTGTAGGAGAAAAAAAATGAACGGAATAATTGATTTGTCTGACTGTATGTATACAGACGAAGAAGAACTGGAAAGGTCATCTGTGGGTGGGGATGCGTCACAAGCCAGTCCAGTGGCAGAGACGAGCGGTGATAGCATGCCGACGGCACTGCTGGATGCTGGTGAAGGCGACGAAGCGGATACTAACGCGGTGTCCCACACAGTGCGACGAAGTGAGTCATTAATGTAACTTTAAAAGACCAGCAAGGCGTTGCTGCCTTCGGTTTTTTCGTATATATTTGTGTTAATTTCGGTAATTCGACGTTTATCGCAATCCGGACATTTTCGCAATAAAGTAGGGATTCGCATACCGTACACCGGAGACACGATATGTAACACACCCACCTCCGCGTTGTTGCACATGACAGAAACATCGAAAATTGATCATGTGTACAGATATATTGGTGTTCCTATCAACTTGTACACGAGAATCGAGATTAATTAAAAATATATCAAGTTTCTAATGCGGAACTCCACAGAGAATACTCCGTTGTCCCGTACGCCAACCCATACTGCGAAAACATCCAGAATTCGGAATGTCCAAAATTCCCGCCAGAATATTAATAATAAGAGCACTAAGCGTCGCCGGGCATAGCATTTTTATCACTAATTCTTTTATTATCATCGTGTTACATTGTTGCAGAAAAGCGTAAACGTCCGCCCCGCTTTCGTCCCGAAACCTGCAATCCCGAAGCGGTGGCGCGCTTAGAGGCTATAATCCAGGTGAATCCGTATCAGTACGGTCCAGGGAAGCAGCGCCACGCCGCCCTGGACGCCGTCGTGGACCTGCTCAACGAAACAAGCGCGGGTAACACCCGTAGCTCTCTCAAATCCTTCATCCGCGACTGCTTACTCACGGCGCCAGAAGCGGTGGAGCATTTCAGCGATACTGCCGAACCGGAGATGCAGCGCTATTTGGTGCTTGTGAAGACCCTCACAGACTTGCGGAAAGGCAAAGTGATGGACTGGAGGCGCGAGGGCGCTGTTGCCCAACTGGAAGCCGTTGTGAAATTCAATCCCTTCCAGTACGATCTGCTCGCCCCGCGAATGAAAGCCTTCGTGGCGGCGCTGCAGTCATACACGACCAAGCCACTATCCCCGGCTAAGCTCAAACACGAAGCACGGAAGTTAGAAATCCGCGTCAAACGGCGTATTGATCACCTGCCGAAGCTAATGAAACAGTACAATCCGACCACCGCCCAGGATTCCTTGAAGGAGTATGTGACAGTGTTGGAGAAGCTAGTGGAACTGAGGAACAGCGGCGCGAAAACAGTCCGGCGTTCGGTCAAGGTGTCCAATAAGGTCAGATTGCGGACGAAGCCGGCGACGGAGGGGGTCTATGCGTGCACGGGGTGTATGTTTTCCTTCGAGTCGGCGGAGTTGTTGGCGTTGCACACGCGGGGCCATGACGCTGCCGCTGTGGAGGAGGGCGGCGGCACCACGTGTCCGGGGTGTCAGGAGGAGTGCGGATCGATGACCGCGCTGATCGCCCATGTGGAAAAGCACCGGAAGGCCTACCGCCCGCGGCGGCAGTGCCCGCATTGTGGGCTGTATGTCAGTGTGAATTTCTTTGACCGGCACGTCAGGACAACGCATCCCGAGAAGTCAGAGGATCCGACAGCGAAATTTGCGTGTGGAACGTGTCAGAAAGAGTTTGTCACACAGAAGCAGTTGTGGAGTCATGAAATGCTGGTTGGTAGTAGGACATCTGGACATTGGTTTGTAAGGATAACAATAGGATATTAGCATTTTCAGTTTACGTATCAACGTTTTTTATCTTTACGCAAATCGATTACAGATTCATAATCAGCGGATTTCTCGGATCTAGGAAATGTCAAAATTGAAAAGGCCAAAACAGAAGTCTGGATGCCGCCCCCAAGTCCCAACCATAACTGCCTTGGGTGGTGGCACTGTAGTCAAAGACAAAAAAATTTGTTTTTACATTCTAAGCTCCTTCCTATTCAGCCAGAATTTTGTTTTGATCTTTTTTAATTTTCGTAAGTCTTTTCTAGTTCCGAAAAATCCGCTTGTTCTGGATCTGCGAATTATTTGCGTTAAATGAAAAAGGTTGATGCGTAAGTATGCGTAAGTTGAAATTGCTAATTTCCTCACGAACCCCATGGACTAATGTCAAAGAAATGCATCAAAGTTTTTCCTGCATTGACATGCAGCAGAAGTTAAAAGAGACGTGACCCGCTGCATGGTGCCATATTCGGGAACATATACGAAAACTTTCATTTTTGCGTGTTGTCAAACACTATTTTCAATCGTTTTATTGCATTTCTGTAGCCGAATAATTTGTAAACGTTGGTGTGAAAACCGTTTGTGCGCGCAGTATCCTGTGGAGAAGTTATGGTTAAAATTAGATTCCGAAAAGGTTAAACTTTCCTGAATCCTGTTTTGCGTTGCAGCAACACCGCACCAAGCACTGCCTGTTCTGCGCCCAAGTGTTCCCCAACTATATCCAGCTGGGTGAGCACGTGGCGCAGCACCAGCTGCCGGAGGGTTTCCTCTGTCCGCACTGCCCCAAGACCTATGACAGCTACACCGTCCTCACCCGCCACCACCGCCGTCTGCACAACCCCAAAGCGGTGTGCGTGTGCAGCGTCTGCGGCGTCATCAAGCTGAATCGCGACGCCCTGCGCTCCCACATGGTCTCTCACGGGGTCACGGCGCGCCAGCATCCGTGTCCGCTGTGCGGGAAGACCTTCCCGACCAATGCCAGACTGCAGTGCCATCGGGACCAGGTGCACAGCGGTGCACCGCGGAAACGAAGGGCGAAGAAAGTGAATTGAGTGCTTTTTTTGTTCGCGAATCGTAGAATGTGTGCCATGAAATTAATAGACTCTCTCTGGATTACTTTGTACATCTTGGATTGTGACTTCCTTATTTTGGCAACAGCATACTCGTCGTGGTTGTGATTCACTTGTGAAGTATTAGAGTATGAATGCACATCAAATGAATAAACTTGCATTATAGCTGAGTGACGAGTCTAAGCTGACTGAACAGGTTGGCTTCCGCTGAAAATAATTTACTCTCGGTTCGCATAAGTATGTATTGCGGGTACTAATGGAACTACAAATATTTTTGCCGGTCTACCAGCTACGTACCAATCAGTAAATGGTTGTGGAAATTATATTTCCGGATGTATTATTTCAGGTAGTACAATGCGCATAGTCACAATAACACCTCGAAAATGTGAAAACGAGCTTGAATTTTGTGAGTGACAGTGATCGACAAGATTGATAAAGACACCACGCCTGGAGGATGCGGAAGATCAAGGTTCCAACCAGAAAAATTGCTCTCGGTTTCCGATGCTGAGCTCCGTTCGGAAATAGTCACGGAAGTACAGATATCATGCACTTTAATGACTTTATGTAGTATCGCAAGGAACGGAACTCACGCATTTCCCGTACACTTTAAATTCCTTACCGGTACACTATAAATTACTGAAGTACAGTATTATGCATTACAATATTCAGTTTTTTCAGCTCCCGTAAACCGAGAAGGTCATAAACGCTCTTACCCGTTACATATTCCTCTGCTACCATTTTCAAAAATTACATACTTGTACAAAATAATAATTTTATTCGCTTCGAGTGTCGTATTATCGCAGTGCTAGACATGCCGGTACCATATAATTATTACATTAGCCCCTCGTAAATACCTAATTAAGGTACATTTTTGATAAACTGTAGCTAGTTTCACTTCTTAAATAGGAGGGAATACTCCCAGTTGGGTTTTCGGATTAATGATTTCAGATTTCATGCACACTATCGGAAGACAAAACGTCAAAAATACAGGTACCAGTAAAGCACTGCAAATCGTGCAAATTACACGATCAGTTGCATTCAGTGCTAAAATACACTTCTCGCATTGCCAAAATTAATTGTACTAAGCTTGTCACATACATCGGTTCAGTGTTAAATGAACGGATGAATTATTTATTAAATGAATAAAAAACTGCACAGCTTCATACATAGGGGTAGGTCAACATTACTACTGTACACACTGCCAAAGTGAAGTTAATTTGGTCTTCTTAATTTAGAGCGCTTTGTGTGCTGAGCGGCTGTGTACTGATTCCAGCAGCTTTAGCTTAGCTTTATAAGCCTTGAAGTTGGTTAACGGCCCCGGAATGTCCGGTGTCGTGTTATTGGCGGCAGTCCATTGGCTGTACGTACCAGGAATGCAGTATCTCCATGTGCCAGTAATGGGACAAACACAGACCGCCCCATGTCACCAGAACGTGCAGTGGTTCGATCCAGACGGTGGGAATCAGATACTGTAGAGATGGCGTAAAGTCGCAGGGCACCGAGGACTCCAAATCATCGTCGTAATAAAAAGCTGTACGAAAAAGTGAAAACTGAAATTCGCTAAGTGGACACACCAAGCGCTACAGCTTCTAGTGATCAACATAAGTGAAAACAACCGGCAATTCGAAAAGCTCTGAAGTTCATGTGCTGGTGTGTACAGCCGTTATTCTCGGTCCCAAGGGCCAAGCGGCTGGCCCCATGAGTTCACCATATGGTGCAAAGCGGGCTTTTGCGTAGGCTTCACGGTGACCGGCAGCTTTTTCGTCATCGTCGTTGGCGGCGACGGCGGCGGGCATCTTGACACCAGCTGGCAGTTGTTGGCATTCATACATGCTGGCAGTTGTTGGCAATGCGAACATATCCTGGCGGACACGCGCATCCTGGTGTGCAGTATTGGGGTCATTTGGGATTACGGTCACTGCAGGTCGGGTCGCATAAGCCGCAATGGACGGGTATTTCACCGCAAGGACAGTTCCCGGAATCGGGGCATGGGTTGAACCATCCGTACATGTAAATGTATAAGGGTCCTTTCATAATAATCGAAGAAACTGGGAAGCTGGAAAGATATAGCTACGACGTCAGTAGTCATTCTGAGAAACATGGGACATCGAGTAAGTAGTAACTGCTGTTAAATTTCTCCTCCTTAATTAGTATCTGATAAGACACGTTAACGAACGCCCAACGGCACAGTACTCGTTGTTCACCGAGGTTAAAGGAAATGGTGTTCAGTTCATATACCCCACGGGTTAAAAATTAAAGCAAATGTTTTTCTGTATTTGAAAATCTTGAACTATGGTGACACTAATTACGTGTCGTCGCGTCGGCGCTTTCGCCATTACATGTACCGTCATGATGTACTTACATAATTCATACATGCTGCAACATTTCTGAGTCTTATTAATTTTTAGATGTAAGAAAATTAATGGCGGTACGGTTCTGCGCGTTAACGATGCCACTAAGCAGAATGGCCGCGCTGCCGATGACAGCGATCGCTATTGGGAATTCCATTGGCAGTGCGCTTATTCTCGGGATTCTTTTGTCAAAGGATGATTATATAGTATATAAGAGCAAATGTCGATGTAGCGGAGTGCGAGCGTGCCGTTTCAAATAAATTAGCAAAGTCTGATGCTTGTGCCTTGTTGTTTCAGTTTTTATACGCTCTTGCTCAGCTGTCGCTGCCCGCCTTCCGTTAAATGCTACCGTGTGCGTTAAGATTATCGACTCGAATTTCGCCTGAAACTTAACTGTTCTGGAAAAATTCCCAGGTGCCCAAATATGACTGACAACATAAATGGTAGTTTGACGACAATCAAGTGCCTTTTTTCTGTTCACTTAGAACGTGGATTAGGCTCCAGTTGTCGCCTGAGGGCACAAATGGACGTACGAAGCTTTTCCCGGTGTCATTAATTTTATGTGATAAACAGACTTAATTACCGTACTTTCACGTAGTTTGCCCTGATCGCAAGTGCGGTGCGTTATGCTGTCTTCCAGCACTTGGAACTTTTCCGCCAAACGTTATTGCCGACTTCGTTCTGACTCGTTTAGAATTTTGCCTGCAAACATGTCTGTTCTTATATTATGCACGTCTTTGATGCCAGCTTGACTCATCCAGGCTCTTAATCGTTTGCTTTACCATAAATTACGTTCAGCAAAACAACATTAGCAGAAAACAATCTGCATGGGATTTTAAACATGGCTGAACATTCAACAATTCCTGTCGGGCCCAAGAATTTAGAGAAAACAGGCGGATAATAAAGCGGCTTTAAAACACGACGGAGAACGTAAGTTTAGCACATGCAACCAGAACGGTACATTTTATCCAACAGTTTATTCAGCTTCTTGTTCAAAGATTCTGTCGGCAGAAAATTCTGTGGCGTTCTGACCTTTGCCTCTTTCAAGTATCCCTATACTTTTCTAGTGAACACATTCGGGGTACATAAAAGATGCAGCAGTGATGGAATGGGTACGGCAGTGATTAAAAGTAGTATTTTTACAGCGTACTATGACATATCTATATTTGTACATAAAGTTGTACATGAAGGACATAAGGATACTGGGGACACAATCATACAAGTCAAAACACAAGCCCGGAAATATTCAACGAGTAGGAATCGTGCCATAAGTGTAGACTGATCGGAAGCAGTATTCATATTGCACAGTGAGCACACTGAAGCCTCGAGTTTTAGCGCTCGATGAATGTAAGCTTCGATCCGCAGCCATGCTGTGTCTTCAGTCTTCGTGGATTGGAACAGCAGGATACAATTAAGTAGGTTTTCTTAATATTGTGCGCTCGATGAATGTAACTTCAATCCGCAGCTACGTAAGCTGTTTTTCCAGTCTTTGTGGATTGGGATAGCAAGATACAATTAAATAGGTCTTGATTCTGAGCGCACTGTACATTGAGTGGCAACTGATTCCAGCAGCTTTATCTTAGCTTCATAAGCCCTGAAACTGGATAACGGCCCCTTTATGTCCGGTGTCGTATTATGGGAGGCTGTCCATTTGCATTTTGCGATACCAGAAATGCAAAATAATATATGTCCGGCCCTTTATGTCCGGTGCAATATGTACACGCTAAATGCTATATTACATTTGAACTTAAGTAACCAGTTTAGAACAAGTAAAATAATTCTTCTAGCTCTCTAGAACACTGAACCGTCCTTACAAATATTGCTTAGCAGATTACGTACAGGGAGATTGAAGTTTATGCTACACAATAAATTCGAACAGCATCAATCAGCAATAAAACCTTTACAACATTGGAACAGACGAAATTCCATGAAGCGACATAGCCACTCAGTGGCTCGGGTGCGCCGTACCAAGAATGCTCTATGATCTATCCAAGTGCCGCACCGGCTTTTGGACCGGTGCGGTTGGCCCGCGTGGTCATGCAGGAAATAGATTTCGTCGTGTCCACCCTAGATCCACAAACGCCGGGTATGTAATTCTTGCTCCAGGCATATGCAACTATAGTTGTTTTACAGGAAAAATGCTTACTATTAGAATGGCCGTCCGCCAGTTCAAGATCTGCGACGGTGTACTCCGCGCTGTTGAAATTCTTTCAAATCCTTCAAACGTTTGCGACGGCACAATCAGCACATAAATCTTGTATGTAGAGAATCTCAAGGCACAACACTTATGAAAAACCGCAAAAATGATTTTTGAGTTAACCAAAACCCGGCGTAGTTCACGAACGTCGAAAAAATTTAAACCATTATGATTATGAGACATTAAAAAGAACATGCGTTCTGTAAATTCAGGAAACTCACAATAACAGGCGCATATTTGTCGAACTTCCGGCAGTACTGCGAAGGCGACAACATATATAAGCGGTCGCAGTTTCAAACGAAGATGTGTGCATAAGTGTTGCAATTATATTATTCAAATACTGTAGGGTTGTATGCTTGTGGCGTATTATCACACGCTGTATGTACAACTTGCATCTTTTCTTATACCTTTCGGTTTACCGGCAACCGATCGTAACATCTGTCATACTTATGCATTTATAGAAATTCCTGAAAATATGGATTCAGTGCATTAAGTTATAAACGCCGCGTTTATAATTTAATTGCGCGTTAAAAATGCGTAATTAAATTGAACAATTGTGCTTGTAGCTAATGCTCCCGACATTTCACGTTACTGTGTAACTCTTGAATTTCAGCTACGCTTCTTTTATTCTTCATATTGCAGAGCAAAATATATTCACGTTGTACCAAGACGCAACCGAAATTTTGTGATACAGATAATTTATGCCGGCCAGTGTCGTTACCATGAGAAACGCTGCGTTGCCTCGTTGGATTACGAAGCCTTCTACATCTATCGGCCCGGGCAAACTGAATTTGGCTGGCAGACGCGCAAAAATCCGGCGCGAACATATCCTGGCGGGCACACGCATACGGGTGTGCAGGAAGTGGAACATCTGGGCTTCGGGTTGTCGCAGGTTGGTTCGCATAATGCACACGCGCGTGTTTCACCGCAAGGGCAGCCCACACGGGTGGATGGGAGACACCGAGACTGCTGCTCTGCCATCATAATCTGGATAAGTCCCATAGCCATGCTGAAAAGATTTAGAAGTTCGTATTAGAAACGCAGTGCATGAAGCATAAAGTTACTGCTAGTTTTTGATAATTTACTCCTCCATGATGTCTTCCAAACTACCAAACCAACACGGGAGCAAATTTAGCTCATATTTTAGCAGTTTTCGAAGGGAGTGCCACCCCTCGACTTTTGACTTGTGGATATATGCACAACTCAAAGGTGTGATATCCGTAAACTGCTGGGACGCGTTTCTTAACTAAATGGCTGCACTTGCTCCTTGAAGCATCATATCATTTGAGCGCAATGCTGGATGGACGAGCAGAATGCATGCTTACCGGGTTTCGGTACGGTTTCCGACGGATTCTGTGCGATTACCGACGGACTCGGTAAGGTTCTTCTCGTTAATGATGCCTTCCGCTGGCTTCGCGACGGACGCGGTACGGCTCTGCGCGCTAGCGATGCCACTAACCGCGAGCAAGATCGCCGCACTGCCGATGACAGCGATCGTTATCGTGGATTCCACTGCAGCGGCTTATACGCGTGATTTTTTTGTCAGAGAAAAAGTCGGAAATTAACAGTTAAAAACAGCAAATGCACTATGTTGGATGCGAGCTTGCTGTCTCAAATAAATCAGCGAAGTTGCATGTTTGTAGCTTTTATACGCTCTTGCTCAGTCTGCGACGCTGTCAAAGCCCGTCTTCCGTGAAGTGCTGCCATGTCTGGTAAATTATCGAATCGGATTTGCCTGAAACTTAAGTGCTGCAGAAGAATTCCCAGGTGCCAAACTATGAACTGATAAAATTAATGGTAACTTAACGACAGTCAGCTGCCTATTTTCCTATTCGCTTACAACCGCAAGTAGGCTGAAATTGTCGCCTGAGGATGCCGATGTACATACGCAGCTGCTCCGAACTTCCAGGTGTCATTGATTTTGTGTTATAAGCTGTTACTTACTTAGGCCGAATTCACGCTGACTTCTATCTATCCATTTTCTATGGAAGCGCCGCCCAAAACGGCCGATTTTTTAGCAGTATGCGTGAACGCGGCGCGCTTTACTAAATAGATACCTAAATAGGGAGCAGGATTGCGTTCACACAGACACCTTTGAATAGGTGCAATAAAAGTTATTGTTTAGGCGCCTGCGATAGTCAGTCGAGTTTGCGTGAACACACGCTGCCTATCTGTACTTATAAGTATAGTTCAAAATACGAGTACATAAACAAAACGCCGAACTAAAATCGAATAAAATCACAGAATGGTAATTATTTTTACATTGTTACTGTTACGAAGATCGATTATTTAGTAGACTGTAGGACAAAATACGTATAATACTTAACACTTACGGTTCCGTGTGCTTCATAAATTTAATCGAACTAGCATACTGTATAATAAAAGTTGCATTTCCAGTATTTCGGTTCTTTGGGTGCCATTTGTTTGCTACCTGGCTTACAATAAAAATTATTGAATGTATTTTCAAGTCAGCGCTTCAAAAGTGGGCAAAAGCTGAAATCAGTTTTCCAGGTTTAAAAAATGGCGCATCACACAAGACACCAGATATTATTACAGTAAGAGTACTCGTATTTCTATTTACCCGACAAAAGTCTATCCAGTTGGTTCATTAGTTATTCGGCTTGCCATACGCCTAATATCGGCTCACCATAATGCAGCGCTCAACCGCCTGGAGCGGCTATTCGCTACCGTCACAGCGGGCGGATGCGTATAACGCCGCCTACTGCTACCGCGGGCGGTTGCCAGTTGCCGATACAGCGGGCGGGTGCCTACTACACAGCTGATAATACGTTAACTCTCCGCATAGTGTAATCACAGCTTTAATACAATTATTTTGTAATACTCGTTTTAAAAAAAAATTGTTAGAAGGCACGGTCTGTACTCTGTACACGTATTATGATCGCTGTATAAATCAGTAAAAGTGTAACACATAATAAGGCAATAAAAAAATTTGAAGGAGTTTTTTTACTTTAAAGTACAAAAGCTTGTTTCTAATTTTTCAGGGTGTTAGCACAGTTCAAATTTCCATCGTCACCAAGCGGCTGGTCATATTAAGCGATATGTTTATAACTGCAGGGGCAAACTTACCAGTAGCGATATTCTTTCTTAAATTAAATTTTTCTCCCAGTGAAAATGTATTGTTTTTGCAAGCGGTAGAACTGAGATTTTGTAAGCACACATGTGACATGTAGAACAAAGTATTATCGCGTGCATTATAATTATATTAATTAGGACACTGCACTTATTGCAGGTTTGCTTATGCAGCAAACGCACGGTACCATTAAAAAAGTGATAGTAGATTGTTAACTTTAAAGTACGGCTGATGTCTGAAATGGTAACTAAAGGCCAGATCAGTGGTATCCTGGATCAAACATTTTGTAGGTTATTGCACAATGGTGGTGAAAGCATTTCAATCACAAATGCGTGTATATCCGGGACAAATAGGAACCTCGAGTGGTTCCTATTTGTCTTAACCATTGTATCTACGGAACAAACGAAAAGGTACCTTTTGATAGGAAAGCACTGTTCAGGCCGCACATTGCTATCTACCAATTAAGAGCTAGGTAATTAACGTTAGCATAGATGTGCTGCGTGAACGCAAATTTGGGACCTAATGCAATTAGGCGGTTGTCCCCGGTTGAACTCAAATCCCGCTAAGCAATTAAGATAGATAGGTGTATGCGTGAATTCAGCCTTAATTACCATATTTCCACGTGGTTTGTCCGTGTCGCAAGTGTGGTGCGACATTATGCTGTCTTCCAACCGTTACGAATTTTCCGTCAAGTGCTATTAGCTTCTTTGTTTTGACTCGTTCACAATTTTGCCGGCATATGGATTTGTTCTTATAATTGTAACCCATTGATGCCCACTTGACACATCCAGGCTCTTAATCGATTGCTTAATTCTTTAACGTTTAAATTCAAATCATTTTACGTAGTATTACGCGAATGCATATTTTGTTATGTTGATGGCCTTTTGCCCAATAAAGAACTTTACATTGCTTAATCATAAATCACGTCAAGCAAGTCATGCAGTACTTGTAGCTGAACACGTATCCTTCCATACGGATCAGACGAACACAAATTTCTCGCGTTATGTGCCAAAACAAATTGTACCTTCCACATTCGGCGGCTCAGTGTTAAATGAAGCACGTAGTATTGTAGAGTATATACTATATACTGCATGATCGAGAGCAGACTGAAGTGTGGAGTTCGTCTTGAGCGCTCGATGAATGTAAGCTTCCGCAGGCGTGCAGTTTCTCCAGTCATCATGGAATGGGATAGCAGGGCACAATTAATTTGGTCTTCTTAATTTAAAACGCATTGCACGTTGAGTGGCTACTGACTCGAGCAGCTTTAGTTTAGCTTCATAAGCCTTGAAACCGGATAACGGACCCTGTATGTCCGGTGTCGTATTATTGGCGGCAGTCCATTGAATGTACCAGGAATGCAATATCCCCTTCTGCCAGGTATATGACAAATATAGACCGCAGTTTGTCAACAGAACGTGCAGTGGTTCGATCCAGATGGCGGGTATCAGATAGTGCAGGGATGGCGTGATGTCGCACTTCCGCGCAGACTCCGAACCATCGTCATAATAGAAAATTGTATTCAAATACCCTACGAAGAACAAGTGCACCGCGGGAAACATCGTGTATACAACTACCATGGTGGCTCGGAAACGTCCAAAGAATTTCGACGTCGCGTGATAGCACTTGGTTACGTGGCCCATGTCTGATGGCGAAAGGTCGTGGCCCGAAGATGCGGCACGTAGCCAGCGCTGGGTTTGAACGGCGCACTTGATCATTGCAATGGAACTCCCCAGAGGCCAGGCTGTATAGGTTAGTAAAGCAATAATTCCAGGTATCGCAAATAACAACACCAGGACACACCAGTCCACTGCCGAATGCGGCTGAAAACAAAGTCGTACAGCATAAAGATAATTTGCCATACTTCGACGTTTTTCGTTCTCTGGACATTTTCACAATCTCGGTGCGCGTACCGGAAACCGAAGACGCGGAAGTCCTTTTTCCCACGATTTCTTTTGGAAATACTTTTTGAAAATTTCAATTAATTTAGCTGTACGTGGGTTTTGGTTTTATGCATCGACCCCAGCGCGATCGTCTCCCTCCCTTTTTTCCACAGTAATATAGCGTCAACTTATCGCAACCGAAAAAAAATAATGTTTATTTCCATCTCTATGTCTCTTAATGTTACTGCATCTGATCAGTAGTATCCGTTTGGTTGATGTGTTTGTGTTTTGCTGAAGAATGCTTTGTGTTTTGTTTTGCGATCTTGTACTTGCGATTGTTGTACTCCAATGTCGTTTCACGACTGTTGTCTGTAGCCTAGAGGGGGCTAATGCTCCGTGCAAAGGACAATAAACTTCCATTATTATTATGTGGCTTCACAAGATCAAAACTTTTCAAAACTTGATTAAGTGATGATTAGTGTTTTTATTCCAGCTTGTAGACGAGATTAATAAAAATTACCAAGTTTTCCTATGTGCAACAACGAAGAGAATAACATAATAATCTGGTGTCCGGTACGCGAATTCATACGGCATTGCCAAAATGTCCGGAATGTGAAAAACGTCGAACTATTATTTTACGAATAAACTGCTGTCCTGACTAAACAAATTGGGTTATCCTTAATTTGCACTTGTAAGAGCAAAAAGCTTGCTTATCTAAATGCAATGTATACTTTCACATATGTTTGTGGTTTCGAACTTGAACAATGAACAGTCAAACTCAAAAGCAACGCTTACCAGTTCGCCATTCCATCCTGGCGATGACATATAATACTTTTTAAAAAAGGGAATTAGTACGTAGAATCTTAAAACTGACAGAGTAGCCAACAGGAATGCGACAAAACTCAGAAGAATAACACAATTCCATTCTTGGAAAACGGCGCAGAGGCGCCCAGATGTGTTGCGAACCCACGACAGTATGGTCTTCTTGGGATTTGTCCTTTTCTCAACATCGGTTATGCGGATAGTGGCGTCCATAGCGGGAAAAACTATAAACTGGCTTTCGAGAAAAATCCAACGGAAAATACTTAAGAAGGTTTGTCCAAAATGCACGTATAATATGACTACGATTCAATTAAAAAGCAAAGTGCCCAGTGCCATCATTTACGTTATAACAGTACATAGATGTGTAAAAATACATGCAATCGCAGATATGTAAATTCTACAACAGTAATTGTCAATAATGAGTGCGGTTGAAAATATTTTAGAATCTGACAAGATACATCGTGCGAAATCAACGTGTTTAAATTTGCATAGGAAATACAATATTCCCTAAAGTTAACTGCCCTAGCTGGATGCTCCGTTTTCACGCTTAGCTTTATGCAGTTCCTCTCGATCGATAATACGGTACATGTACTCGTACAATTTTGCACTGTACACTGTGTACAGCATATCTGGGCAGCGCCGCGCTCTACCAGTAAAGAATGCATTCTAGACCATTGCCGTTGCTCTGAAATCTCACTGACCTCAGTTCGCCCAGATAGCATGGAAGCTTGATCCTCCTTGCAAGGAGATACTGGACACTTAGTACACAAATATTGCTTAATTAGCTTGTTAAAGTATTTTGTATTACTAAATTTACTCATTAGGCATGATCACCTTTACAATTTTCTCGTGTTTGATAGTGCAACATTTACAGTACATCTACTCGTAGTCGTGAGCCTTTGCCTGCAACAAGGACCGGTATGCTTCATAATATGTTCGAATAACATCAAGCAGCGCGCGGTACAACGTTCACAGTACTGGAAGGGGCGAACTTCCAGTAAGCGACATTGCCACTCAATGGCCGTCTGTCGACAGAGTATATTTCCGGTGCAACATACCCGATGAGAACACATGCCGCACCGGATGTGTCATATGCATTTATAGAAATTCGTGAAAATCTTCTTCCGTTACACATAGGTTCGGTAATATGTAATCAAACTGAAAACTTGTGCAATTGTAGCTAATGTGCCCGACAGTTCAGGTTTCAGTGTAACGTTTGAAGCTTCTTTATTCTTCATAATGCAAAAAAGAAGTTTACTCTGTACCAAAGTCGCAACCGAAATTTTGTAATACAGATAATCTGTGTTGATCAGTGCCGTTCTCATGATAGATGCCGCGTTGCATCGTTGGATTTCGAAGTTTTGTTCATTTATCGACCCGCATGCGCATGGCCCACTGCATCTCTTCAACCCACGATAGATCGCTCCCAGCCAGCAGCGCGGAAAGGAATTTGTCAGCGAGAACCAGTCTTCCGCTGATTTTTTTCATTTTCAATTTCCCATACATGTCATGACTCATCACGTATTACTATTATTCCGCGCTACGCCAGGGTTAAACAAAGAAAAGAATTTTTAGGGAAAATGAACTCAAACCCCCGAAAATTCTTTCAAGCTTAAAACGAAATGTCCACTTTAAAGGTCAGATGTATTTCTGATCAAAACTGAGACCTTACACATAAAATGTTTTTGAAGAAAACACGAATTTGGGGTAAAAACGACAAAGGAACTGGTTTACTTCCTGAACATAAACAATTCTGTTCTTTTAAATCCCTTCTCTCTTTGTTAATTTCGAAAGGCTCAGAACTCGCGAAGTTGTAATCTACGCGGGAAACGTGAGTGCAAGCAAAAAACTTTAAGGTTCTATTTCCAAAATGTCCAAGGGGCCCCAGGTTGGACCATCATGCAGTATCGGTCACAGTAGGGGGTGGTGGTGGGCTTCAGAGTGGGCGGCCGGACTGTGACCGGCGGTTTCGGTGTTGGCGGCGGCGGGCAAATTGACACCGGCTGGCAGCCATTGGTGGCGGTGCGAACTTTTCCTGGCAGGCACACGCATCCGGGTTTGCAGGAGGCGGGACATTTGGGATTGCGGTTGCTGCAGGTCGGGTCGCATAAGGCACATTTGCCGCGTGTTTCACCGCAAGGGCAGCCCACACGGAGGGATTCCTCCCATTCGGGACAGAAAGGCTGAGAGAACGGGGGTACCATGCTGTTGAATAACTGGGAAAGCGTCTGCGTCGCGCTGAAAAGATTAAGGAGTTCGTACTGGGAAACGCAGTGAACGAAGTATGAAGTAACTGCTAGTTTGTTGTTGAATTTCTCCTCGATGGTGTCTGACAAAATAAGTGACTAACTTGTGAATACATTGAAGTTATATTTTAGCGGCCGTCGTAAGGAATGCCGCCACTTTACTCTTGACTTGTGGTGTGACACACAATGAAACATCTTAGTGTGTTGTCACTGTGAAATCCTTAAAGTGCAGGGATAATTGACTACGTAGTTTTCTTAATTAAACGTTTGTTAATTGAATAGCCACCTTAGCTTGCTGAAGCTTTACTTTATTCTTAACGAAATACTGCTGGAACGGCAGGACTAGCAAAATGCAAAACGTACTTACGCCCGGCCTGTCGTTGGCATCCCGGCGGTTTGGGTGCGGTTTCCGACTGATTCGGTGCGATTATTGGCGGATGCGGTACGGTTCAGCTCGCCGATGATGCCTTCCGCTGGCTTCGCAACGGAAGCGGTACGGTTCTGCGCGTTAGCGATGCCACCAAGTAAGATCACCGCGCTGCCGATGACAGCGATCGCTACTGTGGATTCCATTGGCAGCGGCTTATGCGCGTGATTCTTTTGTCCAATGAGAAAATTGGCGAAGTAACTGTTTATAACAGCAAATGCAATATGTTGACTGCGAGCTTGCTGTCTCAAATAAATCAGCCAAGTCTCATGTTTGTAGCTTTTATACGCTTTTGCTCGGTCTGCGACGCTGTCAACGCCCGTCTACCGCCAAGTGCTGCCATGTCTGGTAAATTATCGACTCGAGTTTTGCCCAAAACTTAACTGCTGCAGAAGAATTCCCAGGTGCCAAAATATGACTGACAAATTAATGGTAATTTAACGACAGTCAACTGCCTTTTTTCCTATTCGCTTTCAACGTTACATAGGCTCAAATCGTCGCCTAAGGATGCCGATGTATGTATGAACCTGTTCAAATTTCCGAGTGTCATTAAGTTTATGTTACAAACAGCTACTTAATTATCATATTTCCACGTGATGTGTTCGTGTCACAAGTGGGGTGCATTGTGCTGTCTTCCAACAGTTACGACTTTTTCGTCAGATGTTATTGACTTCTTTGTTTTGACTCGTTTAGAATTTTGCCGACATATGTATCCGTTCTTATAATTGTAACCAACTTGACAAATTGATACATCCAGGCTCGTAATCGATTGCTGACAATGAGCCATAAATCACGTCAAGCAAGTAAGCTGCAGTAGCTGAACACAGTTTTCCTTACTCCTACGTTTAACCGGCAAATACTGTAAATGGAGATTTGTTATAATCTGTACTTCGTATTCATCGCAGTACGTGTACCATCAGTTCGATTAACAAATGCCATTTGCCGGATCTGAACCATTCGGGAGAGGAAAAGCATAAGCCAAATAACGCTCATCAAACAGCTGATTTCGCTGCAAGACCGACAGGATTCCGAAAAATCACGCCCATGGGTTTCTAATACTGAGTAGTCTGTAGACTGTAGTATTACTTCATCCACTGCAATAATTCAATTCAGCTTCTATTTTTGGCACTATCAAGAGGGAGTCTTGTTTTGTTTCACCAGAAATAGATCTTTGATATTATTATCGCGCTTCTGGATTTCGGAAGCGCGAAATCCGTGCCAAAGCTAGTAAACTAGCTAGCTAGTGTTGGTTTGGGTTGTGTTGGGTAGATACCGGACACCAGACACACGATATTCTCTGCGGTCTTTCGCATGACAGAACTTTTCAAAAATTATGTGATAAGTATTGTTTTCTTGTAAGCTTGTGCACGAGATTAATAAAACATTATCAAGTTTTCTCAGAGACTACCGCAGAGAATACCGCGCCTCTGATGTCCGGTACGCGCATCCATCATGTGGAAGTATCTAAAATCTGGCCGATTATGTCAGTGCCACTGATCCGAAATCTTCTACGTGGACGTGTCGGGTCGAAGCCGAATTGTACTTGCTTCCATCAAGTTGCACTTGCTTCCATCAAGTTCCATGGAAGGCGGAGTCTCCATTAATTAAGACACGTATGTTCGGTCTTCATTTACGGTTGACGACTCCATCAGATTCGGGAACGGATTCGTGATTTTGTGTATATATTTACAGCCATGTCCCAGATCTTCTCTGGAAATGAATAATTTATACAAACTCACGGTAACTAAGGCTTAGCCAATCCTACCTTTGCATAGCAACACCTTTCCTTAATTCACGTCTATGAACGGCGTAGGTTTGCCGTTTTTGAATGGATTTAGGTTCAATGCATTTTACTGCATTTGTGATTCTTTAGAAAATGTATCGTGTTTTATTTTCTAAAGTTCAGAAATCCTTGCAGCCGGAAACAGGATTTTTCCAAACTACTGTACGTTTTGGCGAACGAACGTATAAAATTGAGCATATTATAACCACGTCTTAGAAATTGTACCTGCGCGGGCGCCGTTGCAGAAGTGATAAGAAGAATTCTTCACTGATAAGAAGCGGAAGTATAACTAAACTACCTGTTACGGCGGGTCTCGGGTTCCTATGGTGTGCAAGGTCACCGCACCGGCGCTGAAAACGAACCGCTACAAGAACAAAACTGTTGAAATTGTTATACTGGAGTCGTCTATGCAAAGGCAAGATGTTTTTTGTCATTAGCTCTGATGAAACGCGCTTGTATCTTTCATTTTATTCGTGTATAAACCTTGGGCAGGAAATATGCTTTTCTTTAACTTTACAAGTGGATATAAGTACTTGAATTAGCTAGCTTGATAATACAAGCTACCTAGCTAATTCAAGTGCTTATATCCACTTGTAAAGTTAAAGAAAATCATATTTTAATGAGATCTGGTTGGCATACACTTGTGATTAGATTTGCTTGTAATATGTATGTGCCAATGTGCGTAAAACACGCGGCAATATTGAACCTGCCTAGCACGGCGTAAAATTGTGCCGATATTAGCGGTACATTTGTATAAGCGTAATGATAACATTACATTGACGGCACAAGTTTATATATGGCGTCATAAGTTTGTATATGGCGTCATAGTATATACTAGTACCATACCATATTGTTATCATAATTATAATACAACACATTTTAAAGTCGATATTACGGGATGCTGCAAAAAAGAATACCTAATACTAAAAACAGTTAAGAAATATCCTTCATAAAATTATAACACATGCCGCTATTCGCATAAATACATTCTGTATTATTCCGAAAAACAGAAACAACATAGTTAAAAGTGAATTAAACAGAAGAAGTTTATTCATAAAAAATTGTGCCGTAATGAGTGCCGTTATGAGCCACGATTTCCCTCCCTGGCGCGAACTTAATGTACTTCCGCTGTGGTTCCGTTCCATCGCGAGCAGCATTATGCTCGTCAATCCAGAAATAGAAGCAAGGGTTCCGAATCATATCGCCGATGACATGCCTAATGCACATCTGGCGAGCCTTGATTTTGCGTTGTGCGAAAAGATGTTAACAGCCGTCTTATCTACCGCCACTTCCCAGCAGTAACCGCATGCATATCCTCCATATTTTTCAACATGGTTCGTTTTCTTCTTAAAGGCAGTGGACATTTTATTTTTATAGCCGTGGCTGCGCTGCATCGGTAACACTCGTTCCTCGTGGCCTTCCGGTGCTTCCCGAATAGTATGCAAGTCCCCATCGTCTATTTCGCACTCGTCCATCAGAACCCAACCGTCACAGTAGCCAGAAATCAGCATTCGCCCATCACGGACCAAACGAGTCGCTTCATCGATGCAAAAATAGGAGGTGTCATCGTACATGACAATGGTCTGCTTCTTGCAGCGGGCTTTCTTTGGTTCAGGCTCCGATCCAGGGCCAGACGTCTGAGGCCTCTTGATCCGCGTTTGCCCTTTCGAAGCCTAAAGCAGCCGGCAAAAGCGTCAAAACTACGTGTGGCGTCAAAATTGTAATGTGGCGTCAGTAATATATTAGCGGCGTCATGGTAAACCACTGCGGCGTCAGATGTAGTTAAAGGTTTAAGGATATCGACTGACTTCATTTGTATGGAACCCGAAGTTCCCAGAATCAGATGGTTCGGGAATTTCCGGACTAGCGGCCCGTGCTGCCGACCCGAATAGCAAGCTAGCGCGAGAGCCTCCAGCGGGTGTTGGCTCCAGTGCCACCGGGTGGACAGACGCGGCGCGCGATGATGCGTGCAATCCGGCACGGCTTCCGCTCTGGCCTCGCTCAACCGCATGGTCTGTAGCCGAACCAGCTGACAAAGTCACCCGAAGGGCGGCGTTATTGCCGATGGTTTGTGGAAGAGCAGCCAGCGCCGCTTTGGCCTTTCTAAATTCCTCCCTCCTGTATTCCTTCTCCCTGGCAAGAGCAGCCTCGAACTACATACGAAATCACGATCTGTATCAGATATACGTTCCGTACATATAATTCATGTGCTTACTTGTTCTTCAGACAAACTGGCAAGCTCTGTTAGATCGCGGTTGCTCCATGGCACATATGCTCCCGATAAGCCCGCCTGACAATGCATGATACTGAGCAAACAGTAATCAATAACATCCGTAAAGGTCTAAAACCCCGCTAACAATTGGGTACCTGAACGTTGCTGTTCGCGGGATTGCTTGCGCTGCTCGTGGTAGTGCGAGAAGCGGATTTTGCTGCAGGAGAAGAGGAATGTTGGGCGCTACGGGGAGATGATGCGGACATACGGACAGGGCTGCGGGAAGACGAAGCTGCCGTTGCTGGTGTGGCAGATGCGGCTGGTGCAGTCGTTGACGCCGTGCGGGAGCGCGTGGTGCGTCTGCTGGACATTATCCTATAAATTAAACGCGTTATTTATGCCAGTAAACCGAGTTTTGAACTGTGTCTTACAAACGTAAATTGTCTGTAAAAATGGTTCGTTATGTTGCTTTGGGTCGTGAGAAACCTTATACAGCTGTAGATCACAATTTAATTCAAATTACGTTTAGGTACAGTTAAAGACTTATAGTAACAAATAAATGCGCATGTACTTGTGCGGGTGCTGCACTTACGTGTTGTTACTGGGACGTTGCTCATCGATAAGTGGACGATAACTCAATAAAGCGGGCAGAAGAGTGATATTAAACAGATACTGGCAGATGATAGTTACAAGAGGATGATCAGTCGAAGATTTTACTTTATGATAACCTAAGTTCTTCGCAAGTTACAGCGGACTGTAATGAATGCATGTGCCAGCTCTGCATACTGCCGTAGCAACTGCATCCTGTTACAGTGTTGGCCTTCTACGAAGTATGGTACTCAATTACTGTACTCTGCATTGCTCTACGCCGTCTAATTAATCGCTGGCATAGTTATATGCGCTGGCATACAGTACTGTATTCCCTTGACCGGTTTCTTCTCTCTGACCAGAGAGCATTTAATTAGAGACCGTTACGGTCATAGATAGGAATGCGGTACTAAAATGAGGAATGTGTCTGCACAGCTGTATTGTGGTTCTCTCTGCTCTCTGTTAAAAATTTGCATACCTAAGTACAATTTTACGGTTTTGAACTTCTTTCTGCTCCTCTGACCATCGTCCATAATAAAGTAGTATTTATAAATCCTGAGTTTCTATGATTTACCACCTGTTTGTGATGGGCTGGCCAACAAGGCTCAATACCCGCTAAGTAAGTATCTCTGGCCCCTTTACAATCAGGCGGCCACTTAAAAAATTCAGTAAGTAGGGAAAAGCTCTGAGTCTTCATACTCAAAGTGAGCAAAATACGAGAAAAATACAGGTATTTTATTCCTCGGCACTCGGCAGCACGGCAGTACGGTTATACACTTAGCGAAATGCCATGCAGAAGACACTGCAGATGCCATGCAAGCAGATGCCATGCAGATGCCATGCAGATGCCATGCAGATGCCATGCAAGGACATTGTATGCGTCAAAAAATCTTTTCTTGCAGGGTGCTGTCATTTACGGATTTGCAGATCGAGGTGTGACCTTTAGTGTTTCGGCGGCTCCCGCCACAGGATAACCCTCACTCCTGAGACGCAGTCCAGACATGAGCCAAATTAGGAAAGACTCCTACAGCTCGGTTTGCAGTTGTGAAAACAGTCGTCATCTTACGAGTCTATCGTAATAATATTAGCAAACATGGTAACGTAGTTTTCTGATGACTGATGGTATTTTTTTTAACATCATGTGTTCGCAATGCTGAATGCCACAACAGGACACCGAGCTTTTCCTTTTCCACAGCCACTATGCAGTAATTAATGGAGGTTAACAGGAATTATAGCACAGATACAATAACGAATGAAGTATACTGCTGTTATGAACAGTGAGCTGTTTCTAGGGGACAGTAAGCAAATAAATAATTTGCTTACCGCGCTGCTGGCTTCGAGCGTTATCGTGGATGGAACCGGGGGTTTGTCACTGAAGCCGTTAGATGTACAGGTGTACAACTTCCCGTTAATGTAAATATCGGAGAAACACTGCTGCAAGTGTTGAAGCGGAATTATTTGCCTCGTATAGCTCATAATATTAAAATTATCTAGAATTAATATTAATATTATTTAGAAAATCGTCTTGTTTTGTATGCAGTCTGATGTGTAAAAGGACTCAAAACTTTTTATGCAGAATATCCATCGTTTTTTAGTGATAAATAATGCCCAAGAACCAGTTTTTCACTCACCAAAGTGTTGCTGGTCACGGTAAGCTGCAAGAAAAAAAGTGAGCAAAGAGAATCAGTGATTTTTAATAGAAATGGATGCGCGTGGCTACCACGGCCTAAGCTGAAAGAAAAGTTGCGGACGAATTCCTACACATAAATGCCTTAATGCCATTGTGAAGCGCAGCCTCGCATCGGCCGGCTTCGAAAATGAATTGGAACCTCTCGGTATTTTCCCAACAGACAGCAAGCGTCCAGACGGCGTCACCTTGACACCATGGGAGAGAGGACGCATGTTGGCATGGGACGCTACGTGCGTCAACACCATGGCCATTTAGCGACATCCGGACAAGCAGGAGCAGCAGCTGCGCAGGCCGAGCAGGGCAGGATTGAGAAATATCGTAACATCGGTCAGGACTACATATTTCGTGCTCTGTGCTTCGAGACGCTTGGACCGCCCGGACCGGATGCTGCCCGCACGATAACGGAATTTGGACAGATGATACGACAGGAAACCGGCGAAAAACGAGCTACGGAATATCTTCGCCAGCGGATCAGCATAGAAATTCAACGAGGAAATGCAGCATCGATCTTGGGGACAGCGCCGATGGGAGCAAATTTAGATCAAAGTTTCTCTGTAATTAGGCCGCCTGTGTCGATTGATGCTTAATGAGTGATTGTTTCCATATCTGTGTTGATCTGAAATCCACTGTTAATTGTAATAATAAATACGTTCATTGTGAATGAATTACCGTACTTTGCACAGAATGTTCTGTCTGTCACCTGATTAATGCATTGCTGAACATGTAAACCGAGCCGCTTTCGAAACAACCAGCCGAATAAAGCAATCGCAAAGTAAAAAAAAATAGAAATGGACTACAGAGTCGAATGTAATGTCAATAGAGTGCTACCGTTAAAGCGCCGTTGGGCAGGCCAATGATCTGGAACAGGCAAAAGTTTGTAGGGGTACTATCGGAATCCATCTTTAAAGTTGCCGGAGTGGAGAACGTCGGATAAATACAGCCGCCACATGCTACAAAAGCATAGACAGACCGACATTACAGTGTGGATGCAATCGTTTCTGGCTGCTGGTGCTGTACACAATTACATTCCAGCCTTCCAGGTGACTAATTTCTTTCGTAAAGGTACAGAGAAACATGTAGAATGATGGAATGCGCTAAACTAGCCACATGTACTTGGCATGGCTAGTTCACGTCGAATACTGATGTAAGAAAATACATTATACTGTATAACGATAGTATTAAGTTAGTACTAATTAATAGTATATATGAATATAATGTGATTACTTCAGTGTATAGCTAGCGGCCCCCTTGCTGACCGTCAACATCGCGCTTACTACGTACTATAAGCAAAGTCTTTAAAGCTTACGCTCAAGTCGTCTCAGCGGAGGCAGAACTGCCCCTGCTCCTTCAACTAGGCTCCTAGCAAAGAAAGCCATAAAAACATGTAGCAAGCCCGGGCCTGCATAATGTGTGCCTCTCGAACACAAAGGCGCGCCTTACAAAAGAGCATTGTTCGGTCTGTTTAGTTGAAACAAAACAGCCAGATTCCAACTAAGTTCTGCAACGAGCGCAGCAGAACTGTGTGGCGACTTCCTTATTCCTGCATGAGCACTTACTCGCCTGATACACTGCTGTCTCTCAGAAAGTGAAAGTTTACCTTCGGGAATAACATTGGATTTCTTTCAGCTACGCCGAATGAATAACTTTAAATACGAGTAGCAATTATTTATTAAAACATGTGATCTCCGTTTTCATCAAGCTGCAAGCGGTTGTTGCGGTTATTGTGTAAATACACAATAAGTTTTGTTAAAATGGATCGGCGCATTATTAAAGATCGTGATACCGGTCGACGAAAAATCTTTAATGGGAAGCGTTGGTGTTTAGTTTGCTCTGTAGAATCGTGTTCTAATATTGCGGCACTACGAGGTTTTTGTGGATCCCATGCAAAGAATAATGGAGTTGGTAAGTTGTTCGGTGAAGTTGGCGGGGTGTTTGTGTGTGTTTGTGTGTTTGTGATTTTTTTTATTTGTTCAGTCTTTTTGTGTAAAACGGGAATAAAAAGCGGCTGTTTATTTAGTTTTATACTCGTATTTACTGAAGACTGTATTTAAACAAAGGCTAATCGGTAAAAGTAAAAATTAACTACTAATCGGTAAAAGTAAAAGCAAAGTGCTACTAATCGAAAAAAGTAAAAACTACTTACAGGCAACAAAGTCTGCTAGAACAGAGGCCAACAGAAGTTCACTGTATTCTTGTGCCTGTTCCCTTTCGGTATGATGTGCTGCATTTCACACATCTGCGCGTTTCGGGTAATCTGTATTATGCAGGGATGCCCGGGCTTGCTACACTTTTGTTTACACAGTGAAACAGCCTAGTAAGACTTTGCGAAAAGTGGCCAGGCCCTGCTCTAAGTTTATAACCAATACCTTTACACAAGGAATTTTTCACCGGGCTTGCACATTTGACTGACGAAGTCACGATGGACAAAGATTAAACATGGGCAGCTATATACTGCAGCTGCACTTACGGGCTACAGCTTTGCCATCGAAGTCAACAAGAACGCCGTATGTGGCGCATCCAGTGTTCAGCGGTGCCGTTGTAGTCGTCGTCACCGTGGTGGTCGGAGACGGCGTTGGACATGCCGGTGTCGTGTGGTACACGCTGGACACGTGGTACTTGAGCAACTAGGGCATGTTGTCGCTGCAGCTGCAGAAAAGAACAGTATTATGTCGTACTAGCCTCTTTATTGATGAAAACCGAAACACAGAAGAGCCAGTAAAAAAAACATTGAGAGCAAGCGAAAAAGCTACACTTTATAACATCCAGAGTTCATTTAACTTTTCCGCTTCCCCCATTGTACGTACCCATGACTGACGCCGCATTGCCCCGTTGTATCTCCAGAGAAAGTCGCTGTCGGAGGAATTCATGCGAGCGTTTTTCTCCTGTGTGGTCCCACAGGCGCTTTCCTAGCTCCTTGATAAGGGCGATAGCCGATGGTCCCCACGACCCCATTGTTTCGAAAGCTATCGGGGCGAAAATGTATCTGCCGTTCAAATACAAGTACGTTCTTGACTTCTTTTCTTCCGCCAGAATAGCGGCCGCTCCCGCATTTGTCGAAGTGGACTTGACACAGTATTATTAACCAGTGAAGTGTCAAAATCCATCTCTTCATTATGATGCGAACACTCTATACCGTGACCTTTAAGTAGTTGGCGATCAACTTACTTGTTGTTGGATACAGTCGACATTTGTTACCATCCTGATACGCTAGCGAGGGATCACAAACGCATTTCCTGTGAACGTTACAGATGGAGGCCGAGTCGGCGCAGCGGTGCCCAATCCCGGCACAGTGACAGTTGAGGGCGGCCTTGGCGGTGGGTCCAGCGCAAGCCATCTCGAAGGCCACGTCGGCTGGACTGCCCACATCCACCAGCTTGCGCGTCATTGCTGGCGTGTCCGCTAGGGC